TTGTTATATGCTTCGTTATATTTTCCTGTAGTTTTTTAGTTATTCACCATTGGAAAGATGGACACATGATACTTTCATGATCATATGTAGATGTGATAGTGATGTGATTATAAGGAGTGGGTGCGGGGAGAGAATGGACTAATTAGGTAGGATGATAGAAGAGAGGTAGGAGAATCAACCACGCGAGTTGCATCCCAGGAGAAGGGAAAGAGCCAGTGATTAGAGAACAGGGGGAGCTCTGGGAACAGCAGGTGTAAAAGCCCTGTCATGGGAATAAGTTTGAAATGTCCTAGGCCATGAAGAAAAGCCACTGTGGGAAAGAGATGAGAGGTGAGGTCAGAGAAACTGCAAAGAGGCAGACCATGTAGGATCCCTGATAACAAGTTGGGGAGCCCTTGTAGGGGTCTGACATAATCTATTTTACATTTCTGAAAGATCCTTCTCGCCAATAAACAAGGAATAGACTATAAGGAGCAAGGATAGAAGTCAAGGTCAATTGAGAGAGTACCATGTTGGTTCAGGTGAAAGGCAAGGGTGGCTTGGAGTGGAGGGCAAAGTTTATCTGTAAAGGAAGTCATCATTATAGTGGCCATCACTTATTAAGGCCTTGTTCATGCTCCCCACAGCCTATTGGTGGTGCAATTATTAGTCTTACCAGGATTTTGGAAAGGCTGAGTAACTTGCCCAAGTCCATACAACTAAAAGAGGCAAAGATGGGGATGGAGGTGTGGTTCAAGTGGTAGAGCACCTGCATAGCAAGCTTGAGGCCCTGAGTTCAAACTCCAGTACCACCAAATAAGTAAATGGCACAACTGAATTCTGGTCTTAGTATTGCAGCTCTAGAGCAAACCTCTTTAACCACACCCTGTCACTACTGCTCAGTCAACATTTAGCTCTCATTTGAGAGTTGGCAGGGAGATACAGGAGTGAGCAGTGAGCACAGAGGGGTGTGTTCCCCACATCCTTCCTACACCCCAACTCTTCTGTCATCTATTACTGCACGCATGTCACTCCTGATGGCAGCTGTGCTTCTACCGTATCTGCCTGTGCTTGCTGGGCTGCCTCAGGTGGACAGAGCAAGATTTGGGAGGTGCCAAAGAGAAGATGTGTGTGGAGCAGCAACAGCACAGCCTGGGTCCTCTGCCCCTCAGTGGCTACTCACACAGCAAACTGCACTTCCCCTCTCAGGGCCTCAGTTTTATCATCTTAAAATGCTGGGGCTCAGGCTAGGTGCTGCCCACCTGAGTACCCCAGAAGTCTATCCTGAATACCACAGAAGTCATGATCTGTTATCCTTTTTTCCAGGTAGGTTGTCTACCCTTCACTGATAGTTGAAGCTCATTGAGTATTCTGCCCATCTAAATTCAATTTATTTCCTTTTGCTGAAACTGCTGCCTCACTTTACCCTTTTTTTTTCATTTGAGTGTAAAAAGTATACAATCATTTCCAGCGCTGCGTGTTGGGGAAAAAGGTGTGGCTGATGAGTGGCTCGTGGGGGAGGACTTTCCTGGCGGGTCTGGTTCAGGGGCGGTGGCTCTGCCCTCTGCTCTAGCATTTTCAGTCCCGGGATGCAAAAGGTCGGTGGCTCAGGACTCATGTTGAGCTGGGTTTTCCATCTTGGGGAGGCGTAGGGTCAGGTAGCCCAGCATGCAGGACCCTTGCCCTATGGGGATCCTGTCCCTTCAGTTTTCCTAGTGAAGACTCTTTTGAAAGGCACAGTGTCTCTCGCTCTTGAGGTTCATGCTAATAAAACTCATGCACTGGAAAAAATAAAAAAGTATACAATCCAGCCAGTAAGAGGAGCCCAACAAGAGGACAGGATGGCAGCTAGAAAGAACTGGAAGCAAAGGCCAGAAATCAAGGGGAAAGCAGGTGTCAGCTGCCCCCATGTCAGGGTAGTGATGCTGTTGTGCAAAAGTCAGAGTAGCCTGGAAAGATCACAGGACATAGCCACTCCAATCTGCTCCCAGCACTATCACCTGCATTCAGCCTCCAGCAAGTTCCCCAGTTTAGAGAGATGGGTCAAGAAGGTGGGAATGCTGTTTATTTGCTCCATGACCTTTGAACTTGCATGTGCAAAATAACAGCTCCTGCATGTTCTTGATAGTTCCAAATATTGTTTTCCCTCTTGAACACCTGAGGGCATTCCCTATTCTGCAAGATGTTTGAATAAAGAATCCTTGTGTTACAACTTCTCCTTCCTAGATGTGGGATGTTCTTCTGTAGCCAGATAAATTTATTTCAATGTTTCTCAAAAGTAATTTCATGGAATATTGAATTTAGGAAATGCACTGTGAAAGGATAAACAAATGAAATCAGTTCTGAGGTCCAAACATTTGGGGGCTGGAGCAGAGCCCTTCCTCTTCTAAACCATTCACAGAGCAATTAACCTATTTATCTTAGTTTGCCCCAGTCTTTCTCAACAGTGTTTGATCCCCCACACTCCATACACTTGTTAACACTGCAGAGCACGGGGGAGGCCAGGAAACAGACTGGGAACTGCAGATTTGGGATGCAACATTCAGTGGCCACCAGGCTAATGGAACCAGCCATCGCTGGTATGAGACTAAAAGGTTTATATAACACCCAGTGAAATAATGTCTTTGCTTTCAGCAATATTAAGTTACCCAGGAAATACAATGCACAATAAAAATTTCAAATTAATCCTGAAAGTAAAACTATATTGTGGAATATAAAAGCAAAAACAAGCCCTGGTTCCCAATTCCAGCCTCTCTAATCCTGTATCTACTTAGCTCTGAAGATGGCCCCATTACAAAATGGTCAGCAATCCTCTTACCAGACCAGAGCAGGGATTCTGAGCAAGAACCCGCTCATCACTTGTGGTTCACAGGTACACTACAATAGCCCGCTCTTGCACTTTGGCTTTGGAACATGACCGTCTCTTTGTTTATAAATCTAAACAAAGGTTCTAAAGATTTCCTTGAGGCAGTATGCATGGTCCATCAGAAGCAGGTCCACTAAGCAGGTCCATTTGGTCTTAGCCAGGGGTTTCCCTTCATTCCAGTTTCAAGTCCCTGACTGTACCAGTCCTCATTGGATAAATAGATTTAAATATTCATCTTCCACCTCATTCTTGACTTTTGACTTCACTCTTTTCCAGTGAAGTATACTTTGCATTTTCATGTGGACCCAATAAGTGGCATTGATTATTGTATTTAAGTGTGTGTGTAAAAAATGAGAAATCTGCTGAGTATAGTTGTGCAGATCTGTTTTGTACAAATTCACATTTCTAGATAAGCAGTTCTCAACTGCAGATGATTTTGACCCACGAGGATATTCTATATTGTCTGAAGATATTTTGAGCTGTAATGGTGACTGGGGATGCTGTTGGATATCCTGCAGTGCATTAATCAAAGGACCACTTGGTGGGCAAGTGGAGAAACCTTGGTTTCCATGAATATGCAAGTCTTTCCAGAGTATTATGATAGCCTACACTCACCAAGGGAAAATATGGTAACCTGGACTTCCTTCTTGGTCACTCCTCTCCTTGTATCCGGTCTGTACAAAGGTTATTTTGGCATCTTGGGAGCCCTTGGGGCAAGAATATGTCTGTTTGGGGAGATTGTGTTTTCTAGGAGCTAAAATATGGACCAAGAGTAAAGAAGGAAAACATCTCGCCAACGATCACAACACTAACCAATTGAAGTAGTGTTTGGTATACCGTTGAAACTCAACTTGTTAAGGAGGCCTAGAAAATTAAAGTAAACTTATCTTTCACAGATGTCAAAACAACAGAGTATGACAGGCCATTCTGGTTGCTTTATTAAGAGTCTTACCTGAGGGAATGTAGGGTCGTGGTTAAGAGCACAGAAGCTGAATTGCCTGAGCTCAAACCTTGCCTCTGCTACTTCCTACCTACATGGTTTGGTGCATGTTATTTAACATTTTCAGTATCTCTTTTTTTTTCCCTTCTTTGTGACATTGGGATGAAAGCATGTAGGGTAATTTTGAGTTAAAAAATTAATAAGAACTTGAAACATTGCCTTGACTCCGGGTAAATCCTGTGTAAATACTAGTATCATTATTGTTTCTTAGAGTCAAGAATATACTTCATCAAAAGTATACAGGTATTCCCTCAGTCAACAAACAGTTAATTAGCACCTACTATATTCCAGGCACTATTCTAGTAGCTGAAGATCATCAGTGCATAAAAAAACATTGGGTCCCTCACTTTTTACCAGATGTGGGGATATACACCTGTAATCCCAACACTCAGTAAGCTGAGGCAGGAAGATTGTGAATTTGAGTCCAGCCTGGGAGAGATAGCAAGATTCTATCTCAAAAAAGGAGTAGAAAAAGAAGAAAGAAAAGGTCCTTATCCTCATGAGACTTATATTTAGTGGGATATACTAGAAATCACGCATGTAGAAAAAAATGTGTGAATTACGCTTAGCCTGGTCTCCTATAGTAGTTGAATGTATGGATATATTATTCATGTGTTCATCATCATTGTTGCTATATAACAGTTGAGCTTGATCTGTCCTCTTAGATAGAAAGGAAAAGCTAAATTTCTACAGAGCACCATGCCAATAAGAAATTTCAGTTACCACATAAAGATTAGAATGATGCAAAAGAAAAAGAAGGAATGAAGTCAGGCTCTGAATTTGGTTTAAAATGAGCAGAACCTGTTTTTGCTCTTATCTGTGTTTCCCACATAGAGTTACCTATTTGCAGAGTTCTACATTCTAGGTGACTGTGGCTGGTGAGGAAGAATCAATAATAATTCTCTCACTTCTCCAACAATAATTCACTTCTGAAGGGAAAATGTCCTTTAGAATAATCACCCAATGACTGTAGCCTCGGACATTCCCTAGGGAACTTGGTTAAAATAAACTTTAGATCTTTTGTTTTTGAGATACGGTGTTGCTATAGCCCAGACTGATGTAGAATTCTCCATCCTCCTGCCTCAGCCTCCTGAGCACATGTACCACCAAGCCAACATACACTCTAGATCCTGACCATTGGTTCTTTATCTTTTCTTTTCCAGAAATCTTCTCTATGTCTACCCACAGAGGCTGAACTTTGCTAACAAGCTAGCCTCAGCCAGGAACATTACAATAAAAATCCAGTTTATGTGTGGAGAAGACCCCAGCAATGCCATGCCGGTAAAGAGGGAGATAACATTTGCCTCATACCAGGGAGGACTGTGCTTGCCTTGTGAATTCACACGGGAAAAGTCCAGGACTCATCAATGTACAGAATATTTTCCACTTCCCCTGGTGCTAGGGATCAAACCTAGGTCTTGTACATGCTAGGCGAGTGCTCTGTCACCAAACTACACCCCAGCCCAATGTACAGAGGATGTCACTCTAAGACAACTCTACTGAACATACGCAGGGGCCTTTTAGGCTAGTCTAATATCATTCCTGGGATAAAGATGGGGAAACAATGTCAATCTACATTGAAAGTCTCTTTCCCAATTTATTCCATAGTACACTGTGAAACCTTGGAAATGCAGATTATTTTAGAGAACTGAAAAATAGCACACAGTCTCTACACACTGCCCATAGGACCACACTACTCTAGTAGCCTACAGAGTGGAGATGACTCAACGTGTCCACCATGTTTCCTAAACTTCATCTTTATATGCTCTGCATTGCACACTTACCCTCGCCTCAGACCACACCTACTGATAAATATGAAACACTGCCTAGTTATAGTAAACACTCACCACATCAACATTTTCTAGGAATGGATCTTTATCTTGAGGCAAAATACAAATCAAATAATAAATATATAATCCATGTTTTCTAAGGAAGCCAAAATGCCAGAATTTGCACTCTAGTGATTTGCTACTAAATGAGATGGCCGGCAAGTTATTACTGCTTTCCGTACATCATAGAATACAATACAAAGTTAATCTACCTTTGTGTTGGGCTGAGGGTGTAGCTCAATGGCAGAGTTCTTACCTAGTATGCACAGCCTAGTTTCCATCCCCAGCACTGCAGGAAAAAAAAAAAAATTCTTTCTACCAAAGTGATTTTTTTTTTGCCTCCCCCCTATGGCCCACCCACCTTTCTACTGCAAGGTGTTCTATTGCAACAGTGGTGGGGAGGGGAGAGTGACAGAGCAAGGATGTTTAGAAAGGCACGTTCCTAATGCTACCTGCCCTGGCTCCTGCCCCTGGCAAGTCACCACTAAAGGCTTCCAGGTTTAGTCACACAGATCCTATGAAGCAAAAGTACTCAGCCAGCAGATGGCGGAGGTAAATTCCAGGCCATTTGCTCACCGAGACCTTGAATGGGAAAGGCTGTATCTAGAGGAAAGATTTTTTTTGGTTTGTTGTTTTTTTATTTATCTAGAGAATAGTCTGCTTGTCAAATCATATACCTGTAGGGCTGCCTCAGACCAAAGGACCGATGTAGACAGGTCAGTGGAGATCAGAATCTCCCATGTGACTAAGTTCATGTCTTTGGAAGGATCTTTCACCGAGGGCAAAAGCATGTGACTTTGCCCTGTGGTGTAGACTGCTAGGTAGTGAGGCATGGAGAAGAGAGAACTGGCTTTCCAATCTCACCTGTGGCCCTTGGTCACTAATTGGCCCCTGGCACCTCAGTTTATTCTTATAACCAGTTCTTCTAGTCAATATGGTAGAAGCTACCACTCTTCTTTTATAAAAGATAGCTCTGTGACACCAGAGCACCTGATTGCCTGATAGTAGGTGGTTTCATATACTCAAAAGTCACTGTTAATTTGATCCTCTCTCTGTTGGTGAACAGGTTATCTTTGGAAAATCCAATGGGCCTGAATTTCTACAGGAAGTATATACAGCCATTACATACCATAATAAGTAAGTATAGTTCAGACTTCTGAACATATTCCAAGATCGTTTCAATATCTCCTGGTTTTTCTGAATTCCCTGGGTGACTCTTTCCAACAGTTTTTATAATTCAAAGACTAAAAGAAGAAATTTATGCCTGTTCCGTAATTCTACGTGAGTGACGTACAATTTTTGCCATTAACTAAAACTATGATTTTGACTTTTCTGGACTCTTTAGTCCTAAAATTATGAGAGATTATATAGTGTTAAATAAGGAAATGAATTTTCTAACTTGCTTGGAGCTACCAGAAGAGTTCAGAAGCAAATCAAGCTGTCTTTGGCCATCTCCTCATCTTCTATAAACTACTCCTCACTTGCTCCACTACATGCTTTAAGTTGACCAAAGGAAAAAATGGAGAATTCAAAATTATGTCATAAGTTGAGTCATGGAATACTGGCTAAACCATTATTCACATTTCAGTGCTAGGTGATGAACATCTGTACAGTGTCAGATCTGACCAGATTTGATCTGGCCTGATAACCTGGGTTCATTTAGGTACTTCATTTAAAGAGGTTTGGCCAGGTGAATGAAGCCCTTAGCAAAGTACCTGGGACTTGGTAATTCACAAAAACTAAGCTCCTTTTCCTTCCTGCATCTTCCATCTGTTTCCCCTGTCCTTTCATGAGCATCACCACATGCCAGGCTCTGTTCTTGGGGTAGAGATGGAAAAGGAGGTGAGAGCAGGAGTCTGCACTTTATCCCTACTTCAGGCTAAGTTGGGTTTTCCCATTGTGTGTGGGAATTTCTTTGTCACTGACAAAGCCTTGATTTTATGAGCAGTTTTCTGTAAGTGAGGTATACCCAGTACCATAAGTCTGGCCTCAAGGACTTGCAGCTCAGGAGCAGGATAAAGTAAACAAACGCCCACAGCTACACAGGCCCACAGAAGCACAGGTCTGTGGGGTTACAATTTTTAGTCAGAGAAGTCATCCTTCTTGCTAAAAGTTACTTGTGTTTGATGTGCTTTTGAAACAGGTCTCCTGACTTTTATGAAGAAGTGAAAATTAAGCTTCCTGCTAAGCTCACTGTAAACCACCATCTCCTATTCACCTTCTATCACATCAGCTGTCAGCAGAAGCAAGGGGCCTCCGTGGAAAGTCTCCTGGGATATTCAGTGAGTTGCTTTCAACTTGCCGATTCACACTGCAGTTAGTCAGATGCCAAGGTCACCACAGAGATAAACCACGACATTCTATTCACTTGCTTTTTTCCTGTCAGAAATAGCAAAATGCATGAAGGCCAGATGGTAGCAAAAAAGCAGAAATGACTTGACTTAGCAAATGACAAATTTCATGAATACAAAGCTAGTGAGTGGTAGATATTGAAAGAATCCCCGTAAAAAAAAGCACTGCAATGTCTGTTACTTCAAAATTTAATATAGGTGCCTCACATATAGAACTAGCTCCTTCTCCCCAAGGGGAAAAGTTAATTCTTTAAAAGATATAAGAGATCAAGAGAATCATGATTTGAAGCCAGCCCAGGCAAATAGTTCTCGAGACCGCAAAATATCCATCACAAAAAAGAGCTGGTAGGGTGGCTCTGAGTTCAAAGCCCAGCACCGCCAAAAAAAAAAATGTAAAATGAACATTACTGTTCAGACACACACAAACATTGGCTATAAAGAAAAATGCTACTACTTTTGGCTCTGAAGGCAGTAAATCATTAATATTACCATCTCAGGAACTCTCAGGGAATTTAAAATGCGAAGAACTGGACAGAAGTCACTGCCAAAAAGGGACCTGGTCAATATCTAATCATCGTTTAGTTGCATTTGATTGTTGTGAGCTCGATAAATCGCCAGACTTCTATGCTGTACAAATACCACTTGATTCTTTGCATCATCTGTTTTAGTGGCTGCCAATTCTCCTAAATGAACGTCTTCAAACCGGATCCTACTGTCTTCCAGTTGCCTTGGAAAAGCTGCCACCCAACTATTCCATGCACTCTGCTGAGGTAACCAGCAAGCTAGCCGCAGCTCTTTTCTGTCCAGCCTTGGTCTTGGATGGCCTTCCTAGACTTGCTTCCTGTTCCCTTACATGTGGCTGAGGATACTCATTGTGTTGTCTGGAGGGGTCATCTCTGGATACCTGGTGTTTTCTGACAATCTTATTTTTATAGCATTGGAGGAATATCTGGCTGTAAAAGAAACTTGATTTTTTTATCAGAATGTTCAGTAGATGCAGCTGTAGCCAAGTTCACACTATCTTGCCTTATCTACAACATTGGAGTTTACAGAATAATGTAGTCTAGAAGAGGCAAATTGAGCCCACTTATGATAAACAAATGCTCCCAGCAAGGATCCTTAGAAAAGGTTTCCAGGCCAGAGTCCATCCATTTCTCCCATGGATATTGGGGTTCTTATTCCTCTAACGATACCAATGCCAAAGCCTTTCCCCTTCTGGTCTCGTGCTTCCTCTTGCCCATGTAGGTCTTCTGCAGTTCCCCCATCTAAACACAACCATGGATCTCCCCGCAGCCACACCAGCTCCCCATCTTGTGCTTTTCAGACATTTACCATTTCATTCATAAATATTTTAGTATGTATCTTGAAAATAAGGGATCTTTTTAAACCATCCCAATGCCATTGGCATAACTTAAAAATTTAACTACAACTCCTTAATATCATCAAACATCCAGTGATCATATTTCCGGTTACCCCCAATAAGACCATGTTTTTATACTTTTCAGGTGTGGGGAGCAGTACTGGGATTTGAACTTAAGGTCCTATTGGTTTTTTTGTTTGTTTGTTTGTTTTGAGTCTGGTAGTGGACCAGTACTGGGGTTTGAAGAATTTAAATTCAACTTTTACAGTCAGTTTTCTTTCCCTACCATTTTACTACCCAACCCCTCTCCCTGTCATCCCTGCAAAAGCATCCTTTGCCTTATAACACAGGTTCATGATTGACTTTTGACTAAAACTGTTCTCAAAGTCAACTAAAGGTCATTCTAATTACACTTTTTTTTTTTAGGATTGGGTTTTGAGCGCAGGACTTTGCTCTTGCAAAGCAGGTGCTCTTATCACTTGAACCACACTTCCAGTCCATTTTGTTATGGTTATTTTGGAGATGGGGGGGGTCTCGCGAACTATTCACTGACTGGCCTCAAACCATGATCCTCCTGATCTCAGCCTCCCAAGTAACTAGGATTACAGGTGTGAGCCATCAGCACCCAGGCTGATTACTCTTTATGCTTTGGATATGTAGTAGCTTGCAGAAGCCCTCAGAACTGATTTTCCATTGTCAAGTTACACATTCTAACTTCACAGAACTCCCCTGAAGCATAGAAGAAAGCCTGAGTTTTGAAGACAAAAATCTGGATCCAGAATCTAGACTTTTCCACTCTCTAGCTGTGTGAATATGAGTGAATTGCTTAAGCTCTCTGAGTCTCAAAGACAAAACCAACCCATATCTGTTGATAAGGCTACTGTGAGATAAGAGTGACTGCTGAGTGATAAACATAATGCTGAAGTAAATATTAGTTCTTTTTTCCTACTTGACTTACACTGTCTTTATAGACCCTTCCTCAGACCCTCCTGTTATCCTTCAGACCTGCACTGCCCAATACAGTGGCTGTAGGTGGCTACTGACGACTAGAAATGGGGCTGGTCTAAGCTCAGAAGTATGTTAGTAAAAAAGATGCACTGGATTTCAAAGACTCAGTATTTTAAAAAGTGTAAAATATCTCACTAATAATTTTATATTGATTGCATGTTAAAAATTCTTTAGGCTATATTGGGTTAAATGAAATATATTGTTAAAATTATTTTCACATATTCCTCTTTACTTTTTTAAAGTAGCTACTAGACAATTTAAAACTTTTATATGTGGCTCACATTAAATTTCCATTGGACAGAGCCAGTTTAGATCACAGATGGAAAATTCCAGTGTCTGCAGAGGTTGGAGAAGTAATGTGAGTTAAGGAGTTTTTTCACCATAGTCTGTCCACATGGCTGCCCCTCTGCTGTGCAGATTTGTACTCACTGGGATCCAAGGTTTGTTTTCATATCTTCCAGTTCTCAAAAGCTAGAAAAGCAATCTTTCATATGAAATTTTCTGGCTTTTGAGTGTTGGCAGCTAATTCAAAAAGTTTCCAACACTCTGTAAGCCAAACAGAACTTGCCTGTGGGTTGGAGCCAGCCTTAGGCTCCAACTTGACTCTCCTTAGACTAGTCCTGCAGGTTCCTAACCCAAGCACACCTCCTACCCTTGCAAGCACAGCTTGCTTCCTTCCATCAGAATGACACAAAACCCAGGCTGGACCCCCCTTTCTCAACACTACAGGGGTTCTCCAGAGGAATAGGATTCCAATGGGAATTTAAGAAGTTGTCTCTTTGTGGGCTGGTAGAGTGGCTCAAGTGGGAAGAGCACCTGCTTAGCAAGCATGAGGCACTGAATTCAAACCCCAGTACTGCCAAAAAGAAAAAAAAAGTTATAAAGATTTAGCCAGGTGATGGTGGCCCACACCTGTAATCCTAGCTACTCAGGAGGCAAAGATCAGAGATCACAGTTTGAAGCCAACCCAGGCAAATAGTTTGTGAGATCCTATCTCAAAAAACCCATCACACAAAAAAGGGCTGGTAGGATGCCTCAAGGGGTAGGTCCTGTGTTCAAACCCCAGTACTGGAAAAAAAGAAGTTGTCTCTGCAACCTAAACAGGTATTGACAGATAAATAGTATAGAAGAGGTAAAATGTATAAACTGGAACCAAGCAGGAATGCTGCTTGGAAACCCTTTGTTATAAAGGGAAATCATTTCCAATATTCAAATGCGTTCAAATTTCTTGTCCTGTGCAGATACTCAGCACTTTGTCCTGACACAATTAATGAGAAATGACTTTACTTTGATTTCTAGAATCAAAGATTATCCATGCTGGATGGGAGCTTAGAGACAGATGACCCAGCTCTACTCTCCCCTTGCCACACAAGAACACTAAAACCTAGAGAGTATGATTGACTGTCAAAGTGAAAATAACTAGTTTGTACAGAATTGCACAAGGCTCCCGACTCCAAGTCCAGTCCTAGTAGTTTCGGGGAGAATTTTCTGTTTGTAGGACCTTGACATTTATAGTCCAGTCAAGTTCAGAAAAGGGGATTGGATTGCTAATCTTTTATCCCCTTCTCTCTTTTCATACAGAAAGTCCCTTTACAGAATCCTCCCATTAAGTGGGCTGAAGGCCATAAGGGAGTATTTAATATTGAAGTGCAAGCCGTTTCTTCCGTTCACACCCAGGTAAGGAGCACCAAGGCCAACTTTGAATCAGACCCAGAGGCTAGTAATGAAGATGGAGGTGCAGCTGGGAACCTTCCAGGGATGGCCAGTAAGCGCTCAGTGAAAGTCTTTGTGCATGAATAAATAAAAATCAGCGTTTGGTTCTTTGTGGGGATTTACAGGCCTATTCAGGTCTCATTTGTCATTTATATGGAAAGACAGGAAAAGGTTAAGCACTTAAATGACAGGAGCTGGTATCTGCTGTGCTGGGTGGGGACAGTTGATCTGAAACACTCTTCTGCTGGTATCTCATTTACCTCTGCTTCTACCATCTTACCAGTTTAAAAACAACTACAACAACAAAAAAAGCCATACTCCCTCGTTCGCCTGCCACTGTCTGAGTTTTGCATCTGTTTAGACCCCTTTATCAGTAAGGTGCTTACCTGGTATGCTTCCTCTGCTTACAGAACCTAAATTAATTTTCTTTGGCTAATAATTATTGAGAGGCCCTATTTTGTGCACAATATAGAAGTTCATTACCTGAAGCATCCAGGGTGTTTCCAGTCTGAAACACTAGCTGAGAGGCTATATCCATACAGAGCTGTTTGATTGTCTCTGTGGGTAAATGTTGACAGCACAAGATCCCATGAGGGTCTTCTGCCTTCTGCTTTCCCAGGACAACCACCTGGAGAAGTTCTTCACCCTCTGCCACAGCCTGGAGAGCCAAGTGACCTTCCCCATCCGGGTGCTGGACCAGAAGATCAGCGAGAGCACGCTGGAGCATGAGCTGAAACTCAGCATCATCTGCCTGAACTCCTCTCGCCTGGAGCCCCTCGTGCTCTTCTTGCACCTGGTGCTGGACAAGCTCTTCCAGCTGTCCGTGCAGCCCATGGTCATCGCTGGCCAGACAGGTGGGGACCTGCAAGGGCTGGAAGGAGGCAGGGGCTGGCGGGGCTGGTGGGGCAGGCAGACCTGAAACCTGGTTTTACACAAGTCCAGTAGCAATGTGATCTTCCTTTGCACTTGATGATATAAGTTCAAGACGGGCCAAGTCCAATGCTATTTTTTTTTGAGACTCTGCATGTTTAAAAAGAAACCTTAAAACATTTCTTAATATTAAAGTATTTTTCATGAACTTTATTGAATGATTATGGGCAGTCTCTCAAATTCCATTCCTGGTAATTGGTGGATTTATTTTACCTCTAAGATATGTTTATTTTTTTTTAACCAACAAAGTTTTCTTGACCGTCAGAGTGGAGGCACTTAGTCTCCGAGGATATATGTGGAACCTGCTCTCTCTAGCACTGTGAAAGGCACAATGGGGAGATGAGGAAGTATTAGAAAATCACAAGGCGTGGGAAGTTTCCAGCCTTGAGAGGGAGACTGAAACAGCTGGAGAATCATGTACTTTGGATTCATTTAAGTCCTGTACTGTGCAGTGACAAAAGCTTCTTGGAGGAGGCAGGGCTTTTCTGAACATAGAATGGCTGGTGCAGTTTTGTGAGTAGAAGCAAGGAGGGCTGTCCAGGTGAGGACTATCTCAGCCAAGTCACAGAGGGAGTTAGGAAAAGACACACAATGGGACAATCTGATGGTTGCCTCAATGGAAGGGACGATGAGTTTGAGCAGAAAGAGGTGAAAGCTTGTATAAGTAGACTGGATCAAAACTATGGAGGCCTTGGGCACCAGAACAAGAGGGCATACAGGCATGAATCAATGACTTGTGTGGAGTGACGTAATATGCATACATTTTTAAATTGATCTAAATGATATGAGCTGCAGTTGTACAACTACAAGTCTCAAATCATAGCATGTGCTCAAATCCCTGGAGCATCTTACTGAAATGCACCTTCTGATTCAGCAGGTCTGGGTGGGGGTCTGAGACTGCATTTTGGACAAACTCCCAGGCAATGCTGATAATGGGGTCATCCCACAGACCCCAAAGCATAACCCAGTTTTCAGCAGGGTTTGGAGAGGGAAGCTATGTGTACATGTCTTGGTCATGAAAGACCGTCATGCTGGCAGGAGGAGGAGGATCAAAGGAAGGAGTGAGACTGTGTCTGGGGTAAGCAGAGCCAGAATGTTGGAGCTGACTCAACTCACCTTCCCCAGGCCATCACCTTGGCCAGCCTGGTTAAAGTGGTCAGTGGTCAGGACTCATGGCATAGTGACCGGCCCAGAGATGTCCACCTCAGGATCCTGTTTCTCTCGGTTCCTCAGCTAACTTCTCCCAGTTTGCCTTCGAGTCCGTGGTGGCCATCGCCAACAGTCTGCACAATAGCAAGGACCTGAGTAAGGACCAGCACGGGAGGAACTGCCTGCTGGCCTCCTATGTGCACTACGTCTTCCGTCTGCCGGAACTGCAGAGGGACACCGTGCCCAAGTCAGGTAGCACTGGCCCAGGGGGGATTTGGAGGCAGGGGACCCCTACTTCCACCCCATTGCCATGTAATTCAAAATAACACACAATGTCCAAAGGTTCAATTTCATTTTTCAGAATACAAAACTTACATAAAAATGCCAAAATTAAAAGTTTCTTTCAAGATTTTTCTTCCTCTCCCCTTCTTTTCATGCTCTAAGTGCTTATTGTGTCTGCCTATTTGCTAACCTCTCAGTGAGCTTTGCCCAATTGCCATTTTATGATTCAGGTATAGATTTCTTTTTTAAAAGATGGGGAAGTATCTAGGTATGCCTGGGATTCTAGGATAATAATGCTAAGGAAAATAATCTCTATCGATGGCAGCAATAGCCATAGATCTTAAACTTTTCATTTGCAAAAAATCCGTCTTAGCATTTCCCCAAAACTAATTTTTGAAACAATAATAATCTGCTTCATTGTCCTTCTTAAATGTTTACATAGGTAACTATCAACCAGAACTTCTGATAAGCATGATATAAAAAGTAACATCAATAGAGTTCTTGGCATATCATTATTCTAGGCAGTCTTATCTCACATAAATCTGTAATTTCAGCTGGGCTTTAAAATTTGGGATAGACTTATTTTAAGACACTGTATATGCTTATCCTCATAAGATTCAGATGACTAGATTTTTGAAACTTCAGAAACGTTACTTCATTGCATAAGGTGATTGTTGTTTTAATATTGATTCATTAAAAATATCCACATTTCTAGCTTCTCTTGAGATTTAAGAAACTCTGTCAACCCTGGGGTTTGCTTCCCCACAACAAAAAATAGTCTGGAGCCAAGGCCTGAGTCTCCAGTTCCCAACAGTGCCCTATTGCTTCACGCCCTGTCTACTTCTTGGCCCCCCCAAAATGATGCATCCCTAACTTTTCCCCACCCTCTGCTTTTGATAATGAGACTCTAATTCCAAGGGCTAATCTGGGAGGTTTTCATTGCTCTACCAGCCCTTCCTCTTCAGTTCTTCTCAAGCTCTAAGTGACTCTGTCTGTTGACATGTCTTTGCCTGGTGGAGTGCAGGTGGCACCACTGCCCTCCCTGACCCTCGCTACCACACCTATGGACGCACATCTGCTGCTGCCGTGAGTTCGAAGCTGCTGCAGGTCCGGGCAATGAGCAGCAGCAACCCAGACCTGGCGGGGACACATTCGGCAACAGATGAGGACGTTAAGAACATTGTGTCATCAAAGGTAGGGACAATGTCAAACCTGGGAGGTGGCATGCTTTTCATTTTGTTTTTAGTTGACACATAATAATTGTACCCACTTATGGGATACAGTTTGATGTTTTGATCCATCGTAGGATAATCAAGTCAGGATAGTTAGGAGATCTCTCACCTTGTTACATATATCATGCCTTTGTGAGGAGGACATCCAAAATCCTCTCTTCTGGCTATTTTTAAATATTCAATACAGTGTCATTAGCCATAGTCACCCTAATATGCAATAGAACACAGAACTTCTACTACCTAACTGTAGCTTTATAAAGGCTCTTTTCTTTTTTATTCTTTTTTTTTTTTTGAGGCACTGGGATTTGATCTCAGGGCCTCATACTTGCTAGGCAGATAATCTACCACTTGAGTCCATTTTTTTTTGTGATGGTTTTTTTCAACATAGGGTCTCCTTGACTATTTACCCAAGCTGGCCTTGGACTTTGATCCTCCTGATCTCTGCCTCCTGAATAACTAGAATTGCAGGCATAAACCACCAGCACGTGGCCATTCTTTTCTTTTTTTTAACCAGAATTTGGAGAAACAACACAAAGCAATTACTACTGCTGCCCATTTTGTTGGTCAAACGCCTAACGCTCAGCTTGAGTGATTAAGGGTCTTTTCTTTTGAACTGATGAAGGTCTTTCTGGAAGGTGTAAGACTGGAACTTAAGATCTGCTCAGAATTAGTTAACACTGGTGGATTTTTGGAGCATAGCTGGTTTAGCCACATGGAGTCCATGAATTTTATTTCAAGGGGAAAAATTTAGCTTTAACTTTTCTTGATGCCTATAAAGGTTGTTTTTTGTTTTGTTTTTAATGTCTGCCTTCTACATTCATTCATACCCATAGTCAACTTGTTATCCCATATAATAATCCCAAAGAACAAAGGCAAATTTGTAAATGAATTAAAACTGAAATTGTGAAAGATGACTTGCCCTATGTTGTCTTTCCTTATATGAATTCTTTATTTTTTCTTTTTTAAACATTTTCTTAAATTTAATTTTTTTAATGCATGGTCTCACTGTATTTGGAGGTTGGTCTCAAACTTGAGATCTTCCTGCCTCAGCCTCCCTAGTGCTAGGATTAACAGGTGTGCACCATCACACCTCCATAACACCTGGCATATATTTTTATTTTTAATTAACAAATAGTAATCAGATAGATTTATGAGACACAATGTGACATTTCTGCTTCATACTCAACATCCCTGTTATTAACATTTTCCATCAGAATAGTACATTTGTCATGACTAATGAGCCAGTATTAATGCGTTATCTTTAACTTAAGCTCATACTGAATCCACATTTCCTCAGCTTCTCCGTAATGTTCTTTTTCTGTCTCACGGTCCTATCCAGGATGCTACATGACATATTGTAGTCATGTCTCCTTAGGCTCTTCTTGCTGGTAACAATTTCTTAGACTTTCCTTCTTTGTCATGACAGTGGCAGTTATGAGGAATAATAGATATTTTGTAGAATGTCTCTTATTTGGAATTTTTTAAATATTATAATATTCATGTACCGTAATATTTATCCCTTTAGAGTATATGATCCAGTGGTTTTTAGTATATTCAGAGCTATAATCTGAACTTTTTTCCCCAATCACCCATGGTGTTAGGATAGCTGAGTTTTTAAAATAATATCATTTCCCCTGACTGGTAAAAATCAAGATCTCTAGGTTTAGACATGGTTTCCCTTACAAATTCCAGACACATGAGACTGTGGTATGAGGAAGAAAATCTGGAGAGCAGGGTTGGGTCTGGGTGTTAATGTCACCCAGCAGCGTGACCCTAGACATCTCATTTGCTTCCCTATGTTTCTGCCCTCTCTGGCAAGAGTCTGACCCTTGGCTGAACTTAACAATCACCTATGAATCTTTTAAAAACATTGGATTTAAGCTGGGCATGGTGGTACAAGCCTGTAATTCCCAACACTTGGAAGGCTAATAAGACAGGAGAATAGAGAGTTCAAGGCTAGCCAGAGTCACATAGCAAGACCCTACAAAACCATTAGATCCTCTCCCACAGGTTCTGATTATCTATAGGTTGATTCTTGATATTCTACCTATCCTTTTTGACTTATAAAATTCAACCTAGGGAAGCTCTTTCTAGCTTCTGAGAACTGCATGATAAATTTTCAGGAATTTTTGGGCCAGTTGTGAAACAAGCATCATTAAAAATTAAATTATGTGAATTTACATTTAAACAAAATACAGATTAGAAGCAAAGGTAACTAGTGCACTAGTGCACTGTGATATCTTGGATTGTATCCTAGAACATAAATAAGATATTTGTAAAAAACTATATCCACGTGAAATCCACATGAAGTCTGTGGCTTGCTTAATAGTGATATATCCATAGTAAAGTCTTAGTTTTTCAAATGTGCCATACTATCTAAGATACTGGCATTGAAGGAAACAGGGTGAAGTGCATAGAACCTTTCCACTACCTTTGCAATTTGTCTATAAGTCCAATAAAGGTGGCAATATTAATAATTATTCCAAAATTGAAAGTTTACTTTTAAAAGATAGTCCTCACACCTCATCCCTTTTGAATTGCTTTACTATATTTTTTAATTATCTGTGTTCTTGAGGTAATCCAAGTGTATTGTATGTACACGATGGAAATGCTCTAAAATGGCTTGCTGCTATATATCTTTTCCCAACTCTGCATTTCCATGACGTCATGGAGACAGACTGAAATCAGCCATGATGGAAATATTTGCAGCACAGAAATTGACAAATGCTACAAATGAACCCTCCCCACTGGAGCTGGTGGTAAACACTTGCCAGCACGCTGAGCTTTGACCTCAGATTTACGGCCCCTTTAAGTAATACTGTTTTCTAATTGGCCAGGGAAGAGGTGATCTGTGGCTCTTATGGACAGTCTTGATCTTTGTAGTTTCCTTTAATCAAAATGAAAACATTAAATTTGTGTGTAGACTAAGCTAACCTTTTCTAATCATTTTGTAGTGAAGATAGAAAATTTTGTCCAACCAAAAAAGCAGAGCAGGATCCTTCCTGTTTTTGATTTGTGGTGTAGGAGACTGGATACACTACCACACTGAGCCGCAGAGAGGCACTGTTCCCACATTTTTCCTGCTCTCCCAATAAAGTCACAAACTTAGAATTTTTTTTTTTTTTTTTTTTTTTTTAGTGTGATTCTTTCAGTAAAACTTTATTTATGTTGGGTCAAGTAGTAGAGCACCTACTTTGCAAGCACAAAACCCTGAGCTCAAGCCCCAGGCCCACCAAAAAAAAAAACTTTATTTATAAATGTTGACATCTGAATTACATACAATTTTCATGAGTACTGAAATATTATTTCTATTTGATGACAAACTTAGAATGTTAACCAGTTCTTAACTATAGGTTGAATACACCAAATATTAATGTGTATATCCCATTAATACATTACATAATGGTGATTATCTCAGGAGCAAGTGGAACTAAGTGTGAATTTACCCTCTTTGCTTTGTTTTATATTTCTTTTCTTGTCTTTTTTTTTTTTGTGGTACTGAGGATTGAACTCAGGACCTCATGAATGCAAGGCAAACACTAAACCACTGAGCTATATTCCCAGCCTTGTTTTATATTTCTGTATGCAATTATTTTACCTCTGTAACCAGAAGATAAATCTATTAAAAATGAATTCTGAGGCTGTGATCTCCAGGCATCTGCTCACCTTTCCAGTGTCACTGTCAGTTGACTGTTGGGACGTGGCTTGTGTGTTTCAGATTGCTGATCGGAACTGCAGCCGGATGTCTTACTATGGCTCTGGCAATAACGATGTTCCATGTTCAACTGCAGCCCCAAGGCCGGCCAGCAAAAAGGTATGGAGCAGGACAGCATGAGGATGATCCCAAAGCAAGAAAAGATTTGTCTGCACCTATGATTGAAAATAAATATTACCAAAGTGATCTTCCTCCTTGTTCCCTGCCCAACTTCTCTTTCACTCATACACCTGATTGCTGGACTCTATTTCCAGAGTTTCCGATTCAATAGATCTGAGCTGGACCCCAAGAATTTGCATTTCTAACAAGTTCCCAGCTAGTGATGTTCCAGGGGCCACACATTTTAAACCGCTGCATTAGCCTCCTTTTTGGTAGAAGATGAACTAGGGTCACACTCACCTTGACAAAGGTAAATGGCAACATTACGGATCAATTATTCCAATACTATATGAACTAATATGATAATGCTTTCTTGTCATTCTCTACAGTCAGCCTTACTTATAAGTGAAGAAACTTTGCTAAATGTAGAATTCTTTAAGCCAACAAGATTTCCCCATCAGCCACTGGTCTGAGGGACCGTAGAAACAAAAGCTGTCTGTCCTACTGACTTTTCCAAGTTCCCCTCTGCAAGGCACCTAAAGTCTTACCATTATGGTAGCCACTGAGGTTAAGGTTTTTAGTATCTTTCAAGATTCTTATTAAAATGTGAACATGTTAATTGCACAAAGTAACAAATGAGCCATTTGCAACAGCCAATACCACAGGGAATGTTTATTAAACAGGCAAGGAGGGCTTGAGCCTCAACACAGCTCCTTTGACCTGGAAGAGACAAAGATGGAGAATGAGAGGCCCTGGTGCTGCAGACTGTGCTGTAATCCAGGCACCATATGACAACTGAGAGGTACCAGGAGTTAACTATAAAAGGAAAAGTGAAAAACGTTGTTAGGCTAAAAACTAATTTATCACCAACCCTAAAATTTAGCATTGGGCCATCACAGCCCCTTTGCAGTGACTAATTACAAATACCACTTTCCTTCTTAAAAACCATTATTTGCCTACAGCCTGACTTCTTTAAGGCACGTCCTGTTCAGTTTGCAATTGCATTATTTGACCTGAAATGACCTTGCATTATTTGACCTGAAATGACCAGAAGAGAATCATTTCATTTCTGGAGGAAGTTTAGCCAAAGAGCTCCCTTAATAGCTCAGCAAACAGAGTTTTGCTACTTGGCTATTTTATGTAACCTCTGGAGCAAGGTGTTCTTGTAATAATGCTGTCTAGTAAGCAGCATAAATTACTTTAAGAAGCAGCTGATCCTTGTCTAATCTCTTCCTGCAATAAGACTCTGGCAGTCAGGCTGACCTATTTCCAGAGGCTAACTTTGAAGATGGTGGAGCGTGGCTTTCTTACATGGGAGGATGCAGATGCAGCCAAGTTACGTCATGTGCACAGCTGACCACATGCTAGATTAAAACTCAGACCCACGCCCCTCCCAGATTGCACCTTACTTAAGATTCACAACAGCAAAAAAAAAAAAAAAAAAGCAAAAAAATGTGCTTATATATGTTAAAATTTTAAGATTTAATCTACTTAACAAAAAGAAGTGAAACTGGGCTGGGAATGTAACTCAGTGTCAAGTTTTGCCTAGCATGCACAAGGCCCTGGATGTGCATGAAGACTCCAACATCTTCACAGAAAATTTCCATTTGTCTCCTTTCAGTTTAGCTAAGTAACTCTCCTACTTTTTTCTGGTAGAACTTTTTTTAATTTTACATTGTGATATGTCCACATGTGCTTACAATATACCTTAGTTACATTTACCCCTTACCTCATTCTTCTTCCCCCATTTCCCTGCTTCTTAGAACAATTTCAACAGGTTTCTTTCTTCTATAGTTTTAGCTTTCCTAGCCACTGAACATTTAAACATTGTATAAAATGAATGAAGCCACAGAAAATTCCTAGGCATTGTTTTTGCTTTTCATTAGTGTGACCAACTGTCCTGGTTTGTCCAGGACTGAAGAGGTCCCCCAGATGCAGAACTTTCCATTTTGAACCCAGGACATACCAGGCAAACAGAGATAAGTTGGTAGCTCTAACTTTGATTCTTAAGTTCTTCCCCATCAAAACTGTTGTCAAGAGTGTTAACAAGTATCCAGATAAGCTGAAGAATGGAAAAGATGAGAGTTCACTGTCTGCCCTTCCCTTGCTATGAGAAGTCAGCTGACTTGAAGGGAAGTGAAGATATACGGTGGAGCTGAGGAACTTCCCAAGCAGCTGACCCTGGGACACAGGATTTAGAAGTTATGAGTTCAGGCTTCCAACATGTTTTAATGCAGAGGACCCATTCTTAAACCTGTCCAACCGCATTTCCCACATGAAACCATAGTGGAATTATGCAAAGAAAAATTGTCCAGTCTGAAAGGGAGTCTAGATGCCAGAGGTCCTCAAAGTGTGACTTGGCCAGCAGCATTAGCATCTCCTGGGAACTTGGTAGAAAAGCAAATTCTCAGGCCTTGCCCCAGACCCACTGACTCAATATCCAGTTGGATGGTTTCCAGTCACCTGTGACTTAGCAAGCTCTCCAGGGATTCTGATACATATTCAAATTTGAGAACCATTGCTAGCAGCCAACCAATCTGATATATGAGAAAACCAGAGGGCAAAGAGAGGAAGACACTGTGGGGTGTGTGTGACCATATGCAAGCCATTCCTCTCTAATGAACACCACCAATTCTGACTGCTGACCTGGAATGAGTCTCCATAGAATGCAATGTCACTCTCAGGTTGAGTCTATTCCTTCAAACCTAGCTGTCCTGCACAGTGCCACACCAACCTTCTCCTACCCTCCTAAATGTCCTCTGGCTTTAGGTTATTTCATCACTGTCATTACCAATCACTGCATGTGTGGACATATGCTTCAGAAACTAACGAGCTAGTAAATGGGGGATATATTGGTGAATGGTAACCTTGACTCACAGCCTGGTTTTTGTGGTTATTGTTCAGCATTTCCACGAAGAGCTTGCCCTGCAGATGGTGGTCAGCACTGGAATGGTGCGAGAAACAGTCTTCAAGTATGCATGGTTCTTCTTTGAGCTTCTGGTAAGATTCTTATGTATTTGTATCTATGCTCAATAGTGTGAGAAAAGCACAGGGTAGAAGAAAAGTGATTTTTCCCATAGTAAGAATTAATACCTTGTTCACCCAGTTGCTCCTTCTGAAAATCTGGGATTGTTCCTTGAAAGCTATCTCTCCCTCATCTTCCCCCAGACGTCACGACTCTACCTTGAAACTCTACCCACAACCTGTCACATCGCCTCATGTTCTTCACCTACCCGAGCCACCATCCTTTCTCCCATGCCTCTTGCAATACCTTCCTCCTTCTCCCTTCTGTGTCCATTTTCCCCTTGGCCCATCCATCTTGCACAGCACAGCCATGTTAAGTAGATTATGTCACTCCTCTCTTTAAAACTCTGGTGGTTTTCAGTTTACTGAGAATAAAGCACAAGTTTTTACCTCCACCTCCAACCTCATCCCATGCCATGTCCTCCTTTGTGCAGCCACAATGGTCCCCTTTTAGTCCTTCGAAGTTACTCACGTCTTTTTAGCCTTAAACCCTTTTTTGCATTCTCTCCCTACTTTCTATTTCTTACTCCTCCCCAAACACACCCTGCCTTCTGTTCTTTAGGCTTCAGCTTAAATGTCATCACCTTCAAGAGCCTTTTCTGACCACCTTATCCTGCAGTATGTCCTCTGCTTTACGATTTGCCTTTCAAATGTTCCGTTCATCAACTTCCTAGCACTTACCACAATTTCTCATTGTTTTTCTGTCTCACCTATTGGAGTTTTAGGATTTGGGTCTATTTCATCATCTCTTTCTAGCCCCAGCATGCTGCTTGATATCATACAAGCACCAACTATGCTAATATTTGTTGGAAAAAAATGTGAAGTTTGCTTATCTGTTTATCCTACAACTGCTGCCAGTCTTCCAGCAGAAAAGCAAAAGACACAGCTGTAATTCTTTAATTTTAAAATAAGTACAATAATAGTACTACGTTTTTTTTCATTATTAATGGACATGAAAGTATTTTGGCATGAAGCCACAAAGAATAAGCATTTTGTCAATGTTAGTAAATAGAGATGCAGAGTGAAATGATGTAAATGAAAAAGGTATGAAATTATAGACACCAAATATAAGAAATGTGTGTACAAACAGGAAGATTAGGAATGGAGTGAGATTTGGTGCTGGTGTAGTGTTAGTTTCATATCCTATGACATTAAGTGAATAATATTTTTTAAAAGAGAGTGAAAGAGATGGCAGAATTTCCACCTACACTCCATTTTATCTATTTAAGTTTGAGCTTGAGAAAATGGGAGCAATCTGAACAACCGTAAAGAGAGGAAAGGGGGTCAAAGGAAAGAAAGATAAACTACATATTGGGAGGAAACAGGAAGTGCTGTGTAATAGAGTTCAAAAGAAGCCAGACTCATGCCCCACTCCCAGAAGCACAGCCAAGATTAAAATTCCTTAGAATTTCAAAAAACAGTCCCAAATACCTCCAAGAGAAATGCCTGGAGGTACTCAGTAAAAATGCAGCAGATTCTTGAGTTCCTTCCTAACATTGCTGAGTAAAGTAAGGAGGGGCAGAGTCTGTAGTTTGCATTTATCTGTCTCCCCAGGTAACTTATGGGGTCCAAACCACCTCTGCTCTGTGAGTCCTGAACAGAGCTGAAGTCCTTTGGAATTTGACCCATTCAGCAAGGGAATTTTGTATCCTGAAAGCCAAAGCTGGATAAAGCTGTAGCTCACTAGTCTTAGGTCAAGAGTGTCAGCCGTGAAGCTGGGCTCTGGTGGCTTATACATGTAGTACTAGCTACTCAGGAAGCAGAGATCAGGAGGATCTCAGCTCAAAGCCAGCCTCATGCAAATAGTTCATCAGACTGTATCTCGGAAAAGCCCCACACAAAGAAGGGCTGGTGGAGTAGCTCAAACAGTAAGAGTGCCTTCCTAGAAAGTATGAAGTCTTGAATTCAAACCCCAGTGCCACCAAAAAAAAGAGCATCAGCAGTGAGACATGAGCTCTGGACTGGCAGGAAATGAACTGGCTACAAGCTCACTCCCCTCTTTTTTCTTGAGCCATGAGAAGTCGTAAAAACCAATACTCCATTCCCTGTGTATCCTGCCACTATTTACCTATCCCTCCCATCAAAGTTCTCAATAAAGAAGATTCATTTGGATCACGATCCATCTATAAATAATTGATACAAATAACCTGAATTCAACCTAAAACTTGTGGCTAAAAAGAAGCAAGAAGTGCTGGGTGTGGTGGTTCATGCCTGTAATCCTACTACTCAGTAGGCAGAGACAGAAGTCTCTCAAGTTCAAAGCCACCCTGAGCTATAGAGCAAGTTCCAGGCCACTCAAGCTAAGCTACATAGTGAGACCCTTTCTCAAACCCCTCCACCCCCAAAAAAGCAAGAAGCAAAAACTAAATTTGATCTTGTAGAATCACAGTGTTCCAATTCATATTGTTTACTCATAAACTTGTGTCCATATGAACACACTTCACCTAATCATTCTTCAATCTTATTTAATAGTCACATCCTGTAAGCACTATAGCTCTTTTACTGGATAACTACATCCCTTGGACAGTGGTTCTCAAGCCTCGCTATGTGAGTGTTCCATGAGCAGCACTAGGGACTCTTGAATCCATCTTTGAAGCCTCATCAAAACCCTGTGGGAGAGTACTGGTTCACCATAGTGCACACCAAGGCTAAGTTGGGATTTGCCACCTGCTCAGCCAGTGAGGGGCAGAGCTCAGCTCTCCAACTCTCAAGTTCAGGTTCTTTTCCTTCATCATTTTGGCTCTTTGGGAAGCTCAAGCTCCCTAGCACACTGACAACATGCAAAACTTTCCCATTCAGAAGTCAACAATAAAGTAGTGCTGTAATTGTTATTTTTAGCCTAAGCGGTTCACATGGCATCTTAGAGCTCTGTTTTGAAGGCAAGTTTGCATTCTCTGCTTGTGTCACGATGACTCTGTCCCTCATACAATCTCAGTAACATCAGCAAGGAAGGAAAAATAATAAAAATCTAAAATATATTGCACATCCGACTATGTATGCTAGGCACTGTTCTAAGCAATTTAAAGCATTGTCTCTTTTAATCCTCATACAACCTTGAGGCAAGAGTTTTAATGATTCCCAGTTTACAGACAGGGTTGAACAAACAGTAGTGTCAGTGGAGTTGATAAGGATTGGTGAGACACCCAGGGTGCAGCAGCTGCCCAAAGCCTTTATCAATCCTTGCTATAAAGAACCAAGGATGGGGGGACAGTGTAACTGGGGCCTAAACAAAGCTAGAGGCAGAGAAGAGGGTCCACGTGACAAGGGCTGAAGCCTTAGAAAAACATCACCATTGCCAGAACCACACTGTGGTAAGGATTAGGGCAGTGGAAGTTACTAGAACCACTGTATTCTCCCGACTGGTCTCCTGCTGGAGCCTCCCATTGGTCAACTCCAACTGGAAGCCAAAGGGAAGGCAAGAAGTCCAAATGATGCAGTGCACAGAGACACCTTCACAAAATTCAGAGAGAGAGGACAAGAAACCATGTGGGGACTGCAGTAGAGGCAAACAGAAACTATCAGGCCCAGCCAGGACCTCACAAGGAAGGTGATCTCAGACAGGACACCCAGTACAACATGCATCATTATATACCTACCTGACTATGTCCTGAAAGTTATTTATTGTTTTTGTTTGTTAGTTGTTTGGCTTTTTGTTGTTGTTTTTGAAACTGGGTTTGAACTCAGGGCTTCACACTTGCAAAGGAGGCACTCTACTGCTTGAGCCATACGTTCAGTCCATTTTGCTCTGGTTATTTTGGAAATGGGGTCTTGTGAACTATTTGCCCAGACTGGCCTGGAAATCTCAGCCTCCCAAGTAGCTAGGATTATAGGTGTAAGCCACCAGCATCCAGCTCTGAAAGTTATTTAAAAACCAAACCAGCTCTCTACAACCCCCTGAGAAAGCTTGGAGAGAAAGAAACAGCAGCTTCTTCCAGCTTAGTCAACAACCTGGGCAGTTTAACACCCATCTCTGTACAGATGCCCAGGTGCTAATGAAAAACATTTTGTCATGAAATCTGGTGAACACAAACGTTGGGTGAGTTTCACTCTTGCTAATGAATAAGTCCTGTGCTTCTAGATCATGGAGCCCCAGAGGTAAATGGGTGACCTACTTAGTCACTCAGGCTAAAAAGTTCTGTGCTAAAGGGTTTTTTAAAGGTACCCCTATTTGAATGCACCATGGATGCCAATATTGGAGAAAAGATTTTCCTGCCTCACCCAACCCTACAAATTATGGGCCAAGCATCCACTTGTATTTCTGCTGAGTGTTCATCTCTGGTGACCCAGGGACACAGCAGCTGGCAGGTTGCTGACAGTCTGGAAAGAGGCCATTAGTTGGAAGTACAGCATTGTGAGAATTATTCATTTGGTTGTAGGATGGCCAAAATCAGCAAGCAGGAGCCAAATGCAGCAGTGAGTTGTAAAAGCCTGGTGCTGGGGTGGGTTAGTGAGCAGAGAATCAGGATTGGGGTTTCCCAAACAAAGAGGTCTTGTCTCCTTTGGTCCTTGGTGAAGAATGCAGCAAGAGAATGCTTTTATTGGACAAAATTGACATCCAATTCCCACCCCCATTAGGGTCCTCTCACTAGTATGTGTGTGGCTCTGTGGCATATGACATGTCAGTGTGTTTTGAACCAAACAGGGGAAACCATAGTTTCTTACACCATTAAAATATTACATGGATTTCAGATTCTTAGGCCATCCCAAGGCTGGCAAGGCATTATCTGAAACATGAAACACATAATGACTGGGTGTTCTCATGGTTGGGTGCCTACACTCTGAGGTCATTTTCATGAATTTGTCCAGGCTAGTCAAAAGAAATGGCCCTGGAAGGTGAACCGCACACATTTGCTCCCGAGGTCAGGGCTGGATAGTTGCATGGAACATGAAACAACAGTTTTTCACTTCTCATTTTGCCTCTCTCTCTCTTTACTTTGTCTCAGTGATGACAAAAGTTACCAGGCTTGCATGGAGAGAAACAGAAATCTGCTATTCATGCATAAAATTTTTTCCATATAGTTCTTGGGAGCGGAAGTCAATATTCATGCAACTATCCAGCCTTGACCTTGGGAGCAAATGTGGGTGGTTCATCTTCCAGGGCCATCACTTTTTGCAGTAACTCTCTGACTAGCCTGGACAAATTCATGAAAATGACCTCAGAGTGTAGGCACCCAACCATGAAAACACCCAGTCTTTCCCATTAGCCTGTTCCTAATAGCTCTCAGCAACTTCCATCAGGGTTAAGACTCCACCTCAGACAATGTCAAAGGGGTTTGTGCTGATCCATGAATCTCCTGGCCCCAGGAAGAATGCTGAAAAATAAGTATGGTTTACATTTTTTTTAATGGATTAGGCATTTGGGAGGCAGAAGCAGGAGGATAGTGAGTTCAAGGCCAGCCTCAGTTAAAGAGTGAGACTCTTTCTCAAAAAACTAAAGGATGGGGATGTAGCTTAGTGGTAGAGCGATTTCCTAGCATGCATAAGGCCCTGGGTTCAATTACCAGTACCACCAAAAACAATTGTTGTACTAGTCACAGATAGATAGATAGAAAGAGAGATAGATAGACAGACAGACTACAAGTTAGGCTTATAGGACTCAATATGATTTCCCCTAGAAGAAATATGCTAAATAGTGACTAAATTCCCAGCTAGCCAAAAAAATCCTGCTCAAGCCATAATATGGTTTAAATTTATAGAAGCAGAAAATAACCTCATTATAAACTATAGAATTACTTCTGGAAAAACTGGAAACTCAAGGTAGGAGGGACAGTTTTTCCCTGTTCTCTTACTATAGTTTCAGGGGCAGAAGAGACTTGAGTTCACATCTGATACAGCTCATAAGCAGTTCCTCTACAGTCCTGGGTCATGTGCTGTGACAGCCAGCTGTTGTCATGGCCTTACAGGGTGGAGGCCGTTGGAGAATGGGGAGTCTTCTGACACTGGAGCTAAAGAATTAGGCTCCTGGCTTTGTCAGCAGTAAGAAGGGAGCCCCTGCCTTAGGGGTCAAGAAGAGGACACCTTTCCCAGCTCCTTTTGCCATGGCAACCATTTGTGTATCAGAAACATTTTCTAGTCCAGAGACAGTTTGGACACCACCAGCACCAATAAAGTGTCAGAAAATCCACTGTGAAAGAGCTTTTCTTCAACTCAGTCCCCCTTTCACGCATTGTACAAGCAGGTCACCAATCTCCATGTTGACATTTCCCCCATCCCTCTGTAGGTGAAAAGCATGGCCCAGTATGTACATAACCTGGACAAACGGGACAGTTTTCGGAGGACTCGTTTTTCTGACCGCTTCCAAGATGACATAACTACCATTGTTAATGTGGTCACCTCGGAGATTGCAGCTCTTTTAGTGAAACCTCAGAAGGTAACTATGTCTCTTAACTTCCTAAATCATTTACCTTGAACATACTACTTTCGCAGAGGAAAATAAGCATCAGTTCAAAACAGTAATCAACACATAACTACACATGATACTTAAGTGTAGTATGTTATTACTGGACTGGACCCTGAGGGTGGGCTGGGGATCACTATAAAGAAATTGCAATATGGACTGTCATTTGAGTTATTTTATCAATGTAGGTGTGAGAGAAAATACTCTTGCTCTCAGGAAATATACTCTGAAGTTTTATGGAGTAAACGGGATGATATTTGCAACCTACTCTAAAATGGGTCAGAAAAAAATTATATATATATATATATATATGCACACATGCAGAGATATATATACAGAGAATAATAATAATGCAATTGTAGGAAAATGTCAAATATTGATGAATCTGGCTACACAAGATACACAAGAGTTGTTTGTACTATTCTTGCATCTTTTCTGAATAATTTCAAAGTAAAAGTTAAAAATATATAAAACAAAATTAAATTAAAACTTAAAGGTGACTAGAACACTGTAGGGAGCAGTGTTTATTATTCATAGCTTTATCATTATTGAGAATTTGTAGAATACCAAGTGCTCAGGAGGCTTCTGTTTGGTTTTTGTTCATGGCACACTTTGTTAGAACAACAATGGTACCTCTATATTGGCAGACATGAAAACGGGAACAGTGAGGATGATAAATTTTCTCAAAGTCACACAGTTCATGAAAAAACCCAGACTGGTGATTCCACATCCAGATTTTCAGACAATCACATGAACACCCCAGGGGCGGAGGTGGCCACATGGGAGATGCTCAAGACTTCTCAATGATTCTCTAGAAACCTCTTTATCAGGTCTCTATCCATACCAGTGACTGGTCAGCTTGGCCTGAATTTCTACTCCGCACATCCTAACAACAGGAAAATAGTTTTAAAGTATATTTTCAGGGGGCGAGGAAGGGAGAGAGGCGGCCCAAACTATGTGCATACATGTGAGTAAATGTAAAAGCAATAAAATAAAATAAAAAATAAAGTATATTTTCAATAGAGACAGAAGAAAACAATTTATCAGTCTGAGAATAAAGGTTCTAAACATAAAAAAGGTGAATTTCTGATTATTCTGAAGTGCTGAAAAATCCCTCATAAATATGAGCACAGACAAATAATTTTAAAAAAGAAAACTTGGCTCCAATTCATGCAAGAATTCACCCCATCAAGTATGACTCTGACCTATTTTAGGCCTAATTGGAAAAAAGTTTCCTTAGGTTAAAAACTGGGTCTTTTATCCTGATTGGATTTTCTGCATTAATCCTTATAAATTAAGAATTTGTCTCATTGAAGAAAGTAAACGCAAGTCAAGTTAGTTTGCCAAAAAATTCAGCCAGGCATGGTGGTACTCGCCTGTTTGAGGCAAAAGGATCACCAGTTCAAGGCCAGCTTAGACTACATAACAAGACCCTGTCTCAAAAAAAAAAGAAAAATTAAAAATTCAGAATGCAAACTTGTATGTCAAGAATGAAGTCAGTGTGGCTGCTGTGTCACATTTGTGTGAGTAGGTGGCAGAGAGAAGAGAGGCTGTGTCTACGCTCAGTGTTTTGACTGGTGGGCATCTGAATGATTAGTAGTCTGACATTTGACAGAATAAAAAAAAAAGAATGAAGTCAGTTCTATACATGGAGGTGTGCATTTAGGGAAAAAAGGTGACTGGAAGGAACTGCACCTAACGTTAGCAGTACATAAAGGATCACCTGACTCAACCTAACAGTCATGGATTGGGTAAGGTATTTTATATTTTTCAGACTTAACCTGCTTTGCCCAGTATCAACCCAAGGGACAGTGGCTAATATAATACGATCCGCCTCTCCCAAAGTTCCCACAGACCTGGGAGTTCATGTCCAGAGCTTTCACAAAGTAATTTGTGTGGTCATATGCTTCTTTTTAAGGAAAGTGAACAGGCAGAGAAAATCAACATCAGCCTGGCTTTCTTCTTGTATGACCTTCTTTCTCTCATGGACCGTGGGTTTGTGTTTAACCTCATCAAACATTATTGCAACCAGGTGAGTGCTCCCCAGAGTTGGCCATTTTGTTCCTTCTCTCCGTTGCCATGGAATGCTGTCTTAGTCATTGCCACATTAACTCCTACACACCCTGGGCCTCATGGGACATTCCTCATGTCTGTGCCATGGACATCCCTCAGAGACACTCACTGGTTCACCTGGATTTCTAGAGTGTCTACACCTAGTAATGAGTTAATCTGTGAGAACTGAAATTTGTTGCTTATACGATCTCATTTCTCTAATTTAACAAAGAGCTGGGCTTCAAAATATGAGGTCTCTTTTCACTTATTAAGGTAATTAAGTTGCTGTTGTGATGTTTTGATTTTTAAAAGCTCTGATGAAATTAAAAAGATTGAATTTCACTGAGCACAAAGCAAATATTTTATAATCCGAGTACAGCTTATCAGTGTTATCCTCCCAGATTTTTTAATGTAATTCTTCGTTCACTGTTCCTCTCAACATGCCCTAACTATACCAACATAAAGAGCAGTTGCTGTTGCTTCTCTCCTCCATCCATATTCTTACTGTGGCTACAGCCACTGCTGTTATTACCACTACCACCACCACTGTCCTCCCCTCCCCCACACCTCCACCAGCATCACCACCTCCACCATAATCACCTCCCCATCACCCTTCCACGCATCACTACCTCTACCAATATCACCACCTCCACCAACAGCACCACATCCACCATTTACACCTCTACCATCACCAGCTCCACCATTACCATCTTCATCATTACTACCTTCCCATCACCACCTGCACATTGCCATCAAAACCATTACCACCTCTACCAGCACCACCATTATCACTTGGCTCTTTGTAGTTAGTAACTAAGTGACTTTAAGTAAGTCCTTCTACTTATATGGGTCTCAGTTTCTTCATTTTTAACATGAAAGGATTCTCCCCTGCAGGAGGTTTGAGGGATTTGGGAACTGAGCAAGGAGGATTGGCCACAAGAGTCAGTGGCACACGAGCTGGGTTGTATGAACTCTTGGACAGGGTTGCATAAGAGAGGAAGTCTTTCCCAAATCAGGACTGCCCTGAGGCTTACAGTGAGGGGCCAGCCTCCAGAGTAGCAGGAAATCCCAGGGAAGAGGGGCTTGCATATCTAGGTAATGTCACTCAGCAGCACAGTGGGGAGTCTCTGGGTCACAGAGCTTCAAAGGACTATAACTGATTGGCACCTAATAAGCATAAGGCTCTGTCTTAGCAACAGAAAGCAGCTGTCCAATGAGACTTCATGGGATCTGCAAAGCGGTTGGCTGTTTTTCAAATAAATGAATGTGTGTTGATGGGATGGGTATCAGGTGCAGTAAAGAAACAACTCAGGAGCCAAAACATGGAGGTCTTTGGCTCATTTATATAACATCCCTCTCCAAACCAAACCCAAGAGTTTTCTAAAGAATGCCCTGGCAGGGAAGCAGAATTTTAAAAAAAGAGAATCTTAAGGAAATGTCAGAAGTCCCAGTGTTCACCTGTCTGTGTCCCTGGGCGGCTATTCTGTCCCAGGATCCACCAGAGTGGACCACAGAGCAAACACTTCACTCCTTCTTACCTGCCTTTCAAATACAAGTTAATCTGTTTTCAGAACTCTAAGTGGCCTGTAGGACATTGCTGGAGGCCCAGGTCAGCTGGCCATGTGGGGACACTTTCATTTCAAAAGGGAAATTAAACTATCCAAGGCAGGCTGCACTGTCCTGCAGGATGCACATTTCATTTTTCTCTCTTTGTCCTTTCTTTTCTCTTGCTCACTGTTTGTCTTTTAAATTCTTTCTTTTCTTTTAGCTGCCTGTTCTTTTTCTTCCTCTCTCCTGTTTCATCATCCAAAGAGCCCTAGACTAGGGATCTGGGAACCTGTGTTCTAATCCTAGTAATGCCACTGGCCACTTCTGTGACTGGGGATACAGACCTTGGAGGCATTGGTTCCTCTTTACACCAAGATAGTGACATAGACTCATTGAGGCCTTGACACTGATTCTGTGCCCTGTGACTGCCAATGACATCCTATCTCTTAAGATCATCGCTAACACTCGGGCAAAAAAAAGATCACTGGCTCCAGTCAGTGTCGACTTAATTCATTGATCCCAGCCATCTACACGCAGGATGAACTTCACACCTGAGGCATGTTGTGTTCTTCCAAAGTCCTTTGGTTTGATGGTTTTTGCATAACTGGATTCATGCTGGCACCTTCTCTGCCATTTAAGGACTTTGTGGCAATAGCCATAACCTTGGACTTTTATTAATAGTCATTAACAACAGATAAATCTACTTTTTCGGCCATCCTATGTCTTGCACTGTGGAGTTAACACCATCCCTTGGGTAGGGCCGCTGAGGCTGCACTGTGGGTCCCAACCTTTGGTGAGACCGTTTCAGGAGCAGCACCTCCCTCACTCTTCTTTTCTAAGCATCACTCAAACAATTTTTGACATTTCTGTCTTAAATGAAGTCTCAAGGGCCTCTAAATATTCCCATCGAGGCTTTCTTTCAAGTGCAGATATCTTTTTTTTTTTTTTTGGTGGTGGTGCTATGGTTTGGAGTCGGGGCCTCATACTTGCTACGCAGGTACTCTACCACTTGAGCCACTCCCCCAGCTCAAGTGCAAATATCTTGTGCTTTCAAGTTCTGATAGCCAGCCTGAGCCAACCCAACAGCTCTGTGAGTGACTCTAGCAAGGTCACCTACTTTACCTACAGGGAAGCTGCCTCTGAACCTGAGACCTCCCACCCTTCAACTCACCCAAGGAAAGTGAGGAGTCTTCCAGACTATTCCCCTCATCAGCTTTTCATTGCTTGCTTCATGGTTTGTTTTTTAAAGAAAGATTTTCCCTAAAACCTCTTTTTGTGTTCTTTTTTTCTCCATTTCCTCCTCTCCCTCTATGGAACACACTGACTTTTGTGCAGGTAGTTTCTATTTTCCCAAGCACATTGATGCCTCCTCTAGAGAACTGGCTTGAGAATTTTCCAATGAGGATTTTAATTAGAAACTACTAGAGAACTCTTGGGTAATTCAAATCATATTCCTTGAGTTGTATACCTGTGTAAGGTCAACTCCTTTCATTTAGCCTCTAAGACATAGTTGGGTTTTGTAAAATGAATTATGTTAAACTGAAGATATATCTCAAGCTTATTTTCTGCAAGACTTGTGATATTTGGATTTGAGAAGTGGGGGGGTGGGTCACAAGGATCCTTGTTTTGGACGGCCATTAGGCTAGAATCATTAAGGGAACAGTAATAAGTAAAAACTTATTGGAGCTGGGTATCGTGGTACATGCCTGTAATCCCAACACTTAAGGAAGCTGATGCAGGAGGATTGAGAACTTGAGGCCCTTTGGGCTTCATAGTGAAACCCTGTCTCAAAAAAAGAAAATGGGAGACAGGAAGGAGAGAGAGAGAGATAAGGAAAGGAAAACAGAAAGAAAGGGAAGGGAAAGAAAGGGAGGAAAGGAGGGAGGAAGGAAGGAGGGAGGGAGGGAAGGAAGGAAGGAAGGAGAGAAGGAAGCAAGGAGGGAGGGAGGAAGGAGGGAGGGAAGGAGGAAGGAAGAAAGGGAAGTTTTTAGGCCTCCTTGTAATGCCATCTATTGTCCTATTGGATTAATTTTTATTAAATCTATTGTCTTAAAATGTGGAGAGAGCCAGGGGCTGGTGGCCCTCCTAGCTACTCAGGAGGCAGAAATCAGGAGGCTCTCAGTTTGAAGCCAGTCTGGACAAATAGTTCATGAGACCTTTCTCAAAAATACCCAACACATAAAAGGGCTGGCATAGTGGCTCAAGGGTAGAGCACCTGCCTAAATAAGCATGAGGCCCTGAGTTCAAACCCCAGTACCACCAAAAAAAAATAGAGAAGGGATATTTTTTGTGTCTCTCAAACTCAAGCTCCAAGTTATTTTATAATAAAGTCTTTCCTCTTTTCATTTTTCTTCCCAGCTGTCGGCCAAGCTGAATAACCTTCCAACACTCATTTCCATGAGGTTGGAGTTCCTGAGAATTCTCTGTAGTCATGAGCATTACCTCAACCTGAACCTCTTCTTTATGAATGCTGACACTGCGCCAGCATCGCCTTGTCCCTCCATATCTTCCCAGGTAATCAGCTAACTGGCAGAATTAGTCAAGCTCTTTCAGTTAATTGGCTTAGTTGATCATATATTTCCTGTGAATGTTGGTCTTACTAGTTAGAAGAAAAATCAAGCTATTCAAACCAGATCAGTTGATCCAGATATGGACAAGAATGCTACCCTGAAGTTTTACCATCTTAACTAACAATTTACAAGCTAAATAATTTGATGTCTTACTAGGCTCAAGGGTCCCTGGTGAGCCAACTATAGAAAGGAATTTTGCTGAGTGCTGGTGGCTCACACTTGTAACCCTAGCTACTCAGGAGGCAGAGATCAGGAGGATGGAGGTTCAAAGCCATCCCTGGGCTGAGTTCATGAGACCGTATCTCGAAAAAACTCATCCCAGAAAAGGGCTGGTGGAGTGGCTCAAGTAGTAAGAGTGCCTGCCTGGCAAGCGTGAGGCCCTGAGTTCAAACCCCAATGCTACCAAAAAAGAAAATTAAATTAAAATGTCTTAGCCATTTGTGGCAGATGGCATGGCACATATGAATGTGGACCGGATCCCACCTGACTGCAAGGAGCAATTCCAAGTGCCATAACCCTTCTGCTGCCACCTGCCCTAAGGCCAAGCCCTCCAACTGCCAGGGTAACTTTGCCCTTCGTCCTCTCCCCGCATTCCTCTCATGACTGCCCCGAGAGCTAGCAAACCCAGGTGGGCTCACCAAAACCTGAAGATTTCCAGACACACTTCAGATGCTTTTAAGGAAGAAAAGCATGTGCTCCCCAGTAGAACAGGCCAGGAATTGCCTCAGACAGGTAAGTCCGACATTCGCCAGCCTCACACTGCATCTGCTTCCGGGCTAGCAAGATCCAGAGAGCGTGCTCAGACCATCTTCAGAAGTGTCATTGGTAAACAGTACATGGTGCAGTTCTCATTTCCCTGTCCACATTTCATCCTGGGATTTTAATCTTCAATTTGAGAAAGGAGTGCTGATCATTTTTCTTTTCCTTTCAGGTTCTGGGGTTGAACCCAGGATCTCACTCTTGCTAGGCAAGCGCTCTACCATAGAGCTACATCCCCTGCCCAACTTGTCAGCAGACCCTGAGTGCTTTATTTTCATCTTTTCTGGTTGGCAGTTGGAGATGTATGTGATGGGAAGGGTTTTTTTTACCTGCCACATGGGGTACTAGCAGTACCTGTTCACTGGCTAGTTCTCGCAATGCCTGGCCAGGACAAGGGCTCCTAAATACTGTCTGTGGATATTAGTTCCTTGATGCTCCTAAAACTGCTGCTTGTGTTTCTGTAGAACTCGAGCTCTTGCTCCAGTTTCCAGGATCACAAGATAGCCAGCATGTTCGATCTGACTTCAGAGTACCGCCAGCAGCACTTTCTTACCGGGCTCCTCTTCACAGAACTGGCTGCTGCCCTGGACACTGAAGGGGAAGGGTATGTATCTGACACTTCAAATGGAACGTGAAGTAAAAGGAAAACATGGTCTTCAATAAAGTTTGCAACACAACTTATGCTTAATGAAAAACTCTACAGTTCACCAGTTACAAGGAGTGGAAACACTGGTGTCTTAAAAAAAAAATGGCACCCATAGAAATGTAGAAAGGTGTGGGGGAGAAAGAAGAACCACAAAATGACTTAATTTTTTTTCTCATGGTCCTCGAAATCGAACCCAGGACCCCCTGCATGCTAGGCAAGTAGTCTACCACTGAGCCACATCCCCAAGCCCCAAATGACCTTTTTGTAGTCACCTATTTATTAAGCAGAATTTACCCCCAAAATGACCTTTTTTCAGTCACATACTTACTGAGCAGAATTTACCGAGAATGCTTTGATCAGTGCACTCCCTAGGATCAAAACTATTTTGTGGACTGGAGGTGCGGCTCAGGTGGTAGAGCACCTGCTTTGCAAGCATGAAGCCCAAAGTTCAAACCGCAGTCCCACCAAAAAAAAAAAAAAAATTTGGCAAGTGGGGTGCTAGGATCAAACCCAGATACACACTAAACATACATACGTTCTCCCACTGAGCCCCAATGAAGTGCCTTTAGCAAAGCACACACAGAAGCAACAGCAGGATGTCACCGGCTCAATGTGGAACAAGGAAGTAACTGCTGCAGAGAAGGCAGCTGTCCTGGGTTCCAGTCAGGCTTTCCCAGGCGAAGAGAGATGCCACAGCCCAGGGTTTATGAAGCTGCACCTGAACACCCAGGAGCACGCGCTGTATCTAGTCTTAGTGGTCCATGGCTTCAATTCCATCTTCTCTCAGCTCTAGCTAAATTTCTCCCCTATCACTAATGTGCATTTCCCCAGCAGCAATGCCCTAATATACAGCTGATGTGTGCTGAGAAGAAAGTTTGAACACAAAGGAAATTGCCTTCCAATACAAACACACCGTTATCTTAATTGGTCCATAATGGCTCTGCTTTAAGTGATTTCTGAAAGTAATCATTTGTATTTATTTTAGCTGTAGTTTGCATTTTCCATTTCCCTTCCAGTTGGAAACAGCTCTGACATCTGTTTTTGATTTCCGGTAAAATGCTATGATATTGAATGGCAATAGGATATAGTATGTTCAGAGATCATCATGTAATTATGTTTAATCAGGTAGCTACATTCTTCAAACACACAGACTACTTTTTCCACCCCCCAGAGAGTAACTAATTAACAGTGTTCCTCTTTTGGCAAACAATATCCCTGATTGGGAGTTGTCAGTTGCTCTCCTGGAAAGTCATTAGAAATACTGTCAGGATTAGAAATACTGTCAGGACTTCAGGGCGTGGGCTAAAACCTCAGAAAAAAAATCATCTTTTAACAAAACTGCCTATTGATCAGTACTTCCTTTTGCTGCCAAGACAGTTAATACAGTCGCTGACACCTGTTCCCCACCCACCCGCCCTCACCCTGTGAGACAAGGACTGGTGGACCATATCTCTGTCCCTGGACCCCCTACAAGGAGCCACAGCCACAGTTGCAGGCCCACTGGAAGCTGGGGTTCCCTGAAACCTCATCCTTGGGTATACAAAATGTCTATGCATCATTAAATCCACAGCATTTCTCAAACTTTCAGGACTTTTCTAACATCTTTGTGTTAAGCTAGTAAATTGCAATGCCTCATTCAAAACACGGCCAGGATGGGAGCTAGAACAAGAACACCTTTTGAGATGCAGCAGGCAGTTGTCTAAGTCTATTGTAAGAATCTGGGCCATTTGAAAATGTAGTTACAATTTTCCACCTAACCCTGGATGTAGCATTATATTGCCTGAAAGAAAAAAAAGTAGAATTTTAACATTGAACTTTTGGGGCTGGGTTCCAGATGCTCTACTGAAGTTTCATTTTTTTTGCTTTTTATTCAAATATAATTTATATACAACAAAGGGCCCCAATCTTAAATATGAAGTGTAATTAATTTTTACCTGGGAATATTCTTGGGTAGCTATTAGCCAGACCAACATATAGGGTATTTCTAGCATCTCAGAATGTTCCCTGTTGCTTCTCTCAGCCATAGTCCTCCTCACCAAGAGATTTATCACCAGATATTGCTATTGCCAATTGTTGAACTTCATGTGCTTTTGCTGAATTTTGTGCCTGTAAAAGCCATCAGTGCAGTTGCATGTATCAGTAATTTGGTTTTTTTTAAATTTCAACTGTTTATAGTACTCCTTTGTGTAAATATACTACAATTGAACTACTACTAATGAACATTTGGAAGAATCCAGTTTGGGGCAATTGTGAAAAAAGCTACTATAAATATTCCTGCACATGGTTTTGGGGATACATTAGAACTCATTTCATTAGGGGTGGGCAGCACTGGGGTTGAATTCAGGACCTTGCTCTTACTACACAGGCACTCTACCTCTTAAGTCACTCTGCCAGCAAGAACTCATTTCTTTTGGGTTTGAATTCATCCTACTCTTTAATTTTCATTTTAATTTATGGTTCTTGAATAGGCAAATATACTTATATGGCCTTAACAAAATACCAAAAGAGCCTGGTGCCGGTGGTGGTTCACACCTGCACTCCTAGCTACTCAGAAGGCAGAGATTAGGAGGATCTCGATTCAAAGCCAGCCCCACACAAATAGTTCATAAGACCCTAGCTCAAAAACCCATCAGAAAAAAAAAAAAGGCAAATGGTAAACCACCAGCCTAGCAAGTATGAGGCCTTGAGTTCAAACCCTACTACCACTTTAAAAGAAAAGAAAAGAAAAAAGAATGTACAATGAGCTGGGAAAAGAAGAGCAAACTAAATCTAAAACAAACAGATGATAGAAAATAATAAAGATTACAGCCAAAATAATGAAACAGAAGGGAAAAACACAGAGAAAAATCAGCAAAGCCAAAATCTTATTACTTGAAAAGATCAACAAAATTAGCAAACCCTTACATAGGCTGACCAAGAAAAAAAGCAGGAAGACTCAAATGACTAAAGTAAAACATGAAAGAGAGTCACCGCTATAGTCCTTACAGAAATAAAAAGAATTTTAAAGGAATACTTCAACAATTGTTTACCATCAAATTAGTATAAATGGACAAATTCCTAAAACAGACAAAACTGGTTCCAAGGAGAAATTAAAAATCTGATGGGTCTGTAACAAGTGATTGAGTTAGTAATTAAAAGGAAAAAAGCTTCCCACTAAGAAAATTCCAGAACCAGGAAGATTCTCTGGTGACTTCTACCAAATACTTAAAGAAGAATTAACGCCAATTCTTTATAGACTCTTCCAAAAAACAGAGGTAGAAACTTTCCAACTCATTCTATAAAAACAAGCATTATCCTGAAACAAAAACCAGACAAAGACATCACAAGAAAATTATAGACCAATGTCTGATGAAGACAGATGTAAAATTCTCAACAAAGTACTAGCAAATGGAATCCAATAACATACACAAAAGATTTTACACAATGGCAAATTAGGATTTATCCCGGGAATGCAAAGCAATTTAGCATCTGAAATTGAATTGATGTAACGTACCATATCAATAGAAAAAAGGCAAAAACCACGTGGTCATCCCAATGCAGTAAAAGCATTTGATACAATCTCATACTCCTTCCTGATAAATACAGTGGACAAATACAAGAGAACGCTCTCAGACTAATTAAAGGCATGTTGGAAAACTCACTGTGGAAAAGTAGCTGGAAAAAACTCACAGCTATCCTGATAATTATTAGTGAAAGACTGAATGCTTTTCCCTTGAGATCAGGAAGAAGATGGAGCAGGAGGGGAAGGGAAATGGGAGGAGAAGGAGGAAGAGGGGAAGGAGAAACATACAGATAATAGTGTCAACAAGGAGAAAATTGAACATTCAGACACTGCTGGTAAAAAAATATATATATAAGTGGTACAGTCCCAGTTATAAACAATTCATTGGTTCCTTTAAAGATTAAACATAGCTGGGTGCTGGGTGGCTCGTGCCTGTAATCTTAGCTACTCAGGCAGGAGGCAGAGAGCAGGAAGATCATGGTTCAAGACCAACCCAGGCAAAAGCAAGACCTTCTTTAAAAAAAAAAAAAGTAAAGGTTAAAGAGAGAGTTGCCACACAGTCCAGAGATTCTACTCTGAAGTATATGTCCTAAAGAAGTAATACATGTTTCTACACACAAAAAACTTGTGTGTGTGAATACTTATATCATTGTTTATTTTTCATAATAGCTCCAAAGTGGAAACAATCCAAATGCCCATCAATTGATGAATGGATAATCAAGACGTATTATATCTATTCAATGGAATATTATGCATCATGAAAAAGGAATGAAGTACTCATGCGACATGATAAGCTTGAACACATCATGCTAAGCAATACACCCAAGATTATAACACAGGCAGTGTCTCTCTGGATTCTAGATACTTCTGGCCTAGTTTGCTTAGTTTTCACACTGTCACCTCATTGTTTAGGAGCTCTTATTCACTCTTTTTGTTTAAGAGCCTCCATCTCCCTTCCTCATAACCTAATTCCTTCTGCTACTCCCACAGAATCAGCAAAGTGCAGAGGAAAGCTGTCAGTGCCATCCACAGCCTGCTGAGCTCTCATGACCTGGACCCGCGGTGTGTGAAACCGGAGATGAAGGTCAAAATTGCCACCCTTTACCTGCCTTTGGTTGGCATCATTTTGGACACTCTGCCACAGCTCTATGATTTTACAGGTGAGGGTCCCCTCTGCTTCCTTCCTTGAATTGATGTGTCCCCTAACAAATGCCCCCAACTCTGGTGCTGATGGGCTTGTATGAGCAATGCTTTGCATCCATGTCCCCAAAACTTTTTAAGGCACATAACTGTATGTAGGGTGTTTGTTCAGAATATATTTATTTGTTCATTCATTCATTCGTTGATCTGCTAGAGTATGATGAACTTTATAAATTATGCACCACAAAAGATGAAATATAATAACAGAACCACTCCCTTCAGAGATCCCTGCTCTAACGCCTTGAAGTAAAGAGCTTTTCTTTTATGAATGTTTAAGCAAAGCAGTAGTCTCAAATGAAAGCAATCAATTTTTTTGTTTTGTGCCAAAAAAAAAAAAAGTCATGATGTCTTTCAGTATTAGGAAATTCTGCCACAACAGGGAAATGTTGCCTTTGCCACAGAGGCCAATTCTGAAGGCAGTCTCTCTTGCTTAATAGCAAGGGGAGCAGGGTAACATTTCTTAAAGGGGTTTGTACACTTCTTAAATCTATTTACATATTACAATGTAGATTAGAGAATACAGATGGAAACACACTATTCTGATCAATTCAGAGTAGTTCTTGCTTTTCTTTCAGTTCAAGGAAAGTTCTTAGAAATTACCATGCTTTGGGGGTGGGGGAACAAGACAGGGTAATTGAGGTATGAATATAATCAAAATAGGTATATACATGTATGAAAATGTCATAATGAAACCCATTATTCTGTACAATTAATATATTCTAATGAAAACTGTCTATGCAAATGAAGGTAGGGAGGGAGAGAGGGAAAGAAAGAAGGAAGTTACATACTGCTCTCCTGAAGATCCTAGGGTCTGAGGAATGCTTACCTGAACCCATGTATTCTCACTTTCTCCAAATGCAAAGTCATATGTGATTAAACTATTTCTAAAATAATCAGCATGACAATTATTTAGCTCATAAAAAGATGAGACCAAGCATCATCTATGACCTTCAATTCACGCAAGTCATAGAAGAAAAGACAAGCATTCTTATGAACATAATTATTTCTTTTCTTAAAAAAAAAATCTCCAGGCACTGATGGTTTATGCCTGTAGCTATTGGGAGACTGAGATCAGGAGGACTGAGGTTCGAGGCCAGCCCAGATAAATAGTTTGCAAGACCCCATCTCCAAAATAACAAGACCAAAATGGATTAGAGGTGTGCCTCAAGCAGAGAACACCTGCTTTGTTAGTTCCTGCTTTGGTAGCACAAAGCTCTGAGTTCAAATCCCAGTCCCACCCCCAAAAACAAAAATTCCTCCAGCAAACTTCCAAAGGAAAGCTCTGAAGAGAAAGATTGAGAGATAGGGGCTAGGGCTTGTGGAGTTTTATTGGACCACAGGCAAGGAAGTTACAGAAACAAGCCTGGCACACAGGAGTGAGCAACATGCAGAAGGAGATGAAGAGCTTCTTCTAGGAGCTTGGGCTGGAGTTGTCATCAACACAAAGAATGCAGAGCATGACATATGGCTAGCAGCCCACTGGGAGATTCCGCTTTGAAAAGTTTCTAGAATGTTTCATTTGAAGATCGATGACATTTGTTCCCAAAGTTTTCTTTTGATTAGACTGTTCCAGTCAGTCTCTTGCAATCTGAGCTTTTCAACACTAGGTCTTTGAACCTTCTAGACCACAAATGTTTCTTTGCCTATCTGTTGAAATTTATGGTCCTGATGACAAAGGCATTTTGTTACGATGATAAGAAGGGAAATGATAAAAAATTTTCCATCATTACAGGTCATATAGTACATCTATTAAGTAGCAGTTTTCAGATAGAATACAGATAGAATTCAGATACATCTGAATTCAAATTTCAGTCCTATTTGTTGCTATCTGTGACTTTTGATAAATTCAGCTTTCCAGTGTCTTCCCTTCCTCTGTAAACTATAAAAATATGGCAGTGATGCCCACCTCTTGGAGTTAAGGTAAAGATGGAACTCAAGAACTTTTATAAAGACATTTTGCACAGCAAATACTTATATCCTTTCCTCTTTTTCTAGTAACCACTGCCCTATGGATATTAAGGAGAAGTAAGAGCGTATTCTACATTAAGCTTGATAATATTACCAGGTCTTGCATAGTTTCCATGCGGTGTTTATTTCCCTATTTGTTGAAAAAAAGCCAATTGCTTTAAAACACAAAAGTGAATTATTATTTCTGAAAGTTGAGCTGATTTCAGAACTTTAGCAGATGAAATGCTGTCTACACTCAAATTTTCCTTGAAAAATCTAATGTCCAAATTACTATAGTGTTGACAGGCCTAATAAAATATGAGTTTTTAGTCAATCAATCAATACCAAGAAATTTAACACACTTTTCTAAGAACTGCTTGAGCAAACAGATTCTTTGTATGTGATTGGTGGCATTCTTAAAAACCAGCCTTTAAAATGGTTGATTTTCCTTGTTTGCATGCATTTAGTTCTATGTATATAGATATGTTTGTACTGTCGACACAATGAATTCACATTCACTTCAACATTTGAAATTTCATAAATTACTGCTAAACTGTGATAATAGCATATTATTCTATATGATACTTGCTTAATTGTGTAATTGTAGGCTCCTTTCTATTTGATCATTAAAGTAAATGAATTAAATAAAAATATTATATTACAGAAAGTACCACCAGAGCTTTGAAAGCTTTTTATTTTTGCCATGTGAAATTTTAATTTCTAACCTAATCTTGTGCTCATTGACATTTTGTCTCCAACTTTAGCCTATCTGCTTTTTATCATGGATAGTAGCAGATAAATAATGCTAAATATCAGGTTTAAAATTACTGTGCTGACTTTTGTGACTAAGAAGTCTTAGCTACTTTCTTCATGTTGGGTAGAGGACATAGGGGTATGTCATCTTTGGCTTCATGTCACCAGTGATATTTTCATTGCAGCTGCAGATGCTCGTGGTGGGAAAAGTCGCACCAATGGCTCCGATGAAGAACAAGATGGAGTCAGTGCAATTAACCAGAATGTGGCCCTGGCCATAGCAGGGAATCATTTCAATCTGAAAACAAGTGGAACAATGCTATCTTCCTTGGTATGTTGGTGAACATTTCTCTGGCTTATTTTTTGTTTGTGTCTTCGCCCAGCTTACAGGAAGCTGAGGTGGCTTTTGCCTCATCTTTGTGTTAGACGAAATCATAGTGGGGCTGGCAGATGAAGAACACACAGATCAGACAGAGATCTGGAAACAGCAAGAGGTCTACCTCTCAGATTCAGTCAGTACTTATGTGCTGAGTTCAAGGTGGAAGAAACTAGGAAAGAGGTGAACTTGGGAAATCTAAAATCATTACAAAGAAGATCAAACTAAGGCTCCCCCGTATGTTGGGGTCTTGAGCTGGGCTTATCTCATGTGTATACTAGTCATACTGTGTCAGCCTCCAAAAAAAGATTGAGGAGGTCAGAAGCATACAGTAAGTGCTTCTTTAGCAAAATATTTCATCTTTACTAGGTCCCCAGGAAGCCTAAGGAATGTTGTTTGGCCCTGTCCTTTTGCATGGACCTTGTGGTCTTAAACAGGGGCTCTTTTGGGGATATAGCCTCTAACACTTGAAATAAGGTTCATCCCTGTCAATGAGCTCTAACTATTCCTTGTCAAAACAGCACTGCATTTTTTAGCTCCTTTTTCTTTTTTTCTAGTGCTGGGGATTGAACCCAGGGAATCAATTTAATTTTGCATGTCAGTGTAATATATATATGCAGGGAATTCTCTTGGTTCTCTTCTGAGAAGGCAGGGTCTTGACATAACTTTTCTTTGCTGGATAGCTTTCTTCTCATCCCTCCAGCACTTAGCAGCCTCCCATCCCTAGGAGGGGAGGGAGGCAGGGAAGTAAAAAGGAGAAATGATGTTTGAGATTTGGCATCACTGATCTTACAGCTTGATAAATATTGTGTTTTATGACCTCCTCCACCTTAGCTGAAGTTACCTGCTTGAGGCACTGTGTGCCTTTTATATTATTTTCCTGGGAGGAAGGAACTCAGAAGTCCAAAGCTCACCTGTTAGAACATATTCCGTGTAAAGTTATATCTAAAGATTTTGTTTCTTCTTGTCAACATACTCAGAATAACTCAAGTTAAAGTAACTTTGTAATCTCCATTATCTCCACCCAAAACTAACATTTCCTTCACATAGCTCCCAAATACCTCACTGCAGTTTCATCACTGCATTCCACTGGATATTAGCTATGCCTTGGGAAGCAAAGGTACAGCCATATACTGTGTTTGTGTTGATGTGATGAGTTACAGAAAGTGTGCTCAGCACTCTAAAATGAACAGTTACAGCCAGACTATTACCGCACATCATGATTGCCCTGAAGCAATCATGCATTGTGGTCAAAGGCCCATTGCAGGGGATTTTACTAACATATGGATCTGGTTAAATTGCTGAGCAATCTCTGAACCTTATGTTATACTTTGGAGTAATCTTGAACAGTTAGGTTATTCATGGCACCCAGCAGGCTAGTTCTCTTCTGCAAATCCAACCCTCCACAGTCCAACTTGAAGGAGAAATACTCAGAGATCTTAACAGCAAGAAAGCACCATTGTATCCTTGAGATCAAAGACCATGGTCAAGGTCCAAGGCCAGCCACCAGACCACACTGCTCCTAGACGTATTGTGTTCAGTTCAGTGGCTAAAAGCCTGGCTCAACTGTTGCCCTGGGTGAATCTTTGCTGAGCAGTTGAATTCTGAGCACACTACTCCCCCTGCCTACTTGGGAACACAGGGCTACTGGAAACAGATGTCCAGCCAAGGAGGATGTAGACACCGTGTCCTAAGAGATTGGCATCCCTTAAGCTTTCGGGTTTTCTGTTGCTTGACTTCTTCCCCTGCCTCCCTCCCCCTGTCCACCTCTTCCAGCCCTATAAGCAGTACAATGTGCTGAATGCTGACACCACCCGAAACCTTATGATTTGCTTCCTCTGGATTATGAAAAATGCCGATCAGAGCCTCATCAGGAAGTGGATTGCTGACCTGCCATCAATGCAACTAAACAGGATTCTAGACCTGCTTTTCATCTGTGTGTCCTGTTTTGAGTATAAGGTAAGTGTGGGGTGTCTCAATTTTATGCCAGCCCTTATCTCCCAAGTTCAGTCCTGTCTTACTCCTCTTCCCCTTTATTTAGACCAATGACAGCATCATTATTTCTTCATATTTCTGAATTCAAATCCACAGCCTGTGTGCATGTTTGCACAGGGAAAGGACCTCTGCTTTCTACAGAGGGCCCCATTCCTGAAAATAAGGCTCAGCCATAAGATTCCTCAGAACAGTGTCTCTGTGTAGCACATGACAAAACTGCCTGATATGACCATGGAGCATTATGTTTTGAGGATTCTCCCCATCGACAGAGATCTCACCAAATTGAATGTCCTCCTGCCTCTGTCGTGTCCAGGGAAAACAGAGTTCTGACAAAGTCAGTACCCAAGTCCTCCAGAAGTCAAGGGATGTCAAGGCCAGGCTGGAAGAGGCTTTGCTCCGTGGGGAAGGGGCCCGAGGGGAGATGATGCGTCGCTGCCGGACTCCAGGTATGTTGGGTGAGCCCTTTCCTGCTTTCTGTCAAACAGTTCTGTACCCTTTGTGGAAGGAAAGATTCCCCTGATGTCAGTCCCTTGAAACATTTATGAGAACGTCAGCAACAACAGGTCCTAGAACCCTGCGCATAACATATATATTTGTTATGTGCCTCGAATAGAGAGTTGCTGTTCTGAGATCAAAGAACTCTGAAAATGTCCCCAAGTGGCGTGTTTTAATGAAAGCTTGGTAGTGAGAAAAGGTCATATCCAAGAATATGAGTCATGAATGAGGTGGAAAGTGGCTCCCTCAAGCTTGAAACCTCTCTAAGGGACATTTGACAAGTCAATCTAGAACATGACCAAGAAACTGGAGAGCTCTGGGCCCAAGGTCATCTCCCCAAATCATTCAAAATACTACTATTGGAATGGAACCATTTCCCAAAAATAGCCTCAGAAGGTTCCAGCCTTCCAACAGCCCCACCATACTAGGGTTAACCTCAAAAGGCTGAGCTTGTCACTCTAGAACAGAGTGAAATGCCAGGTGCTGTTAGACTTATTCACTGTGCCTTACAGTAAAACAGACTGACAGCTTTTCCTAGTCAGTGGGGCCCAATGTCAGGAACCTGAAGGGAGCTGAACTTTGTCAGAGATGGTCAGTCACCTTCAATCAACACCTCCACTCTCCTTCCCAACAGTTCAGTGAGAGTTCACAGAGTTTCACTGGAACCCCCTGATACCCCAGAAAGGCAGGGGTTCTTCCAAGACTCCAGCCAAGGTACAGACCACCCCAAACATAGGCATGACAGCTTTGACTCTGCAGCAGCCATACAGACTCTAATTAACCAAAGAAATGTGCTGAGTCCTCTAAGTTGAGCTCAGGACGGAACTTCTAGTTATCTTGGCAGGTTTTGTGCTAATCAAATTCCTATCATGCATTTCTTAACTGTAGGGAATGACCGATTTCCAGGCCTAAATGAAAATTTGAGATGGAGGAAAGAGCAGACACATTGGCGGCAAGCTAACGAGAAGCTAGATAAGTGAGTCACTTAACAATTTTGTGCTGCTTTTCTTTAAAGTTCAAAACTATTTTTCCCAGGCTACTTGTATTACTGAGACAACTGCATCCATCAAGGGTTAGAAAATGAAACATCACTCTCTATGTACATGTGGTTATCCAGGGACCCAGGAGGCTCAAAGGTATGAGGAGTTGTGGTTTCTAGTTTTGAAAATGTGTCACATAGACAAGCTTTAAAGAAAACTAGCATTTAGCAACCTCAGCTTAGTGAAAGCAGGTGATGGGGAGCAGGAAAATGAGAAAACAGGACAAGGTGCACAAGACCACATCATTTCCAATCCATATTCTCATTATAGAAACAGGAACAAAGATGTATATTTAAGGCTATTCATGTCAGCATTACTTGAAATTGTCTAAAAAGTTAGAACCATTGTAAATGTTCACAAGTAAGGAAATATATAATAAAATATTAGGTTGCTAAAATGTTTCAAAATCACTTTAATGACATGGGGAAATGCTTATGAACTATCACGTGAACAAAAAGCAGGACAGACACTTGATCTTGGAATATAATGTCAAATTTCTAGTTTAATATAAATATAGTAAATGTATTTTTAAGAGGCTAGAAAGAAATTTGCCAAAATACTAATCGTGTTTTTCTTTGGGGTGTTGAGAGTTTATGTGATTGATGTTTTCTTTCTTATACTTTGCTGTATTCCCAACAATGAATTTGTATCTTGGGGGGCAGGGAGCAGTACTGGGGTTTGAACTCAGTTATTTTGATATGTATGTATTATGGTCAGAAAAAACTATAGAGAAGTGAAAGAAGAAAAGTACTGCTTAAATTATAATATGCGCCATATATATGGCACAGGGTGTATCTCCTCTGTCTCTTAGCAGCAGGTAGCTTAATGGATCCCAAGGTTCACTGAGCAAAACATTGAATGGTTTAAGACCCCACACACTTGACACGGCATAGGTAGTACATCTCCATGGTGTACGAAGCACCCATCAAAGGGGGAGATGGGAAGACTTGGATAACAGTGTTGTTTTGTAAATATTAGTTAATATCTTTTCCATTACCGCAAGAATCATAAATTGTAATCCACTTATAAGACTTTGGGGAATCAAATTTATTTTAAAACATCAAAGGGAGTACCATATTTTCATTTCTTATGTTACTTAGAAAACCCAGCTGTTGGTCTTATTAATAATGCCTGTTTGCTTTGTGTATTGTATTCTTGCTCTAAGTTCCCTAAACTAGATACTTGGTTCTGAAAGTCTGCACATTCTGGTTCAGACAGCATACAATAACAACAACAACGGGCACTTTGTAGGTGCAGACTGCTTACCTGGCTAGCCATCTATTCTTCAGGATTAAAAAAGAGCCTACCAAGGCATGTTTTGGCTGGGCTGAGTAAATTGATGTTTGGGGAACCTTGCCCTTTTGCTGGCAGCAGCAACACAATTTTGGATCTTATGGTGCAGGACTTGCCCGTTCTCTCCAGGTTAGTCCTCAGCCCTGAGCTACCTGGTGGTCTGCTCATGACCAGAGCAATGATGCCCATCTGCAAAACCTTCAGGAGCTATGTTGTAGAAAAGATTACAGCTACTCAACTTCACCATTTGGAAAACTTTTTTGTAATTATTGTAACAGTTTCTTTCACCTTCTCCTTTTAGATTGCTTTTCAATTATTTTGGCTCTGTTTCTTTTAGGGCAGCAATTTTTGTTTCCCCAGTGGTGTTTTAACACAGAGCTTCACACTTGGAAAGCAGCTGTCCTACTGCTTGAGTCACACCTCCAGTCATTTTGCTCTGGTTATTTTAGAGATGGGCTCTCACTAATTATTTTCCCAGACTGGCCTCAAACCATGATCCTCCTGATCTCAGGCTCCCAAGTAGCTGGATTACAGGCGTGAGTTACCGGCACCCAGCTAAAGCAGTAATTTCCAACATGGGTTGCACCTAAGAATCACCTTATTTTAATGGCACCACTACTGGGGGTGAGGGTTGAACTCAGGGCCCAGTACTTGCTAGGCAGGTGCACAACCACTTGAGCCACTCCACCAGCCCTTTTTATGTTATTATTTTTGAAATAGGGTCTCAATTTATGCCCAAGCCATCTTGGACCTCAATCCTTCTATCTGTGTTTGCCTACATAGCTAGTCTGATAGGCATGAGCCACCTTGCCCAGCCATTGGTTAGAATGGGATCTCTCGGAATTTTTAACCCAGGCTAGTCTCAAACTTACAATTCTCCCAATCACCACCTCCCAAATATCTAGGATTACAGGCTTGAGTCACCATGCCCAGCCTCACCTGTGGGGCTTTTAAAGCCTCCTGTTTCAAAGTGCCCAAAGGTACACCAGACCAATCAATTTGTAATAGTCAATGAGGATTTGGAATCTTCATTAATTCCAAATTAATCTTATAAATTTGGACTCCTAGTTCAGTGCTGAACCCCGGATTCATCATTTAGTAAAACTGAGAGCCAGTGGTAGAGTCAGAATAGCTGGCAGGCTTTTATTGGTAGTGACGGCCGCATCATGGTGACACTATAGGCATACGTAACACCCCTGAACTGGACACTTATGGTTAAGATGGTTAAGTTTTATGTGCACTTTACCACAATAAAAAAAAATGGAGGAAACCGGATCAGGACACTAGATTTGCACCATCCATGATGGTAACCACCAGTCACTTGTAGCTGTAACTCACAAAATGTGGCTAGTTCAAATTGAGATGTAGAGAAATGAAAAATACACACCAGATTTTATGTGTCAGTGGTGATTTTATACTGATTACACACTAACAGTGGCTCTGACATATTAAGTTGAATAAAATATATTAAAATTAACATCATCCATTTCTTTTTGCCTTTTTCAGTGTGGCTGCCATAGAAATCTAAAATAATATATGCTGCCTCCATTGCTTCCATTGGACAGCTTTGCTCTAAATTTAAACCTATCAGTAAACTAATAAGAGCTTTTCGATTTCACTTATTTTACACAAATACTTTCACTTGGAGAATGAGAAAATGAGATGTTGAGCAGTTTCGGACCAGAGAGCCTGTCATAAGTGTGAGAATAGTTAAACATCACAGAGATACTGTTCTGAGCACTCAGTGGTGTAAACACAGGGCAGTGCCCCTATTATTGGGTCAGTGGGGAAGAGAGGACAGCTAAGTGGTAATACTGCTCCAAGACATTTGGATAACATGGTACCCTAGCCCCCATGGTAACATCTTTCATAGTATCTTTAGGAAGTCATTTTTTTTAAAGCTCCATTTCCTCCAAACTAAATTTGAATTGTGATACAAAAATAGAGTAGTGTCCCTTTATCTACAGGGATACATTCTAAGACACCAAGGAATGCCTGAAACCCCAGATGGTACCCAATCCTACAAGCACTGTATTATTGATAACCAAGACAGTAACTACGTGACTAACGGATGGGTAGCACACACAGCATGTGCATGCTGGACGAAGCAACAATTCACCTGGCAAGATGGGTCGTGACAGTGAGCTACTCAAAATGGCACACAGTTTAAATGTCTATTTCTGGAATTTTCCGTTCGGTATTTTCAGACTGCAGTTGATCATGGGTAACTGAACTGTTGAAAGTAAAGCCGTGGGTAAGAGGGGACCTCTTTATCGTTTTCCAGCTTTAGTTGGACTTTGTGAGAGTGAATAGACCGGTGCATAATAGGTACTGATTCCTTTAAATGGACAGCAGATGGAGACGCAGCACCCATTCCCTAGTGGGTAATAACCAGTAGCATCCAGCAGGATGTTAGATGGCCCTTCCCACAGGAAAGCAGCCTTCCTATCAGAAAAGAACAGAGGGTCCCACACTTGATTGAGCAATCCAAGGTGGTGTTTGGGAAGTCAAGAGACTGATCTCCCCTGTCCCGGTTCTGAAGCATCACCCTTTTCTCATGCAGCACCCTTGTGTTTGCCAGGTTCACATGGCACCCAGTCTCTCCAGCGTGTTGCAGGGGCTTCCCCTCCCTCAGATCCAGAGACCGTTCTCATGCATGAGCTGCAGGCGGGGCCTTGAGGCTTTAGGCAACAATCTGATGGGCTCACCTATTGGCTAGTAGCAACCAATGATTGCTTCTCTGCACATTTTGGTTTTTATTATAATTGTCATCATTGTTAATGGTAGAGAAGAGGATGCCCTGAGAACTTTTACCTAGGCAATCTTTCTAACCAGACACAAGTCTCAGAAAACACCTATGCTCCTTAGTTACTTGAGGCCAACTGCCTTATTTTCATTTCAGGGTTGACTATTCTAAAGAATTCTTTGTGACCTGGCGTATAGATTGCCATCGTTGGAACCCAGCCAACTTTGCGCTTTAATTTGACCTGTTTTTGTTTCTTAGAACAAAGGCAGAGTTAGATCAGGAAGCCTTGGTCAGCGGCAATCTGGCTACTGAAGCAAATTTAATCATCCTGGATATGCAGGAAAACATTATCCAGGTAAGGACAACAAACACCTGATCTGATCTGTTTGACATGGATATGTTTAGAGGAATTTAAAAAGGAATTCTTAATTCAAAATTGTGAAAGAAGTAAACACGATTCCAAAATGCCTTTTTAGAAGTCAAGTTGGAAGTTGACTGCTTATAATAGCTTCCACCTTACAAATTCCAGAGATACCAAACATTCTCTGGCTTCTTTGACTTGGAAAGAGCTAGGTGTTTAATGAGCTGACCCTCATGGTTAAATTGGCCTAAGTAGGAGGCAAGCTGCAATGAGGATGGTGGCCTGCTGGTTTCGGATCTGGAACAGGGATGGTAACTAGGATTCTTCTGAAGGATCAGTTTGAATTGAATAATGACCAGTGTCCAGCATGGGCTCTTATGACTGGACTGAATCAAACAGTGTTAAGTATAATAGGAGATGTCTGTTTTATACTCAGATTGCTGAAGGAAAGTCATTGCTCCATGAAGTTGCCATCCTTGCTGTAGCAGGGTACAGTCGCTCCTCCATATCCATAGATTCCACATCCTCAGACTCAACCAACCATGATCAAAACTATTCAGGAAAAACATTTCATCTATATTGAAGATGTACAGACTTTTTCTCACCATTATTTCCCAAACAACAGTGTAACAATTATTTGCATAACATTTATATTTTATTAGCTATTATAAGTAATCTGGAGATGATTTAAATTACATGGGAGGATTTGTGTAGGTTATATGCAAATGCTCTGCTACTTTATATAAGGGACGTAAGCATCCAAGGGTGACTTTGATATCTTTAATAACTTACATGCTTAGTATCACATTGATGATATCTTTATATAGCACATCTTTGAATGCTATATACCTAACACCAGACCTCACAATGCATTTGCAATTTTCCAAGAAAGTTGAAACTTGTTATTATCCTTGGTAGTTAGTCCTTCTATAGCTGATAAATAAGCTTCTCTTTAGAAGCATTGCTGCCACCAATCAGCCCCTATTGTATTGGGAAGCTCACAAAGAAAGAACATTCCAAAAGCTGTGGTCAAAGATAGAGGGAGCCTTAGAACTTCATTTGGGCACAAATCCCAAATCAATTGGGAGTTTTGAAATAAAGTCATTGGGAAATAGATCTTAAGCCTTCATGGTTGTCAATATGGTGGTTCACCAAACCCTAAGACAGTCAACTGAGAACAATGGAACATCAGATCACCATGCTGATTGTCAGCAGCCACTCCTGTGTTCAGCTGTTAGCTCACTGGCACTGGGCATGGATTTAGTGACGCTATTCTTCCATCCCCTAGGCAAGTTCAGCCCTGGACTGTAAAGACAGCCTGCTGGGAGGTGTCCTGAAGGTCCTGGTGAATTCTCTGAGCTGCGATCAGAGTACCACCTACCTGACTCACTGCTTTGCAACCCTCCGTGCCCTCATTGCCAAGGTAAACATGGGACACTTGTTTTCTTACTCCTAATTAGAAGTAAGATTCTCATCTAGCTTTGTGTCTCGCTTTAGAAGAACCAAAACACATGGAGTATACTAACTGACATGGAGCAAAGGTCTTCCTTCTTCCTAGGAAGAAAGTAGATCCACTGACTGCAGAAACTCACTGTGGAAAGTCCAAACAATGGCACTCATACTTGAAATGTGGCCTTGACTATAGAAATATGAAATGACCACTCACTGAAAGTCTATGACATGAGAGCAAAAATCAATTGAGTGACTTTGCAATATCATCCTTTTTCTTTAATACCCTATCAGAGTGAGATTAAACCTTATGCATGACTCCCATTATGTCTTTTGTTTTGTTTTTTTGGTAGTTCTGGAGTTTGACATCAGGACTTTCTGCTTGCAAAGTCTCTGCTGCTTGAGTCTCACCTCCAGTCCATGTCGCTGTTTATTTTGGAGATGGGGTCTATTGAACTATATGCTCAAGCTGGCCACAAACTGCCATCCTCCCAATCTTGGCCTCCCAAATAGTTAGGATTATAGCCATGAGCACCCAGCTCATTATCAGTCTTACAATAAAATTCTGGTGATCAAATGTAGGAGGCTTAGAAGTTAATTTCTGGTAGCCTGAGAATATACACTATCTTTGGATAGTAGTTTATGCAGATTACTTTTATACTTTATGGAGAATTTCAGTGGGTATCTTCTACGTGGGTTCTTTTCAATTTAAGAAGTGAAATTCTTCTGCTGTCATTTGTTACAATAATTTTCTCTTTCTTAGACACCAGTATTTTCCAAGGAACCCATGAAACTCACAAGGAATTCCTTCAAAGCTGTGACTTCACCAACCTGGCTAACCATGAAGTTAATGACATAGCCCTGATCCAAGTTGTGTGGCTCATAATTAAATCCTAAGTCGACGTCATTGCTTAAATCTAGCTTCTGACTCATGTAGCTCATTATCTTTACAGAGCAGTGCATTAACTCTTCCGGGCTTTTTTGCTTGTCCACGCATATATTTGCATATTTCAACAGGCACCCTGTGCAGAGATCTTATGACAGTACCAACTGATGCCTAATGGCCCCTGTGTCTCTTCTAGTTTGGAGACTTGCTGTTTGAGGAGGAGGTGGAACAGTGTGCGGACCTTTGTCAGCGAGTGCTACACCACTGCAGCAGCAGTATGGATGTCACACGGAGCCAAGCCTGCGCCACACTCTACCTCCTCATGCGCTTCAGTTTTGGCGCCACCAGTGTAAGAGCTCTCCCCTGCTGGGTGGCCTAGAGTCAGGAGAGAATGTCAATGCAAAGCATTGGTAGACAGAAAAATCTAAGGAAAACTTCTCAGTATCATCTTTTACTGTGTCCTGTGAAAAGAAACAATTATGTGTGTAGCTAGAGAGCAGCAATTTTCATCTAAACTTGCATCTAAAAGTGAGAGTGAAGTAGTTTCATCAATATGGTTCCCTCAGATGCAAAGAGTATATGTAGATTTAAAAAGTTATCATCCATAGAAACAAATACACCAGAGAGGTTAAGGATTCAGATGACTGCATCCTATTTGCAAATTCTGAATTGATCATTTCTGGCTGGTACCAGGATGACCATGGAAAAAGATTTTTAAAACAGTCAGTGTTCTCTAGATCTTTGAAGTGAAGCTAAGAATCCTTTGACTTTCAGCTTCATGGTAGAACAGTAAACCTTTGCTTTTACTTGTACAAATATAGCGATGTTCTTCTGGACTTCCTATTTGTGGTCATGTTAGTGAGCATGCTCAAGTAATATTAAAAGATAAATTGGCCAGTGGACAAAACGCAGGGTCCTTAGGGTTTTTTGGAGAGTGGGGGAGAACCTCTGGGGATTGAACCCAAGACCTCAACATCCATGCTCTACCACTGAGCTATACCCCAAACTCTGGTCATCAATATATATTAGAATAACTATTTAAAAGCCTTTAGGACATTCCTCATAAGCCCTTGGGATAGCCATATTTTTCCATGATCCAGAAGGGAAAGAGAAACAAATCTGCTTACTTAAAGTCCAAAATCTCAGAAATGTTGGACTTGGGGGTCCCATTCCTCTTTGCAGTTTAAATAAAGTATCAGGCAAAGAATCTTGGCACAAAAGGATATGTTCTGTGACCCAACTTTATAAGAATCTTCCAGCCTCACAGCAAGGAGGCAGCCCAGTCCTCTATGAAAATTTAAAGGGAGCCTGGCAGATTTATGTGAGTGCAATATCTATCTAAACCATATAAACAATAATGAGAATCCCATGCAAAGTGTGGCTCACATTTTATTGAGAGAAAAGGAGATGATTAAGACTGGACTAAAAGAAACACTGGGGAGTTGTTTGTGTCTGGGCCTACTGGGTTTTCAGTTATTTACTAGCTCAGTGTCTCTTACTTTTTGGATACAGAACTTTGCAAGAGTAAAGATGCAAGTAACCATGTCTCTGGCTTCTTTGGTGGGGAAAGCACCCGACTTTAATGAGGAGCACCTGAGGAGATCCTTGAGGACAATTTTGGCCTATTCAGAAGAGGATACAGCCATGCAGACAACTCCTTTTCCCACCCAGGTAGACCAATGAATATACCTTGTCTTATGTGTGAGTTTGAGATCAACCAATTAAATGTTTGTACATATATACATGCTTATACATGTGTAATTTGTATATTATATATATAATTTGCACATATTTACTACCTGCCCAATATGTACATGCTCTCAGTGCTTTGAGGAATGGAAATATAATGTAGACCTCCACCAGCATCCCCAGCTTTGAGATGCCAAGAGTCTATTTGGGAAGTTTAATCTCACAACAATTAGGAGACAAGACAATACAACTCAAACTTAAGTGTGTGGTAAGAAAGTAAATACTGTGTAAGGTTAGAGAAAGGGAGGGGTGGACTGGGGATGTAGGTCAGTGGTAAAGCACTTGCCTAGCATGAAGAATGCCCTGGGTTTCACCCTCAGCATGGGGGGTGGTGGGAAAGTGGGGTTATTGATAAATATCTGGTGATCCAGAAAGGTGGAAGGAGAGGGTCAGATTAAACAGCTGGGGTAGGATTCAGCTAGGCAGGGGAAAAGTGAGAGGGGAATAATGAGTAGGAGTGAGAATTGTGTGTAAGAATGGGAATGAGATGGGTTTGACTAGTAAGTACTGGAAAGTAAGGGAGGGCCAAGTCAGAACTAATGAACAAGATTAGTCCTAAGGAAACTTATGAGAACAGTCGTGTCTTCCATCTTTGTTGCAATACCCATGGAATAAATTAAAAGATAAAACATGTCCCCTTTATCTTTTGGCTCCAACTCCTAGCCTATTCTGGTAGGTTCCCACATAAGCCCTGACATTTATAGAGTTAAGTTAGAATTTTCTAGGTTGCAAATAACTGGAACTAGTTCACACTAATTTAAACAAAAAGTTTTGGAGGAAGATAATATGAGAATGCAGGGCTACTTCGTGAAGCCCAAGACCAACTCATATCTGGCCTCTAAAGGATCTAGATTTGTGACAACGAATGCCACAGAGGATCGAGTCTAGAGGCTCCTCCACTTCTGCTTTCTGCTTCTCTCTGAGCAAAGCCTTGCCCTGGCTCCCCCTGGGCTCTCAATGTACTCCTAACTCTTTACCCTGAACAATAAAGCCAAGATTGTTTAGGGGCTGACACTTTTTTGCAGGTGGAGGAGCTACTCTGCAATCTGAATAGCATTTTATATGACACAGTGAAAATGAGGGAATTTCAGGAAGATCCTGAGATGCTTATGGATCTCATGTACAGGTAATTTTCCTAATAAAAATCAAAAGGGCATCACTTTGGGTCTAGCATTTGTCATAGTGTTCTTACTAATGCAATTGTCATAGGTAATGTGGTAGAACAGTTTTGATGACATCCACAAATATATATGGAATTGAGCATTCAGAGTGGGTTGATTCATATATGTTTTAGAAAGACCACCCTAATTGAAACTGAGGTCCTTATTTTATAGCACTATCTTCTGTTTCATATAGAATAAGAGAATTATCAACTGTTATATGAATTATTTCCTATGTGGTTTTATTCTAATTATCTTCAGCCATATATAATACAGTTTTACTATAGAAATCATATTTTATTGTTTAGTTTAAAACTTTGCCTTTCAGCTCAGGAGTTCAAAAGAAACTACTTACAGAGGCAAAATTGTTCTGATCTATCATAAAAAGTGTAGTACTTTTGTCTTCTGTAATCATGTTGAGAGAAAGAAAAGAAAGAATTGCTTGACATCCATGGAAAAGGGCATCATTTTATCAGGTCTTTTATTCTTTTATGGTTTTTGCAAAGTGTACCTCTTGGGGTCTGGCACTCTCTGAACAAGGAATAAAACAATTACCTGAAAATGTTTGCCTTTTCTCTCATTTTCTGAAGATATAGGTAAAAATCTTAGGTATGGAAAAAAACTCTTGAGGAAAAAAAAAAAAGGTAACCCAATACAGTATAGAGGTGTTATTAATCAATTGCCCCTGAAACTATTTCTCAATATGTCCTCAGAATTGCAAAGAGTTACCAGACATCTCCTGATCTGCGGCTGACCTGGCTCCAGAACATGGCAGAGAAACACACGAAGAAGAAGTGCTTCACCGAGGCCGCCATGTGCCTTGTACACGCGGCGGCCTTAGTGGCCGAGTATCTGAGCATGCTGGAGGACCACAGCTACCTGCCTGTGGGCAGCGTCAGCTTTCAGGTGAGGGCAAGTTTAGGTTTTCCTTCAGAGCTGTGTCTCCACCATTTGTTTCCCTCTTGCATGGGGGCATGTGAACTGATCGGGGCATTTTGGTTACAACTGGGGGTAGAAGGATGGGTGCTACAGGCTTCCAAAAAGGAGAGACCAAGGAATGCTGACGAACATTCTACAGTGGTTAGGATAGTGTCCACCACTACAAAACATCCTGGTCGTCAATCGTGCCATGGCTGAAAACCCCTGTTAATGTATTATGTTTGCCTCCTATAATCCTATAATCTTTTAAAAATAATGTTGCTTAAAATAATGGTTCCTAGAGTCAACACTGGTATGTCAACTTTGGTAGACATTGTCAAACACTTTAGCATGCATTTGACCTTAGCAATAAATCTGTGAAGCAGGAGCAGGTAGATAGAGAAGGTGGTATTGTCCCCACTTCACAGGTGGAGGGACTGAGAGAGCAATTTTTCTAAGGTCATTCCTCAACGACTTGTAGTTGACTCTGTGTACTGACAAGCTTTTGGAAAGTAATCCTGAACACTGGAGAAATCATTTCCCTCATGGACTAATCCTTTCATCCATTCCCCAGCTCTGTAGGGTCCCACTTTCTGACCCAAACTTAGGAAAGAATCCATTTGACCTGAGAGGGAAAACAAAAGGCTGAATTAATATCTTCTGAGGATAACCTGAAAATTACCCATAGCTGGCAAGGGGAAATTTTCTGCCAGACCTAAAAGTTAGCTCAGACTGCAATGTGCAGTTACCACTTGGACTGTTCTTACTGCATAGTGTAATACAGTATTTAGAGTAAATAAAAACAGAAACAGTGTTATGAGTACTTTTTTTAAGAGCAGTATGCTTTGTAGAGATGACCATCACTGAAGCCACAAACAAATAGCTATAGTAATAGAATTTTTCAAGCCAGACTTAAAAAGTCCTTTACAAGTGTTTGTATTATTCTTGCTTGAATCTCCATGACTGATTTTATGAAAGGCTTTGTTCTCATTATTGTTCTTCAACACAATTTTGTGATGCTTTGTGAACCAGAAAGAAAGGACAATTCAAAGTAGCTTTCCCAGGATTAGAGAATAAGTCACCGAAACTATTGCTGGTGGAGCCAGGAGATTCTTGTTTCCAGAGCAGCACTCATCTGCAAAGCTGGGTTTCCCCTTTCTTATAGTCCTCAATAGCAAAAATATTCTATTATTTCATACTCAGCAAATAATTTTATTCTCAATTCAGAAATGTTTGTTATAAAAGCCAGTTATTAAGTTCTCACCCAGAAGCATAAAAGTATTACATCTGATTTTGGATCACATAAAAGTGAATAAGAAAGTTATAAAAATTATTTTAAGTGCATCTGATTCTTTCAGCCAATTTAATTGGCCACTTAATATTATCAAGGATAAGTATTATAGTATTACTGTTTCAATTCCCAGAACATGTTTAGGTTTGTTGTGTAATGTTGAATTGTATCATCCCCTTTTCTTATTTCATCTACCAAACTAGTTCTTATAATTTTCTTATGTCTTTTTCCCAGAAACTATAATTTATTTAACATTTAATCAGTGAAGTGTTAATTGTATTTTGTTTTATTTTTATGTTTATAAGCCTTACTATTCTTATTTTACTTAGAATTCAATTTACTTGCTTATAATGAGAATTTACTTACTTATAATTAGACATGCCCAGGTGAAATAGAATTGTTGTTCCAGGCTGGGTGCATGATTCACACCTGTAATCCCAGCTATTGGGAGGGGTGGCAATCAGGTAGATAACATTAGAAGACCAGCCCAGGTCCCCAGCAAGATCCCGTCTCAACCAACAAAAGCTGGGCAGTGGTGTGTGCCTGTCATCCCAGCTACACGGAGAGCATAACTAGGATTGCAATCCAGGCTGGTCACGGCATAAAGGCAAGACCCTGTTTGAAAAAAATAGCTAAAAAAGGGGGGTGAGGGCTGAGAAGTGGCTGAAATGGTAGAGCTCTCACCTCGCAAGCATAAGGCCCAAGTCCAACTCTGGTACTACCAAAAAATTGTTATTCTAGAACCAATAGAAAACTCTACCTTATGTTTACATGGCAGCATATAGCTCTAACTTTTCATATATCTTTATCCATTCATTCCTTCTTTTAGAGAAGATTTATTGAGCATTTATTGTGTCCTTATGAGCTTGCATTCTAGCCAAAAAGACATCATATAACCAATTATTCTATTCTCTATTCAGTTGTAATTATGATAAATACGGTTATAAAAAGGCACTAGTTGCTGTGAGCATTTATAATATGGTCCAGATTAAGGGTCAGAGAAAGGATGAAGAGGGTGAAAAGGAAGACAGAAGAAACTGAAATGCTAGGCTTTCATGGTGTAATTTACATGATGAGCAGATGTTCTCAGATACAGAAGTTATGCCAAATTACATTGATCCTTATGGGTGAATTCTTATTTCTTTCAAATGAGACATACTAAATCACTTTGCAAAGTGAAAGAAAATCCTGACTACCTAAGGTAAAACAGGCATTACTTCAGCTTGCATGAGGAAGGTAAGCCTGTAGTAGTACTTCCCAAACTAGAACTAGAGACTCAAACAAAGCCATCAAACCTCAATGTCATCACTACCTCCTTCTGGGCCTTCTGTTGTGTAGGCATCATTCTTCACAGGCTTCCCACACTGATTAAGTCAGGTTTAGGTTTCCCTCTCCAAGTTCAAGTCCAGGAGAAAAGAGAGTTACCTCATTTCTAGTAGTTGCAGAGAAAGTCTCAGGATACCTTATTGGTTCCCACTGGGTCATAAGATCAGACCTAAGCCAATTATACTGGCCAAAGAAATGAAGTGTTCTGATTGGCTGAGCCAGAGGCACAAGTCCAAACTAAAATTATGAGTGATCCTCAAAAGATAATTAGGATGCTTTATGTTATAGAAGGATGAAGGAATTCTGGACAGTGTTAACAGATTATCTACTGGTGATTTCTTAAATGCTCTTTGCTTTAGTTTTCAACCATGTGCTGTCCCAATAAAGTTAATCCTTTGGAAAAGACTTGTAAACTAGAGATAAATCTGTGCAGAAATAACTAACTTTGAGGTCATTGGATTCCAAGAAACTGAGATCATTGAAATTCTGTGCCCTAGAGCGCAATGTTTATTTCACAAATGTAGATATAGACACATTCTCAGATACTGCTGTTACATTTACCTCCCTAAATCTGAAGCCAGGGATGTCTGCCCAGAATATTTTTCCTCTGACTACAGCTAATAACTAGCTTCATATCTGTTCCTCTACTTGTAGAAAATCTCATGCAATTCTACTACAACTAATTTTCTGAGTTATTAAATTCTGTCAACTGAATTTCTTGGATCTTCTGTTATCTCCAATTCAGATAGATCATAACAGATAGTCCAGGTGTGGAAGAAAAGACTTCAAGAAACTCCACCAGTACTCCTAAAACTACATTATAATATTGGAGGGGAAGGGATAGGCTTTAACACCTATCCCCTAATTGATTGTAAAAGTTTATTCTCTACATCTTGTTAGTCAGAGCAGAGTCAGGAAGCTTTCACTTCACAAGCCACCTCTGATCAACTGATACTATGCTGAGAGAATTTTGAGACTATATCCAAGTTCCAGGAAAAAGACTACTAGAATTGATTAGTTATGCCTGCCATATGTACATCAGTAGGGAGAAGTGATATATGTGTTAATCGTCTGCAATCCCTAAACTGTGAAGGTTTCCCGTTTCTCTTATAGTCCATATGCATTTCTTCCATAGCTATGAACCAAGAAAAAAAAAAATGACTCTTCATCTGTCAAGAGTATTATAGTCACTGCCAGGGTCAGAGCTTAGGTGAGGCCAGTGGGTACACAAAGCATAAAATGTAAGTATATCCTCGCTCTTAGGATCAAGCAAGTATAAGATCAGCACTTTCATGATGCTGAAAGTGAATACCTCCTTAAATTTTGTGCCCTGAGTTTTTCATTTTAGCAACCCAAACCACATTCCCTGCTAGGGGATATAAAGCCTGTAGTCTATATAAATGAAAAATATATAGAAACAAAATCTGTGGGGGAAAAAAATCAGTAAGTGCTATACTGCCATAAAAAATTCCCCATAACGAAGACATCCTCATTTGCTGTTGTCATATATGTTGGATATTTATTTGAAAGTCATGAAACTAGTAGCAGTATTATTCAGCAAAACACCCCCAAAAATCAGGGATTCACTCAACTCAGCTCGTGACACCAGAGGCCTAGTCAACTGTCCATTGGCTTTTGCCTTTTAAAAGCCAAGAGACAACCCTGCTTGTCTCTTAGGGGGTTTTTTTTGCTAAGGTAGGGCTGATTCTGATCAACTGTTCTTTCCCTGAGGAAAGTGTCCTTTACAAAACATCTGATTAAGTTAAGAGGAAAAGGAAGCTGGAGGGTTTGAAGGTAGGTCACTCAGTGTGACCTTTCAAAATGAATGGCAGTCAGAAACTCGTCTGGGTGGAATTATATACCTGCAGTAATCACAGCCTTGGTGAGGATCGGTAAGTGACAGCTTCCTCATTCCTTCATTCTGGGTTCCTGTGGCCCCCTAATAGCCAGGTTCCCATGTTCTCTGGGCAAATTCTGTGACCTCTTGCAGAGTATTTCTTCCAATGTGCTGGAGGAGTCTGCCATCTCTGAAGACACCTTGTCTCCCGATGAGGATGGGGTATGCTCAGGACGGTACTTCACGGAGTGTGGCTTGGTGGGCCTCCTGGAGCAGGCCGCGGAGCTCTTCAGCACGGTCAGTGTCCACAGGGTGTGCCAGGTCTAAACTTGGGCTGCCGGGAATGACCAATCTTAACAGCGCCGTCCACCCCACTTCACACACTTCACACCTGCAAGGCAGGCCTGGCTGGATGCCTGTGGCTCAGCCAGTGAGAACTTTGATGTCCACAAATTGCATCAGCTCTGCAAGGGAGGTGAGAAAGCCTTTCATCACTGGAACATTCTGGTTTTCACTGCATCCTCATAGGCTGGGCAGTGGTTTCACAGCATTATTTCCTTTTAATAAGGGTGGAAACTGAGCCTGAGAGGTGAAATGGCTTGCCCAGGGTTACACAATAAATGATGAGGCATGTTCTCACTCCCTCATTTCTCCTCTCATAGAAATAAAAATTTGGGGAGGAGCAAAGAGAAAGGCAGGAATCCATGCTATATTCCATCCCTGCAACTGAGTCATCTTCAGGAGCCATACAACTGAGCAGCTCAGAGAAATGGGGAGCCAGGGGCCATTGAGACTCCCCTCATTGACCTAACCTGGATCTGAACACTGCTAAGACACTCAGATTCAAGGCAAGGGGAAAAGTCTCTCATCCATTCCCATTTTAATCACCTCTCTCTTCCCCACATTGCAAGCCAAGTAAATATTTCATACTTCACTTTATTTAGCTCACCCAATTCTGTTTTCATCCCTATATTATGTTTTATTCTCTACTTCTCATCTCCAACTTTTCTCCCTATAACTTCCATATATTTTAATTATTGTTTTTAACCATCTTCCTTTTTCCCCCTGATTTCTATTTCAGGATACTAAAAACGGCCAATATACTCTTGTTTTCCTGAAATTCTAGAAAATCAATCTGATAGAGTCCTATTAACTTCCTCGACACCTACATTAAGCATCTGGCTAAGGAGGACCTCTGACGAGACTGAAATCCATAAGAGCTGCTTTGAGCCTCCCTTAGTCCTGCTGCCCATCTTCTCCCCCATTTCTAGTCTGTAAAAGCCATTCTTCCTATTGAACATCACTAACCAGGACCATTTAGCAATGTACCTGGTTCAGTTTGCAAGCTGACTCTCCCAAATATGCTCACGCAGCACCCCTACCTTGTAAAACACTGTGATGTAACACCAAGTTCCCTCTCCAGCACACCATGTGCATAATAAACTCAGATTGCCCTTCGTAAGTTTCCAATGCCTTAAATTCTTTTTGATTCTCTTCTTTTTCCAAGGGAGGCTTGTACGAGACAGTTAACGAGGTCTACAAGCTGGTCATCCCCATCCTGGAAGCTCATCGAGACTTCCGGAAACTGACATCCACTCATGACAAGCTGCAGAAGGCTTTTGAAAACATCATTAGCAAGGTAGCTGGGGATCCTGGTTAATGGGTATTGCTACCTAGTGGCAGGTGCCTCTGTCCCTATCATGCTCAGCCCTCCTTCCTCTCTATAGACTGATTTGCCTTGAGTGCATCATTATTGTAGCTCTTACCCATCAGACAGAAAAGGCACAGAAATTGACAAAGGCACAGAATTCAGGGTGTGAAAGGAGGCAGCTTGAAGTCCTTTATAGCCAGGAAATGTGAGAATCCTTTAAATTCGTTTAAATGAGGTCCCAGAAAATTTTCAAAAGATTTATTTTATTATTTCAAAAGTTTATTCTATTAAATATTAAATTTGCTTAACAGAGGGATGTCTGTTTACATCAGCTGTCAGGGTAAAATGTTTGTAACACAGTTAAAATACCCTTTTATCCAATGGACCCTCAGGAATTACATACTGAAAGAGAGGTTTTCTTCTTTTAACAGGATCATAAGAGAATGTTTGGAACCTACTTCCGAGTTGGTTTCTATGGAGCCAAATTTGGGGATTTGGATGAGCAGGAATTTGTTTACAAAGAGCCTGCAATTACAAAGCTTCCTGAGATCTCCCACAGACTGGAGGTAAGAAGAGTGATTCTATGTGTCACATTGTATACTTTACAAAAACTAGTTCAGGTGATGATTACAAAACAAAATTAAGTATTCAGCATTGAACTATATATAAATTTTTCCACATTACATTTTGTAACATGAAGGTATTAGGTAAAATCATCAGGATAAAGCAAAATTTAGATAGTTTTCCCCTGTTTTTCAATTTTTTTCCATTTATATCACAAACATTATTTTTTAAGTCTATATAAAAATCAGTCAATATCACATGCTCTCTTATAAGCCTTTCTAAATGTTAGTAATATATTATTAACAGATATGGAGTCATAGAGATTTAAGCTTGAAGGTTAGCATCTTGACTTTGAAATAATTTGATCAAACTACTGAGTCATCCTCCCATCCCCTCACCCCCAGAAAACAGTGTGGTTGTCCTTTTCCTGTCACTGGACAACACATTCCATTCTGATAAGTACTCCATAGTAGCTATCCCATGGGCTATGAACAGCCCCAACTCCAACTGCCATGTACCCTTGGTCCTTAGTGTAACAGAAAAAAGCAGCATGTTCTTGCAGGGAAGGCTGGCAGAGTGGGGGAAAAGAAACAGCAAAGAGAAAAGTCAGAAAAGAAAAGCAAACAAAAAAACAGATGTTGAGAGGGCTAAGCACTAAGAACCTAGGAAAAAAGTCAAGAGGTCCCCCCAAAATAAAATCCTCTTAGGCTGAGGTTCCCTGACCTGCTGACCTCTAACCAAAGGTTCTCTTCTGAAGCTTTCTTGTTATTGTTTTGAATATAGGCCCTCTTATGACTGTAAAAATTTAAATACTTTTGTTACCTAATTGCTCCTTGTATTATTCATCTCTGCCAAAAAGACAAGAAAACTTAACTCAAGAAAGCTGTGTTTGGGAGAATTGCTCAATTATTCAGCTCATGAGAAAAAAAAAAAAATAGCGTTTTAGTGACCCAGGCCACTTGGTTCCCTAATACTTTGTCCCCTACTTAGAATTAGGAGTATACATTTTGTCTTCTTGTACAAGATGGCTTGCCACATTGTGGGAAGCCTGGTGACTTCCAAGTTCCCAGGGAACAAAAGGAAAGAAGTAGACAGTGCCATGCCTCTGAAGAGGCCTCAGAAAATGTGATGATGTTGCTTGAATTTGATACCAAGCATACATACTGAGGGAAAGCATAGATCAGTTGACAGTGCTGGACTTCCTTAGATTTTTATTTATGTCTCAGGAAATGCTGAACTTTGCTGGTTAGCTCAGAGGGACTCTCAGTAATCAATGAATAAATTTTCCCTTGCACTTGTTCCAAACTTATTCCACTTCTGAGAAGACAAAGCATTGCATTATGTTAAAATAACTTTCAAAAACTGTTGGTTCCTTCTGTCTAGGGATTTTATGGCCAGTGTTTCGGTGCAGAATTTGTGGAAGTGATAAAAGACTCTGCTCCTGTGGACAAAAGCAAGTTGGATCCTAACAAGGTACAGAGAAAATTTGCTAAAATTACCATCAGTCTGAGAATCCTCTTATTCTGAGAACACAAATGACCTCTTCTGTCTGGACTCTCCAAGTGATTTAAATGCAACCAAACATTTTTTTCAAGACTCAACTACTAGTTGATTAGGTCTTAAGGAAAACATCCTCAAAGGCAGAAATTATAATACAGCACTAGCTGTGTACTTGACACTGCATAAGACCCTTTGTGTACATTGTCTTATTTCATCCTTAGGAATAGGTTTGGTTGTTCATATTTTATAGATGAGAAAATTGAGGCATAGAAAGGTTGAGTAAGATTTCAAGATCATGTCAGAGGCAGAGCCAGGACTCCAATGTGGGTTCTGACCCCAAAACCCATATGCTTAATCACTGCTCTTTTCTAGCTTTCTATAAAACCTTTAAACTCTTCTTTAAAACATGTTTTAAAAATGCCAACTCCTCCCTGACAACATTTCCTGGCACCCTTCTTTAGCCCATATGTAATTCCTTCCAGCCACGTGCTGGATTGCTGCGCTATTGGAGGAAGGACCTGAAGGGCCTGGCAACAGTTTTCTCACTTCCACACAAGGGTGTGTTCTTTCTCACCCCCAACTGAGTGCACTGCAATTCTGACACTAACCACCCAGGTGCAGCAAATTTCACAAGTTCAAGGCTTTGTCCTCCATAAAATGACCCTTACTTCAGGTGCCATCCTCAACTGGGGTTCCCAGGCCACCCACACATCTACAAATTTGAGGGTTTTAAATAATTCACTTAAGTGACTCCCACAATTCAAACAGCGCTATACTTCCGACTGCAGTTATGTAATAAAAGTACTCATAGATCAAGGTCTGAGAAGGAGCACAGTTTCTGTGCCCTTTCTGTGTGGGATCCAGGTTCATTGCCTTCCTGGTACATCAGCATATTCACCCACCAGGAAATCCCAACCAATCTTGGGGCATCCAGAGTTTTTAATGGGGTTTTCTTACACAAGCGTGGTTGATTAAATCAAAGACCTCATGATTAAACACAATCTCTACCTCCTTTCTCCAGAGGTCAGGCTAGCCCAAAATTCCAACTCTCTACTTACATGTTTGGTCTCTTTGGTGACCACCTGAAACTATGCAGAGGCCCACCACAGTCACTTCATCAGCATAAGACAGAGTCCTAATGTTCAGGAAATTCCAAGAGTCTTTGAAGCTTTGTCAGGAAATAGGGACAAAGACCAAACCTGTCCCTTATTGTATCACAGGCTGATATCTGCCTGCTGAGTCCCTTTGCTGACAGGTGAGATGTTCTAGACTGTGAGGGAAATAATGCAGGTGCATGGTGTTATTGAGGGCTGGGACAGAGGACCAGTCACCATCTGAGAGACTTGTAACATGAAAAGTCCAAACTTTTCGTAGTCCTGTTTCCCAATATTAGGGGACAGGACTTTCCTTAGTCCTATTTTCTCAATATTATAGAGATAGATGCTACAAACAAGGAAGAATTGGCCAAGTTGAAGAGTTTGTTTTTCTGCATTTGTCAGAACACTTGCTCATGAAAGACACATTCTCCAGTCTAGGCTTGAAAGTAGTAACTGATAAAAGTTGGACCGAGCTTCAGACAAAAGTGTTTAGAGCCCTTGAAAGATAGGATTGGCTGGGTGCCTACTGTGACCTCCCTGACACTAGGGGCCTTCCTCTCTTTTAAAATCCCCAAGGTAGGTTGCGAGAGCTTGGAATGAAAGTTTGAACCCAGAATTACAACCAGATTTCATTATACTAAGTAGTGATTTATGGTCTGAGGTCAGTGACCCCGCCCATCCACTTCACTGGGTGGGTGTTCTAGTGTCTGCACTCATTGCCATTCTTCTTTAATTTTTTTTGAAGAAGTCTTCTTCATTAGTAAGTGCCCATTTCACTTAAATTAGACATATGAAGTGAAATTCACAACTTTGGTGTTTAGTTAGGTAAGTGTTGACAAATCCAAGTAACCACGACCATAGTTAAGATATTTCCACATGCCTCTTTGTAGTTATTATCTACTTTCAGCCCCCACAAATCACTGTTCTATATTGTTTGCGTAGGTTTAACTTTTCTAGAAAATATATAGATGGAATGATACAGTAAATAAATGGAACCACAGTCTTTCAAAGCTGAGATTCATCCATGCTCCTTTGCCTTGTCGTGTAGTACGTACTTGTGTGGATGTACTACTGTTTGCTTACCCCTTCCCCACTGGAGGAACATTTGGTCTGTTTCTGATTTTCATCTGTTGTGAACAGCACTACTGTCGACAGTCGTGTACAGGTTTTCATGCTAAAATAAGTTTTCATTTCTCTTTGGCACACACGTAGGCGTGGGATTCCTGCGTTGTGTGGATCGTGGCCATTTATATTAGAAACCGGTAACTTGTTTTGTAAAGTGGATGAACATTTGGACTCCCCCATCCATGCATGAAAGTTTTAGCCACACTCCATCCTTGCCAGCACTGGGTGTTATTAGTGTTCTTAGTTTGACTATTCGTCCTTTCTAGTAAGTATGTCATGATCATGGCAGATAAACAAAGGAAAGTTTGCCCTGGAATAGCAGTTTGCAAACTCCTGCACTGAGGCTGCTGTTGGATCAGTTTGTGAACTCAGAGGGAGCAGCTGGTGGACCTGCGTCTTCCCACAGGCACATGGGGTATCGAGAGGAATGATGGTTCTGAATTCCCACCTGACCCACTGAGGGCTGAGTGCTGTGCCCCTCAAGGGCCTCATGGATCTTGTTTGCAGAGTGGTTCACCTCCTCCTTGCCCTTGCCTTTCCCCCACAGGCCTACATACAGATCACTTTTGTGGAGCCCTACTTTGATGAGTATGAGATGAAAGACAGGGTAACCTACTTTGAGAAGAATTTCAACCTGCGGAGGTTCATGTACACCACCCCGTTCACCCTGGAGGGGCGGCCTCGGGGAGAGCTGCACGAGCAATACCGGAGGAACACGGTCCTGACCACCATGCATGCCTTCCCCTACATCAAGACCAGGATCAGAGTCATCCAGAAGGAGGAGGTAATGTAGTGAGGGAGGAATGGTCACCCCGAGAGAGGGCCTGGGACACACACCTGAGGCTCCCTCATGCAAACTTCATGAGATAAAGATTGCACTTGAAATATTATTATAGAATTATCCTCTTGTTTTCATGGTGCCAGGGTGCTCCATTGAGGCAGCTACATGCTTTATAGCACTATTTTGTCTGAAATTTTTAACACTTTAAGGTTGTATCTCTAGTATAAAGATGTTTACATATTTAATTGCAATATTTAGTATTTATTTCCATTTTAATTATAAACATATAAAATGCATCTATGTTTGGCCCTTTTTGTCCTTGGGTTCCACATCTGTGGAGTCAACCAATCATAGATTAAAATAGTAAAAAAAAATTGTGTCTGTATTGAACACATACAGATTGTTTTTCTTGTCATTATTCTCTAAACAATACAGTAGAATAACTATTTACATAGTATTTTCCTTGTATGAAAAGTGAAAAGGAAAATACTTTATAGGTAAGTAACCTATGTATGATTTACAGTACAGTGAAGGATGTGCAAATACTAAAACATTTTATATTAAAAAAAAACACTTGAGCATCCTTAGCTTTTGCTATCTGTGGGGGGCCTGGAACCAGTTCCTCCTGGATTCTAAGAGATGACTATTTAAATTTTGAATATTTCATATAAAAATTTTAAATGTCTAAAAGATCACAGGTGATTAAGGCACAGTTATGTTGTTAATTGGTGGAGACAAGAACCACAAGAAAGCAGCCTCCTAAGTTGTTAGTGTGCTATAAGCAGGTACTAGGTAGACAAGTGACCAGCTGACTTCTGTGACTTTGCATAAGCTACTTGTCTCTAGTTTCTTCACCTCTCTATTGGCAAGAAAGATCTCTATTACAGTAGAAGACTTTTCCATCATAGTAGGACCCATCAAGAAAGTCTCAAACCACAGAAACTTTCAAAATTATATATGCCATAAATATTTTTTTCTTTAAAATACCTTCATGTACCTTTAAATGCCATCCTTTTTATATAGGGCCATGGTCTGCTCTGTAGTTACGGGCTGACTGGTGTCAATCCAGCCTTGTCCTCCTTGAATAAATCACATCATAGGGAATTGTCTATGACTGTCAGTTTTGTTTTCTAAAAGCAGACTGAGATCTTAAAAATCCTCGTTAAACAGTATCAGAGCAGAAAGCCTCTGGGTTTTTATGATTTTCTCCCTAGCCTTTTATAGTTGTCTTGTGCACACCTAATATGACAGGAATTTTTATAGCAAACCACTTTCATAATGTCTTGCCCAAGCATTCAGTTTGGTTTTCATAGAAACAACTCTTTCTTTCCACACCCATAGTTCATCAGTTTAGGCATTATTTAATTAGATTAGGTCATTAAAATAACAAGTATAACAGGCATAATCAAGTCATCAGCTAGCAGATGGTCTACTTCATCAGGCAGGAGCAGCAGGGGTTGAGCAGGGGAACCCCTCAGAGGGAGCCTGGCCTGGGAATCAGCCAAGAGAACTTTGTTTAGAAGACATCTACTGTATTTCTTATCATTTTGGACTTTTGAACACTAAGACATTCTAGGTACAGCACAGAAATCAATCCATTGCCCCTAAAGTAGTCTCACAACTTTTCTTAGTCATCTGCAACTCTCCAAGGACCTTGTGTATTCATTTGTTAGGGCTACATAACAGTACCACAGACTGGATAGCTCAAAGAACAGAAATGAGCTTAGGCACAGTGGCTCATACCTCCAACCACAGCTACTCAGAGGCAAAGATCAGGAAGATTGATGTGCAAGGTCAGTCCAGGCAAAAATTTACCAAGATTCCTTCTCAACCAATAGCTTGGCTTGGTGTACCCCTGTCATCCCAGATACGCAGGAGGCGTATATAGGAGGATCACAGTCCAGGCCAGCTCAGGCAAAAAATACAAGACCCTCTTTGAAAAATAGCTAGGAAAAAGGGCTTGGGGGTATGACTCAAGTGGTAGAGTGCTTGTCTAGCTAGCACAAGCCACTGAATTCAAACCCCAGTACCAGAGGGACCCCTCCAGCCCCACCCAAAACAACAGAAATTTTTGGTCTCACAGTTCTGGAAGCTGGGAGGTCCAAATTCAAGGTTTTGGCAGGTTAGTTCTTTCTAAGGGTGTGAGGGAGAATCTGTTCCAGGCCTCTCTCGTTGGCATGTAAATAGATGTCTTCTTCTTGAGTCTACTCACGTTATCTTTTCTCTGTACACACGTGTGCCCTGAACTCCTCTTCTTATACAAACACCAGTTTAACTCGATTACCTCATTGAAGACCCTAACTCCAAATAAAGCCTCATTCACAGCTACTGGAGGTTAGGAGTTTGACTGACATATGAACTTGGGGGAAAAAGATTTAACCCATCACATTCAGGAAGAACCCCACCCCAGACCAACAGAACATAGTAACTAGATTGACCTTGAAGAGAATTCCCTTTATTAGGAATCACCTTCATGGTGAGTTGAGAACGGCACAAGTGAGGCCAAAAACTTGTGTGATGATGAGCAGGAAAATCTTGAGTGCTATGCTTTCCCTTTGTAACTTGAGTAACTTGTCAAGTATAGCAAAGGAAACCTAACAATATAGAAAGAATGCAGACTTTGAATGTAGACATCACTATGATCAAATAAGGACTTCCCACTCACTACCTATGTTATTCTGTAGAACTTACTTATCCTTATAAATTCCCCCCTTTGACTGTAAAATGTAGAGCATAGGAAGACTGTTTAATGGAGTACACGATAAATGAGTGTGAAGTTCCTTGAACCTGTAAGTATTCAAGAAATACTAGGCCCTTCCTTCTTCCTACCCAATTCAGATTATCTCAAATTTCTCTGAAAGTCTTTCCTCAAGTGCTTCATCAAATCCACATGCTCTCTCTCCGTCATAGCTTCAGGTTTGTCCATGGCCTTTGAGAGCAGACAGTGACTTCCCTACATTTATATCTTATGTTCAGTTTGTTTTGACTCCGATTGAAGTTGCCATAGAAGATATGAAGAAAAAGACTCTTCAGCTAGCAGTGGCCATTCACCAGGAGCCTCCAGATGCAAAGATGCTTCAGATGGTACTGCAAGGCTCTGTCGGGGCCACTGTAAACCAGGTAAGCAGAACCAACTGCCGGCAGTTCAGCCAGTGTTAGTATTTTGGCCTTTCTGTCTACACCTTCTTCTTTGGGGTTGATCAAGAGTCTGATCTGCATACAAACAATATTCCTAAACTTAGCCTCAACACTTGTACAGTTTAGAAAACTTTTAGGAGGCCTCTTCGACTTCATTTAATAACCCAAGGTAGAAAAGAAGTCCTAGAGGTGAGAGGACCAGGTTTAGGAGTACCATTTTCTCAGACAAGTGTTTTAAGTCCAGACCTGGCAGGACTCGTAGTCCTCTCAAAGCGTGCTGAGCCATGCCCAGGTTACACAAAGTTGTCACATGCCTTGAGACTAACCTAGCAGTATCCATAGGAAAAAGAGGAAAGGTCTTAGACTAGCCAGCTCCTGGGTCACTCACCAAATATGTCCCCATGCCAAGGCCCTTGCCAACCTGGGACCAGTGTCTCCGGGCCACTTTGACCAAACTGGATCTTCTCAGATCTGTCAGCTTCCTAACTCCTGAGCTCAGTGTGGAACTAAGCCAGTCTCAGATGGAGGTTGGTAGGAGCCTAGTACTCTCTCCTGTGGACCCCAAAATGTTGATTCTAGATCTACTCTCACCCACATCTCCACCTTCAAAAATTCAGTGAGCATCTGATGCTTTCTTCACTCAACACATCCTCCATCAGAGATTTTCCCTGCAGAAATTCCGAGTTCACTTATCAGTAAAACAGCAGAAATAGTCCGGTCATGGTGATGCATAGCTGTAATCCCAGCTACTTCAGAATGGGGAGACAGGAGGATCATGACTTCAAGGCCAGTGTTAGCAAGATCTTGTCTCAAAAACAAAAGGGCTGGAGATGTGGCTCAAGCAGTAGAGCACTTGCCTAGCATGTGCATGGCCCTCTGTTCAACCCCTAGTACCACAAAAAGAGAGAGAGCACAGAAATAGCAGAGAGGAGAAATGACTGCTATATTTCCAAGATTAGAAAACCACTAGGAAGCTTTTACTTTTGTTAGTCTCAATGATTTGATGAAAATGGAAGGCTTTATAGGCTCACAACTGTAGACTATGTATGTACTCTGCACATCTCTGGATCAAGCCAGTGTGGGCAACTAATAAGTGAATATGAACTGGTGGCAATTCCTTTTTAGAAAGCAGCTCAAAGCGCTCACCCTTTGATACAGTTGTGTCTTTATGTACGAAGGAAAATCTATAGTAGTAGCATTTGATTGAAAAAATACATTTATAACAGTGAGTATTCTCTGCAAACTTTAGGCTCCTCCTAAGAGAAATCAAAGTCTCCTGAGAAGCTTAAGCTCTTCCTTGACTTTTTACTTTAGTTCAAGTACAAAATTAAATGTTCAAACTAAGAAGTCACACCAACATTTTCTTCCAAGTAATTTAATTTTCTTTCCAATATCAGTATGTTTTTTTTTTCCCCCTTTCTTTATCAGGGACCATTGGAAGTAGCCCAAGTGTTCTTGGCTGAAATTCCAGCTGACCCAAAATTGTATCGACACCACAACAAGCTGAGGTTATGCTTCAAGGAGTTTATAATGCGGTAAGGATGAAAGTGGTGTTGATTTCAGTGCAGCAGAGGTTCTGTGAGCGTGGGCCCAAGCCAGCAGCTTCAGTATCACCTGAGAACTTGCTAAAGAGACAAAGTGGGCTGGGGGTGTAGCTCAGTGATAGGACGCTTGCCTAGCATGCATAGGCCCTGGGTTCCATCCCACAGCATCACAAAAAATAAATAAAACTTTATAAGCAGTGTCTCAGACACCACTCAGCCCTGATGGATCCGGCACTCTGGGGTGGAGCCCACCAATCTGTGTTCCAACAGGCCTGTGGGTGATTCTGATGCACACTGAAATTTGAGAACCATGGCAGTAGAACAACGCTACTTACACTACCAATAAGTAACTAACACACTGTAAAATGCCTCGTGTCTGTCATTGCTGTGTGCCTCCCAAGCACATTGTAAAGCGTCACCCTCATTTTACAAAAAGGCATCAATTTTTATAAGTGGGAAATGATTTTACTTAGGGTCATTCAGCCGGTTGGCAGCAAAATTCGGTTCAAACCAGGTTCCTCTGAATCCAGATAGTCCACACTTCCATCAATGCAACAATATGCCACAGATGCATTAGACTCCCAGAAATTCTTGGCATTGGCAATCTTTGTAATTGCTCAAGACCTACAATAATTTATTTTAGAAACCTAAAAGTGATACTGCCTCAAATGAAGAGACAAAGGCAAGGCTCTGAAGCTGGGCTTTCTCAAAGGTATCACCTGTGCCAGACAAGCTTCCTCTCTGCTCCTGAATTCTGCAGTGCAGCTGGCATCAGGGGCAGCCAGTTCGGCCTGGACAAGAAGGGGGTCTGTAGGCAAGGTCTTACAATCTCTTGCAATACAGACAGGTATATTGGGTTTCCTGTGACCCTAAAAAGTTATGTGTTAGACTTTCAAAGAAGATATTATCTTCCTCCCTAGATGACCACAAAAATGCTGCATTTTCAAAATTAAATTCACTGTTCAAAAAGCTGTTCTCAGCCAGGCACCGGTGGCTCACACTTGTACTCTTAGCTCCTTGGGAGGCTGAGATCAGGTTTTTTAGTTCAAGGCCAGCCTGGGCAAATAGTTTCTCCAAAAATAACCAGAGCAAAATAGACTGGAATGTTGTTTAAGTGGTAGAGCACCTTCTTTGCAAATGTGAAGCTTAGAGTTCAAATCCCAGTTTGCCAAAAAAAAATAAAATGCAGTTCTCAAACCCTTCCAGTTAATGCCCATGGGAAACCATGATGCCCACCTTCCTAGCTGACCTTGTCCTACTGCCTTGTTCTAGAAATGTCACAAGACTATTAGTGCTTCTCAGATTTCCCCCAGTACCTGGGGTCTGGTCTAAACGCAGATTTGGACTTAGGTCTGAGATGGGGCCTGAGACTGCATTTCTGATCAGTTCCCAAGCACTGCTGCTGTTGCTGCCAGATGACTAAACTTTGAGTAGAGGCTGTGAAAGTTGCTCAACTGCCTCCTGGTTCACATCTCTTCCCAGCTCCCCTGGCCTTAAATGCCCAGTCCATCCCTATTGTCACCTGCTTCCTTTGCCTTCTCATTCTTCCCTTCAAAAAAGCAAATGTGCTCAAACTGCTATGCTTTGAGCCGACTGTGGATGTCAGCTCACTGTCCAGGCAAACACTAAGCTTTCTTTTACCACTACTATGGAGATGTGAAGTCAAAATAAAAATGGGACCAGACAAAACAACCTTGCAGCTCACTATTTCATCTCTGTCAACAGCAGTTGACTTTCCCTCCATTTTATTTCAAATAGATCAAAGTGGTAGGTGACAGGCACAAATTTACTAAAACTCATCAAACTACCCTTAAAATGGGTGAATGTTAGGGTATAAAATTTATACTCTGTCACCACAAAGAATAGATGAAGAAAGTTCCCTCATCCCTCCCCTTCTCCCACCCCCAATGATTAATTACTTCCAAGTCCAATCAGGGCTGTTCAGGTAATAGAGTGACCATTTTGTCCAGTTGTTTGCACGGGGGTGTTTTCTTGCCCACTTGGCTAGCAGACATGATGCAAGTGGAAGGTGGGGATTACCCCACTCACAGGCTAACCCTTCAGCAAACTCCATCTTCTCTGCAGACCCAGCTGTAGGTCCATAAGCCCAGAGTTACAAGGCAACCTTAGCAAGCCTTCCAGTGCAGAGCTGTGGTGGAAATGAAAATGTGCCTTTGCCACCATGTGCACGTCCACCAGGCAGCAGCCCTTCTGTCTCCCCTGTCAGTGGTGGTGTTTTTAAGCTGGAGTTAGAATCTATAACCAGGAAGGAGAAGGAATTTCCAAATGTGCATAGTGCATGTAGAAACAAAGCATAGTAGATGAAAAGAGGTTTGGATGTTTGGTGGGGAAACAAATCTTTAAATTGGAAATCTAAGTCCCTGTGGGCACACTGCTAAAGTTCTGTTACTAATGAAGAAAGTATGAGTATTGAGGAAGCAATCAGCGGTGGTTTTTTCCATATTGAGGGACTACTGTATGGATTCTGAAGGAGCATCACGGGGTGGGGGTGGGAAGACAAGAGATGCAGAGGGTGGGGACTATATGACCACCTTCTCTGTAAGAGACACCTGACTCTGAATGTGGAGGCCCCAGAAAGTTAGGGATCATCTTTTAAGAGGCCAACTTGCTGTCTTTTCTAGTCACTATCAGTCTGGTTTCTGAAGAACTGTGACTGCTGAAAACTCCAGGCACATGGTTGTAAGAAAACACTACGTTCAGGTTACTTGTGTGTATAATTCTGGTGTTGACGAGGCTCAATAAGGTGGTTTTTGCTCAGAGTTTCATTCAGCTGGGTGAATGAAATGCTGGGGCTTGGATCACTTCAGGGCTTCCTTACTTTCCATGTCTGCTGTCTGAGCTAAGAATGCTCAGACAGTAGCAACTCCTCCCCTTTCTAACTCTGTACCTTTCCTCCTTTCCTGAGCAGCAGCTACAAGTAATCACACCTCATAGGAGAGGTCAGCATTCCTATGGCACATTCTAGAGAGAGAGGGAAAGAAGGAAGCTATATTATCTTGTATTCCCCAGTCACACAGCATCACTTCCACCATATTCTGCACATTGAGGCAAAGAATTGCCCACTTTTTAACTGGGGGTATGGGTGAGGATCTGAGACAGAACATTCCTGTGGCCACTTTTAGAAAATATAGTCAGCCACACTCTGGAAGCATCAATGTGACTTATCATCATAGCTTCTCCTGTTCTCACAACAACCCTAGGAGATTACATGGGATTATTGTCCCCACTTTATAGATAAGAAAATTGAGGCTTTCAAAGGTTAAAGTTTAAGTCATCGTACTAATGAACAGCAGCTGGTTTCAACCCAGTTCTGTCTGTATACAAAGCATTTAACTCAGTGTAGGACCCAAGGCAAATGACCATAAATGTTAGCAATTATTACTTTTACAAACAAAGACTACAGAGAGTTTAGTTAATTCTACCAAACTCGTCCAAGTACACATCCTCAAATTAGCAGTTAGCTTCTTCTACAGGCCTTGTCCCATCTTTTGTAGTCTTCCAGTGTTACTTACCTTGATCTTGAAGTCATCCTGAAACTGGTTTTATTTTACACATGGTGCCAGGTCATAACTGTTAGTTAAGAATTAATAAAAAAATAATAAGGGGTGATACAGGTTTCCCAGGATTAAAAGGCTATATCCCTTCCCATCCTGATCTTCCCTAAAACCTTTGGTAAGTAACTCTTAGGTATCCTACAATTTGCTTCAATTAATGTCAGACTTACAAAATAGATGAAAATCCAGTTAAAGGAGTTCTTTTGACTTCTGGGTGAGTTAAGTCATTCATCTACAGCAGGCTAGTTCCGTGATGAAACTGTAGTCATAGGTTTAATTTTGCCTGAGTCAGGTAGTTTTCTTGTGCCCCCAGAGCCACATGCACCAGCTTCACCCTAGACTTTCATTCTGAAAACGTGTTCCGTGTTAATAGGAAGAATTTGGTAACAAGGTCTGGCTGTCTCCGTAACTTAACCCAAATCTAACACCACTGTTAGGAAGACAGTTTATACCATAAAGACACCAGAATCTTACTCACTGGAAGGATAATAGAGTTATTACTAATTATTGAATATCAGCCAAATTGCAACCATTGTTTTGTCCTTCAAAGGTTCGTTGACTTTTTTTGGTTCTATTCTGTTGAATAGAACAGTATAAAACAGAAGGCAAGACTTTACCATGTTTAAATAATGTGATTTTCTTTTTTGGTATGTACCGTATTTTGTGGGAGACCATGGAAACATGAAATTTAATGGTTCACAAGTCAAAAAATCACAATGAGTTTTAAAATTTTTTTCCTTGTATTTAATGCTCTGCAGTTTCATTGTGATGGGGCTAGGTATAGATCTGGTCTTGTTCATATAGCCCCTATGTCATTAGAGAATTTGTGTTTGTTTTTAACTGGAAAATTGCCAGCCGTTATTTATTTGAAATATTGCCTCTCCCTCATTTTCCATGCCCTCAAACATTCTATTAGATGTGATTTGGCCTCTGCATTATATCTCCCTGTCTCTTAATTATTTTTTCATATTCTTAATGTTTTTATCTCTTTGGTGACTTCCTTTGTTCTATCATATATTTTATTAGTTCTTTAGTTATGTCTAGTCTATGATTTAACCTGACCATTGAAGCCTTTCTTTATTTTAGTGAGTATGTTTTTATTTTTAGAAGTTCTATTTGTTTTTGTTTTCTGCTTTTTTTGTTGTTGTTTGTTTGTGTGACAGTACTGGGGTTTGAATTTGGCTTTATCTTTCCTAGGCAGGTACTCTACCACTTAAGCCACACCTCCAGCCCTTTTTATTTTGGAGCTAGGGTCTCACTTTTTGCCCAAGTCAGCATGGACCCAAATCCTCATATTTTCAGCTTCCTGTCATAGCTGAGATGACAGGTCTATGCCAACACACCCAGCTTTTTTTCCATTGAGATAAGGTCTTGCAAACTTTTCTGCCTGGGCTGTTCTGAACCACTGTCCTCCTGATGATCTCAGCTTCTCTCATAGCTTGGGACGACATGCACATACCACCTCATCCAGCTATTGATTGAGACAGGGTCTGGAGAACACCCTGCCCAGGCTGGGCTGGAACCTCTGTTCTCCAGATCTCAATATCCCAACTAGGTAGGATTACAGGTATAAGCCCAGAGTCTATTTGGTTCTTTTCTGAAAATTTCCTGGCTCTTTTTTTTTTCTTTTTTTCATACTCCACTTTTTTTGTTTTTGTTGTTTTGGTTTGGTTTTGGTGGAGTTTTTTTTAATCTTGGGTTTTATATATTTTATTATCTCTTTATACTAACTTTGGGGTTTTTTTCCATTGTTATGTTGTCGCTAATTTTTAGAGGGAAAATTCTTCATTGTTTCACCTGTGTGTGCTCCCGCATGGTGACCATTTTCACCATATGGTTTGTAATTTTCTTTGTGAGCTCATCTTTGGCAGGAGTTGCTTTTTCTGTGGCCCATGAACCCTAATTGAGAAAGGGTTCCTCCACTGCAATTTTACCTAGATTTCTGCGGCTCAGGGATTGAAATCGTCATGGATTGGTTTTTAAGTTAATATCTCACCTTGGAGCGTGCATAAGAGAGGAATGTAAATTTGTAGCTCATACCCATTGGGTACAAGATTAGAATTTCAGACTTTTGAGGTGACTTTATTTCCCATTAATGGCCCTACAAAGATAGCTAGTTTCCATTCCACCAATCTAGGCAGCATTTTTCTAAACTTTTCATAAACAGGGTAACATTTCAAGGCTCTAAACTGTATTCAGGTGGCAGAGCCATAATCCCATTTGCCTTGGCCAAGTCTCCATCTCTGATCCCATGTGGGCTTTGAAATCTCTCCCACCAGTTCTAGAACCTCTATGTGTCCTAGAGTCCTGCTAGGCCATTGTGCTGTCATGGCACCAGCCCTTGCTGTCACTCTGGCTTTATATTTTCTCTTCCTTCTGGCACCTTGGTTTCCCTTTCTCTTTTAACTTCCATGTGTACATGGCAGGAGGGGGCTGAGAGGCATCTGATCCTTCTGCTGTGGTGCTGTAAATCACAATGCATTTTTATAAGCCTCACTATGCAGTGACTTGAGTTCAAATCTTCTATCAACTGTTTCCTCGCTGTGTTATCTTGGGCAAGCATCCTAACATTTATCTGCTTTGGGAACAAAATAGAGATAAATTATGACTTTCTGGGGCTCTTGGGAAAATTAAATAGGTAATGCTTATAAACTCCTTTCATACTGCCTGGTACAGAGCAAGTCAGAGGTTCCCATTCTGGCTAGGGAGTCATTAATAGTAACTGGGCAACTTCCCAGAGAATTCTGGGTGCTATCCCTTAGCAATTCTGACCTGTGAAGTCTGAGGTGGAGCCCAGAAGTCTGCATTCTGAAAAGCTCCACAGGTGATCCTGATAGGCTACCAAGTTTGAGATTGTGTTAGTCAGCTTTTCAGCACGTGACAAAATACCTGAGGGAATCAACTTACAGAGGAAAGATTTATTTTGGTTCACAGTTTCAGACGTTTCAGTCTAAGGTTAGCTGGTCCCTATTGCTTTGGGCCTGAGGCAGAGCAGAACATCATGGTGGCAAGAGTGTGTGGTAGAGGAGTGTGCTCACCTTATTGTAGCCAGGAAACAAACAAAAAAATAGAGAACAAGGGTCCAGGGACAAGATACAGTCCCCAAGGGCATACCCATATGAATTATTCCCTTCAACTAAGTCCCCCTAACTTTCTATCTCCTCCCAATAACCCATCAGATGATGGGTTAGATCAGAGCCCTCATGGTCAACTCGTGAAAACCAAGCCTTTAACACATGGTCTTTGACGGCATTTTAGATCGAAACCATAACTGAGTTACTTAAGGAGTGTTATGTACTGTCATTGTCCCCCAAATCTTTAAGCACTTCAAACTCCTATTGAATAAAATCTTATTTTCCCCCACCCTAATATCTTTATCTCAGATGTGGTGAGGCTGTAGAGAAAAACAAGCGTCTCATTACAGCAGACCAGAGGGAATATCAGCAGGAACTCAAAAAGAACTATAACAAGCTGAAAGAGAACCTCAGGCCCATGATCGAGCGGAAAATCCCAGAACTTTACAAGCCCATATTCAGAGCTGAGAGTCAAAAGAGGTAAGGAGCGGGCAGAGAGGGTTCTCCTTGGGATAAAGGAGCATTGTCGTGCAACAAATCCAGCCTTACTCTGCTGCCCTTGTAAGCTGTGTTACCTTCCAAGGCAGGAGCAGGGCCTGGAGTCAGAGACGCTGACCAGTATGGTCCATGTGGCTTCCATCTTCCCCTTCTCTAAACCTTCCCCTTGGCCCCGTGCAGCCCCTTCATGATGACCTCTTGCCACTGGCACTGACATTATAGCCTGTGTTGGAGCTTTGTTTGTTTTATGATGGGGTCTCAGACCCTCCATTTATTTTCTTATTTACTGAGTTGTCCAGGACTGATACCTCTTTCTGATGGGTGATTTCTTTCCCCTCCCTCATTTTAAAAGGCTAATTAATCTTTCTACTTTGTTCTCTCTCTTCTTTCTCTCCCTCTTTTTCTCTCTCTCTCTCTCCTTAATTTCAGGGACTCCTTCCACAGATCTAGTTTCAGGAAATGTGAAACCCAGTTGTCACAGGGCAGCTAAGAGAAGCCATCTTCACCCATGGAGACTGAAGTCCTATGATCTGAGAAGGACTTGCTGGTACTTAAAATACAGGACAGTGGCCACCAGGACTGACACACACTCCCTGCCCAGTCAACACTCTGGAAGCTTTGGAAGCCGAGGGACCATGGATGACACCCAAATTGACCAAGATTGATCAAATCTTGGTCATGCCAGGGGTTTGGCATAGGGGCAGGGATAATCAAGGTGACTGTGTATTTATTGAAGTGTGTTTTTCACAACGTTGTACAAAACAAAGAATAAGCAGCTTCTGCTGAGTGGCCAGTCCATGTCCACCCAAGAAGTGATTTCCTCTGGCCTAGACTTGAATTTACAGGGTAAATTCAAATTGCGCAGAGAAATAGAAAAGTTGTCCACCACCTATTCCAAGTGAAATTCATCTATCACCTCTTTATGGGAAAGGAGAGTAAACTCTAGTAATATGTACATTTTCAATAAAGCTGAGAGGGGAAGCCTTCCTCAAAATGTGAACATCATGATGATTGGAAATCTGGGATAGATTATTTGTGAACTTGTTATCTTGTTATCTTTTTGGTTATGGTGGACTAATTGTCATATAGTTATTTTTGCTTTACTGTTACTGTTATATTGAGTTAACAGCATTTATAGAGGATCATACTCAGAGCACTGGTTTAGGAGAGGCACGGTACTCAGCATTCAGCCAAACATTGCTGATACTGCGCTTGCTTAAGTGGAAGCAGTTGTATATCATTTTGCTGTTTTTCCTTATTCTTGCTTTCAGCTTTTTCTGCTCTCTGAAATCAAATGTATTTTTATAAAAGGATAAAATCTCCTCTCATTTCAGAACATTGTGCTGTCTGCTACAAAGTATATTCAGCTTTGAATTCTTTTTACAATGTACTTTAGGAGAAAGATGAACAAAGTTATTATTTGAGAATTAAATTATATATTTTTAATATGATTGATGACCTTGACTGATGACTATGGCTGGAATAAGAATTGTAAACAAAACATTTCCCTTTGCAACATGTGTTTTGTTACTTTGACAGCTCAAAGTGTTGTAAAGCTTCAGAGAAAAAAGATGCAAAATTATGGCCTCAGTCAAATAGTACTATCCAAGCTGGGCACTGGTGGCTCTCACCTATAATCCTATCTATTCAGGAGGCAGAGATTAGGTGGATTGCTATTCAGAGCTAGCCCAGGCAAATAGTTCACAAGACCCTGTCTCAAAAATCCCATCACAAAAAAAGGGCTGGTGGGGTGGCTCAAGATGTAGCCCCTGAGTAGTTTGGATGTTCCAAGACATTTTGCTTATATTATCAGGTATGCATTAATGTATATTCTGAAGGAGGACATTTTTTTTTGAAGGTCCTGGCATTTGAACTCAGGGCTTCATGCTTGGTGCTCTACCACTGGAGCCATGCCTCTAGTCCTTTTTGCTCTTGCTTTTTGCCTGGGTTGGCCTGGACTGCAATCTTCCTATTTACATTTCACACTTCCTCCAGTAGCTAGGATGACAGGCACACACCAGCATACCTAGCTTTTTCTGTTGAGATGGTGTTCTCATAAACTTTTTGACTGGGCCAGCCTCCAACCAGAGAACCTCCTGATCTGTGCCTCCCAAGTAGCTAGGATTACAGGCTTGAGCCTCTGGCACCTAGCTGAAAGAGGACATTTTAAATAATAATAATAATTAAAGCCTGGTGGTTTAAGTGCTATACTTTTTATTTTTTAGGCATTTGGGGCAGAACTTTTTGTAAAGTATGTTATGCAACTAGTTGTTTTCTTACTTAAATTCCATATGTATTTAGTACCTCTATGTGGAAGATACTGGATGAGACCAAGGTAAAAAAACATTGTCACTGACCTCAGTTCAGTGAGGAAGATTATATTTTTGTGGGGGTAACTACAGATCAAATCAGACTAGAACAAAGCACATGTCACCTTTTCTGAGTGACTCAAGAATGGCCATCATTAACAACACCTATTATACTCTTCCCTAAAACAATACAGGCATGGTTATATAGGTCTGGCTTTTAGCCTAATAGCCCTAATAGCCTAGGACCTTCCTGATTAAGAGCCCCCTGCTTTTAGGTATCTGTTTAGCTCTGTTGCAACATGGAGGGTGTACTTGCTTTACAAGGGCAGGGCTGTGTTCATTGCTGCATTCCCACACACAGCCCCATATACTCAACACATGGAAGACAACAACTTTTTGTTGATTGACTCAGTGAAGTGTTTCTAAAAGAATTCTGCTCAACACAAATATAATGCAAGTCACATATGGCATTTTAAATTTTCTAATAGCCACATTAAAAATAATCAGAAAAAGAGATCAGGAAGTTTAATCAATATGTTCTATTTAACCCAATATATACAAAATATCAATCTGACAGTAAGTCTTAGAAGTCCGGTGTATGTTTTATACTTAAAGACATCATGATTAGGACATCTCAAGTGCTCAACAGGTCACATACATCTACTGACTACCATATTGGACAGTGTTATTCTAGAAGATTCCAGCTTGCTAACTTGATGCCTCTGATCTGTGGGCTCATAATATAGATAACCAAAGTAGTGGGATTCATGTCTAAAGTAACAGAATTCTGATCGAGAGCTGGAGCTTAACTAGGAGTGGAGCTTGCTGGCTCGAAGACTGTGGATTCAGCAACATTGGCTGTAGCTGCTCAGGCTCTCTCTGGGCTAACGCCTGCCTGTTTTGTCAATTGTAGTCACTTTCGTTGTTATATAAGCAACAATTATCAAGAGGAGACTTGACTACACTTATTTAAATGATAGCATAAACAAAGAACTTGGATGTTGGTCCTCTGTGCATTCTAAGTATGGGGTTAGGAAAGAAGCATTGTAAACACTCCTAGATGTAGAGCAAATGAAGATTTTTGTTTTCTGAAAATTAGAGAAATTGACATGCCACATTGAGTATATTATGGAAAACCCTTCTAGGAAAGATGTTAGAGAATCTTCTGATGGACTCCATGCCTTCCCTCCTCCAACACGGTCAACGATGCAATTGTCACAACCACATAAGAATCTCAAGAAAAGGACAAATGAATCTTGCATATTCCAAATGTTTTTTCTGTAAGGTGTGCTTTCTATGCCAATATATTTGTTTTAAAGAGAAAGCAAGCTTTTGGACCTGTCATTGGAAACCGGTTGCAAATATGCTTTTAAAGACAGGGAACTTGTGTTTTGCTTTGAATGTATTCTAAAGTGTTTATTATCTCAAATGTTAAAAGACACTGTTGATTATGTATCATTTTATGTACAAACAAAACAAAACAAGATTCTAAACATGTCCTCAGAATGCTAAAGATGTTCAGACTATAAATATCCTGTCCATCTTTCTAGGAGGGGCTTAAGGCATTGCCTTAATGGAATCTGTTAAGGCATAACAAATAGCCCTCAAACTTATCAGCTTAAAACAATAAGCAATAACTATCTCACCTGGTTCTTGTGGGTTGGAAATTAGAGACTGTAGAGCAGCTTAGCTAGGCAGTCTGACCTGGGGTCTCCCATGTGCTTGCAGTCAAGAGTTTGACCAGAGCTGCCATCATCTGAGAGCTGGATGGAAGCTGGAGCATCCTATCCCTGTGACTTATTCAAAGCATGGGGAAGCTGGTGCTGGATATTGATGGGAGGCCTCAGTTCTCGATGTGGACTTTCCCTAGATTACTAACTGTACTCAAGTCATTGCACCTTATTTCCCCGGGGTGTGTTAACTCAAATTGGTGTTTTTTTTAAAGGGTGGTAGAGTTTATTAGCTTGTTTAACAGAATAACTCAGAGGTAGCATTGAATCAGACTCAGTTTGACTCAGGACTCATACATGTTCTGGGTCAATTGTCCATCTGTACTTTCCCTTGGGCTTTCAACAGTGGTCCCTAAAAATTCTGCCATCATGGAAAAGACAGCCTAAGCCTCACAACATCTTACCACCAAACCTCACAAAGAAAAGAGCTCCTATGTCCCAGAATTCCCAGTGGAATTCCTCTGGTTCACTCTAATTGGAGTGGTCCATGCCAACCAAGTTTCTTCATTTGAGCTAGAAGGGGGGTCAATATCAACTCAAACTACACAGTTGTCAATAGGGAGACTGGCAGTTCCTCTGGAACAAGGAAGAAAGCAGAAAGGCAGTTAAACCACAGTGCTCTCTTACAGGGCATTTTGCTTTAAAGCAAATGCATTCAGAAGAAAAACTTTGTGTGGACACCAGGATTACCATCTATTTCAAATAATATCCACAACCAGTTGCCTAGCAGGACCATCTCCAGGAAGGGATATGTAATATATGAAGAAGGAAGATCTAGGGCTTATCCTGTCCAGAACAGTATAGACTGGAAAAAATGGATGGAAGCATTTTGCTGTGTCAGAAATCATCTAATGCAGTGACCTACCAAAAATGGTGCCAATTATCAGAACTACAGAGCTGTAAGTGGCCTGGGGGAGTGGAAGAAGAGTGAAGGCAACAGGGAAACAGAATAAAGATGTTTGAGTAGAAACCGGTAAGCATCAAAATCATGAATTTTGCTCAGCATTGTGACCTTACTGCCAGGCCCATAGTGGGTGCTTAACAAATGTTTGTAAATGAGCAAAGTAATGAATGAAGGTGGCCATCAGTGATTTCTGCCAAACTGTTCCTTTTCTGTAGCTTTGGGCTAAAAGTAGTGCCTGAGGAAAGACAACAGGATTTCAGAGGAATGACTTTCTGTTCATTTAACTTTGCCTAGATGCCTCTAAATGCATGGCCAAGAATTTAGAGGATTGTTCTTTTCTACTGCTTTCTCTTAAATTATCCCCAACCCTATTTTTAATAATCTTAACCTCCAAGTACCTGATTTTTTTTTTAAAAAATCTGAAAGTCATGGAGTTTTCAGTCATGGAATTATTGAAGGAAATTCAGCACAGCCTTGGGTGGAAGCCACTTACAGACTGACCTCATACTTGACAGCTAAGGAAGTCCTCAATACTGCAGTGCATTTTTGGGGAGCATTGAGCTCCCTAATGTCACTACTGAATCCATCACTAAAACCCTACTTGGAGGAAGACTTTTGTGACGTCAGCTTGATCACTGAATGGTTTTCACTGTTCCTGTTTTCCCCACACCTTAGAAGGTAGGAAATCTTGGTAATGAGAATAAAGGGGATTTTCAAGTGTTACAGCTGTGAAAGATTCAGTGGAGAAATCAGGCCCCCACCTCTGTCCCTCTGTCTCCCTTTGCACATCAGTTCATTGTGCAAAGGAAGACGACAAACAAACTGAACAAACTGTTCTGTTATCCAGCAGGATTATTGGTGAAATACTGATAACTTGTGTGACTACCCAAAGTATCTGGATTAAGGATCAAAAGTTCTAGTTCCCTATTCTTCCTCTTCATGCTGCAACTCTAGCCATGCTCTGAGCTTCAGAATTTTTTAATGAGGATAGAGCTGCTCCACCTTCTTCCAACATACTGGAGAAATCCAATGAGATAATTAATGCATCCGAAAGCATTTTGGAAACTTACAAGTGCTGCACAAAATGTAAAGTAGCACTGCTTACAACTGACATCCTCAGAAAGTTTAGCCAGCACCCTTCACATTGCATCTGCAGCTGGCAACATTAATGAGGCCAAAGGTGTGGGCAGGACAGAGGCCTGACTTACCAGAAATAAAGGCCTAGTCTATTCCACTTGCAGTGCCAGTTTCCATTGTCTGGCAAAAGCCAACAGCAAGAGCCTCAGGGCAGAAGGAAGAAAGGGTATCAGTGGAACTAAAAGGGTATACAGTGGCGCCTGGGAACCCAACCTGACCCACTTCCCCGTGCACAATATGTTTCCAGTGCATTCCTTGGGAAGGTAAATACACAAAGTGCAACAGCCCACCTGTGTCTATCTAGGCTGGAAGTGCCCCCTGAGGGAAACAAAGCCACTGGCCGGCAAGTTTCCCAGTTAATAATGAGGCAGAAAGAGAGCATTTGGCAGCCATGATGGATTTGCAATAATTAAAATGACGTTGCTAGATCAGAAGCCTGGGATTTTTCTGCAACCTCCCCTGTTCCACTCAACTCCCTGGCCTCCAGCTTTGCAGGCGGGCGTCAATGCCTCTAGATGCATACTAAGCAAAAAGTTTGTAAAGAGGATTGCATGGAACCCAGCAGTTGATTAAAAAACTCAATGACCCTAATCCACCAAGAATTGAACGAAGGGCTCCCTGGCAAGCCCAGCGGTTTAAATGGGACTTACAGAAATCAAGAGACTCCTGGGGTTCCAATGCGCATGCGCATGGGGCTCTTTGGTGTTGGAGACAGGAAAGTGCTTGCAGCCTGTGGACCAGAGATCTCCTGGAAATTAGAAAAGAAGGATATCCAGCAGCGTCGGGCAAGGGATTGGGGCAGGCACGAGAGCGTTTTTCAAGAGTTGTGAAGCTACATGAAGAGAAAGCAAAGTAGGACTCAAGTAAAATAAAAATCTTGGCAAAATTTCCTTCCTGCTGCCCCTCCAGTTAGGAGCCCAGAAGTGCAGTTGAATGTGTATTTGGAATGAAGGAGGGAAAGAAGTGGGATTAGAGGGGTTCTAGTGAAGACATCAGAGGACCTTCACCTGAACCCATGCTTGTGTGCACTCCTGATCGCTGCTATATGTTAAGCCCACACAGGTGACAGCCTTTCCTGCAGAGATGAATAAGACCCAGCCCCTGCCCTCAGAGAGCACCCCCACTCCACCAGGGCACGGGGGTGTGGAGGTTTTGAGGAGGCTCCACCCTCCATTACACCTTTGCTGCAACCTGGAACCCAGCCACGCAGTGACCCTCATTCAACACTATCTGCTGGAAACTTCCTTTTCCCTCCTTCACTCACTTTTTAGTCCCTAGTTGTACCTGTGAGTAGGACTGTCTCCTCCACTTGTCTGAGAGCAGGAACTATCCCTGTTTTTTTATCAGGGACGGAATTTGAAGATCTGGAAGTTCTTATCCAAATGGATACTAGCCACCGTTGGGTTGTCAGGAAAGCATTCTGCATAGTCAATGTGATTCTTGCTTCAATAAGGCAGGCATGTTGGCACATATCTATAATTCCAGCACTAGGGAGGCTGAGGCAGGAAGATCACAAGTTCAAGGTTACCTCGGGCTACATAGCAAGACCTTGTCTCAAAGAATAAACAAATAAAAAATTTTCCATGAGGCTCATTTGACTTTCATGAACATTTTTTTATAGAAGAGGGTGGTCATATCCCCTGCTCAGTGCTCCAGAGAGAGGACAGTCCCTCTAATCTGTCTCAGTGCTAGCACAGAGGTTACATGAGCCAACCAGAAAGGACTGGACTGACTGAGTCCCTGGGCACAGGGAATAGTAAGAATAAATCTCCAATTCCCCTCATCATCAATCCCCACTTTAATTAGGGTTAAGGGGATACAGCCTTATGTGACCAAAACCCTCTCCTACAGTCATGGTTATATTGACATAGGTGCAGACACTATTTTGCACCTATTTGTTGGCACTTTGTAAATGACTGATAATAAAGAAAAGCATCTCCATCAGGTTCTGTGGCCCAGTTTACCCACAGTCACTTGTAGGATGCTGATCTGCCCACAGCCTCTGGAAGACTCAATCATCTCTTCTGGGTGACCCCCAAGCCACGGCTGGCTGACCAAGGAAGTCAGTCAGACCCCAGAGAGACAAGGTCAGCCTCAGGTCGTGAGTTTCTCTCTTTCCACTCTCCTAAAGTGTAGTCATGTAGTCATACTTCATTTCTGGAGATTTCTGAGTCTACCATTTATCCTCCCTCTTTTTATGAGGGAGGAATCTGCCTCTTAGCACCAAGGAGCATTGTCAGGGCCCAGATGTTCATGGGGATGCTGAAACAGGAAATGGAAGTGAGGCGATGGCCGCAAAGACTTGCCTGCTGGGATGAACTCATGATTTGCTCTGGCTCATGAAATGCGGTGAAGTGATACTGAGCCAGTTCCAGACTGGGTCATTTTTGTTGCTTGTTTTGCTTCAGGTTATTTATTTATTTATTTTTTAATGATAGGGATTTGAACTGAGGGCCTCATGCTTGCTAAGCAAGCACTCTACCACTTGAGCCACGACCCAGTCCTTTTTGCCTTAGTTACTTTTTGGATAGGATCTTGTGTTTTTGCCTGGGGTCTGCCCCAGACTGCTATCTATCTACTTACACCTCCCACATAGTTAAGATTACAGACAAGAACCTCCATGACTAGCTTATTGGTTGAGATGGGATTTCACTAACTTTTTTTGCCCACGTTGGCCTCCTATTCTTTGCCTACCAAGTAGCTGGATTACATGAATGAATCACCATGCCCAGCCCCAGAGAAAGTCTTAAGAAGTCTTTCAGCTTTCACCTGTACTTTCTTGGATCTCTGAGCCACTGGTCAAAGAGTCTAAAGGGTTTTGTATAAGATGGAAATGTACAGTAGTTTGTTTTAAAATTATTAAGAATCTCAAGACAGTGACAACAGAATATTAAACCTAATAGCACATTAAAACTTTCAATCATGGGGCCCTGTATGACTGCACATGTTGTGTACTTATGAAATTGTCCTTGCTGGCCATCCTGATGGTGAGACCTCATGGATGGTGAGACTCCTGGCAAGGTCCTCACTATTCCAGGGTGCCTAACATGTGGAAGAAGCCATCCCTCCCAATGGGAGGGATGAGAGCATGACCAGCCCTAGGTGAGAACAACAGAAGAACCACTCAGCTAAGCCCAGTACAGGCTGCAGAACCACAAACAAATAAATGGTTGTTATCCACACAAAGCTCACTAAAGTTTTTCATGGCCAATAGGCATAGTCCTTAGGGTACTAAGGTCTAGAATGGCATTTTATACAGCAGTAAATGATCAAAACAGAGGAAAGATTTGCACTGAGTGAAATCTGTGATGTTCCAGACTCAATGCTGGTGCTTTCCATGTACCAACTCACTTGATCCTCACAACACTCTAGTTGTGATTCCTCTTGACAGGAGAGGATCCTGCAGTTCCAAGAGTGAGCCTGGGTCCCACTGCTCCCCAGTCTTAAGTGGCAGAGGCAGAATTTAACCTGAGACCGACTGATTCCAAGATCAATAGAATCCCCACATTAAAACACACAAGATCTAGGGGAGATGCATACACCTTGGAGATTGTTGTATAGGCCTCTGATACATTTCTCCTCCTCAAGCTTCCTTGCAGTCCTACAGCTGAAATGCCAGGCAAGGAAATGACCACTATGTGAAAGACCTCTAATGGGCATCATCATATCTGTGTGATGATGCTTTCAACCATAATTCCTGCGATCCTGGTGGCCTAGAGGTGCAAACAATGAGGCTTACTCTGGCTTTCTGATAGAATCATACCAAGAAAATGTGCCGTGGTTAGCTAGGAGTGGTCACCACTTACTGATGTGTGTATTATCCCACAGAGCTCAGCCATATGTGACCATCTGGGGGTATATGCAAGGCTGGTCTTGCACTCAGAAGGAACAAGGATTAGTTTCAACATTAGACTAAGTCAGCTAAGAAGCTGAAACAACTGTCCTATATGTCAGCATCCAACACAAAGAGACTTTCCATTTATACATCATTGTTTTGAATCTTCTTTACCAAGTCTTCCAGGGTGTCATCAAGAGGTGAGTGACTGGGGAATAGATGTCCTTTTATCTGTCTGCTGCAATGGTGAACACATAATTCTGGGTCAACCATGAGAGCAGGTTAAGTGTTAAGTTGGCCTTGAAAGGAATAGTGACATTCCCTTGCTCAGAGGACGGTGCAAGCAGGGAAGCAGTATGGACTAGCGTTTGTGAAAAAAGCTCTGGAGTTGGAGAGACTGAGTTCAAGTCCTAGTCCTGTCCCTAACTAATCATTGATGTTGGGGAAAGAATTAACATGGCAGGCTGAGTTTCTCAATCATCTATAAAATGAGATGTTGCATGTAACTCATTCAACAAGGTGCCAGGCCTAGGACAACACTTATAAATATCGGTTGTTATATTATGTGATGAACAAAAGAAATTAATGTCCTTTCTTTAATGCCCCTGCCTTTTCCTGTATCCTTTCTCAAAAGTGTATGTGTAGGTCTTTCCACTATCCCCATCATCTGCCACTTTGTCGTACTTTCCTACTACCCATTTCCATTTTCTCTCTGTCACTACATTCCTTTTTCTCCCCTGAATTAGGGTTGAGCAGGGGGATAGCAGAAGAGGACAAGAGGCAGAGAGACACTGGTGGCCAGTGAAGCTCCATGGGGCTGCCTGAGCTGTCTAGAGTCTCCCATCTCTGAGGATACCATTTTTTTCCAGGACTCCTCACATTGGAAAGAAACCTCAACAATCATCCAATGCTGTCCACACCCACCATCTTCAAGGTAAGGAAACTGGACCACAGAAGGGACCTTGAATGGCCTCTGCACAGTATTTATTGGTAAAGCCTGAGTAAGATGCCAGGTCACTTGCACTGCCATTCAAAAGAAAAGGGGCCGTCCAGCTTCATGTTACCCTCTCAGTCAGGATTTCCTGTCCTCCCAACTCTCCTCCTCAGCTGCTGAAGAACCAACCTGTACCCAGATTCAGCCATGATGGTCTAGCTTCTGCGCACACTAAAATACTTACCTGCTGGTCATCAGTAGAAACAGCAATAATAAATAATACTTGCCATGTATTGAGCGCTCAGTAATTTCTAAGCAGTGTTCTAAGCATCAACATTATCTTATTTAATGAATTGATATTTGGGGTTTTTTGGGTTTTTTTTTTTTTTTTTTTTTGGCATTACTGAAGTCTTGAACTTAGGGCTTGCTCTTGCTCTACCACTTGAACCACATCACCAGCCCCACTTTGGTTATTTTTTGGATGGGGTCTGGTGTTTATACCCCGGCTACCCTGGAAGGCAATCCTCTTGTTTATGCCTCTTGCATAGCTGGGGTGCCAGGCACAGACTACCATGCCAAGCTATTTATTGACTGAGATAGGGTCTCCCTCGAACCGTGATCTTTCTGATCTTTGCTTTCTGAGTACTAGGATTATAGGCATGAACCATGAGGCCTGGCTTATTTTTTCAGTTTTAATTTCTTTTTTTTTTATGGTTTGACATTTGCAGTGTTTATGTATTTGTTTGTTTGTTTGTTTATCTTGGTTTTGTTTTCTGGCTTTTGTTTGTTTTACCCACTTTACTCATACTAGGCAAGGGCTTTACCACCAGCCTCAAATCTGCAACATTTGAATAAAATGTGTGACTTCTGACAGAAAATGAAAACAAGCAGAAAGATACAAATAAGTTTTCCAAAGGCCTTTTCTCCCTCAAATTAGCTCTGTTACATTGTATAGGTCACCTTTTCTAAAGTCCAGTTTCTCTGTTCAGTGGGGACATGAAATCTACAAGCTCATTGTAAAGCTTAAAAGCACATTAGTCTGACAGTTCCATAAGCATTTAAAAAACAATATCCATTATTACTCCATTTTATTTGGGGAGCGGTTGCCACAGAGTTTGGTGATAGGCAAAAAGGTAAAGGATCTGATAGAAATAATGTATGAATGTAGAAAGGATAATATATCTAAACATATTTTTCTTTTTTATATTTTGTGAAGGACTTTTTCCTTAATTAGACTAAAGGATCTTTTCTTGCCTAGAGGTTTGAGATTTTTGCAGCAGTTATGCTTTTAACTTTCAAATTGGAGTTTCTAGAAACACAATCTTTAAAAGTCAGAGGGTGCCAAAAAGAAAAGAATTTTCTAAATTCCTGTAGACACCATTAACATATCAAGGGTCAGAAGGAAGTGAACCTGAACTCTAAAGCCCTGGTAGAGAGAACTGAGGTTTGGCATAAAGGATGTCCTTGATACACATGAAGGTGGGACTTTTTTTTTTTTTTTTTTTAAGCCAAAGGAAAGACAGAAAGGGACTCTGGCTTAATTATGGTGAGATGAGAAGCCACTAGAAAGTTGGAAGGCTTATCACCAAAGGCCAAACAGGCTACTGAAGAAAGGTGAGATGAGGCCATTTGGGGTTTTAAGCAGATGAATGGCATGTTTTTTGACCTACATTTCTTTGTGAGCTTCCAATTTTTGTCTGAAAAAATTTTAAATACAAAACAGTTTTACAAAAATTGTACATATACAAATCTATACATTTATGTATATGTTGTACAGTTTTTCAGAACTATTTAAAATATCCTCATGGTAACTCTTCATAACTAGAAAAATTCAGTATGTGTCCCTGACAAATATAATAAAGTCTTCTGAACTATAGGATTAGCTACTGACTATCTTAGATGAATCTTGATGAGAGATAATGAGTGGCTGGACATGCAAGGCAATCTAAATAGCACTGAAAAGCCTTAAAAGGCTAAATAGAACTTTCCAAGTTGAAACCAATTGGGTTGAATGTGTGTTAAAATAAAAGTCACCGTTCACTGCAGGCCACAGACCTTTATAATTATCAATTTTTTCCAGAATGCAACCTCAAATTATTTGACATGTGAAGAAACAAAATAATTTCAATTTGCAGAAAAATGAGACGACTATTCAAAACATCAAGAGGACACAGAATGTTGGAAATAGCTGTCTAACAATAACTTTAAGGCAGGTATTATTAAAATGCTCCAACAAGTTATGGAAAACACTCTTGAAATTATTGGAAAGATAGAATTCTCAGCAAAGAAATAGAGGATAGAAGAAAAAAATGAAATGGAAATATAAGAACTGAAAAAATATAACAAAAATGTAAATACACCACTTGATGGATTCAACAGCAGAACAGAAATGATAGTGGAATTCATAATAGCTAAGTTATAGAAACAGCCAAGATGTCCCACTACTGACAAATGGATTAAGAAAATGTGGTATTTTATACGCAATAGAATTTTACTCAGCTACAAAGAAGAATGAAATTTTGTCATTCGCAGATAAATGGATAGAACTGGAGAACATCATCTGAAATGAAGTTAGTCAGTCTCAGAAGGCCAAAAGCCTCATGTTTTCCCTCATATGTGGACTGCAGACATAAAACAAATGCAGCAATATTATGAGACATGGGTCACACTAGGGGGGGCTGTGCAAGGGAGGGATAAGGTAAGGGAAGGAAACCAAAAACTTGAATGACATTGATGTGCTCACTACACAGGAAATGAATATAGACATTTTAAACTGGCCGGGGCCACCATGGGAAGCGGACTAGGGAGGAGTGAAGAGGACTGGAAGAGGTGAATCGACTGGAGCTGTAATGCACATATGCATGGGAACAACACAAGGAAACTACCTGTGTAGCTATCTTTATTTCAAACTAGCAGAACGTCATGTTTCTTGTTTTATCTTTTATGTCTTTTCTTCTACAGGAGGGTGGAACAGGTTGGGGGGAAGTGGTTGGCACCAGTGGGAAGGGGGAGATGGCAGAGAAAGGGGTAGGAGGATGAATATGGTATAAACAATGTATACACATGTATGTAAATGCAAAAATGATGCCTGTTGAAACTATTCCAGCTATCAGGAGAGGAGGAATGAAGGAGATAAGTGGAGTGGGGAAATTCAAGTATGATATATTTGATACATTGTAAGAACCTTTGTAAATGCCACAATGTACCCCCACCCAGCATGACAATAAAAATAAATAAATAAATAATTTAAAAAAGAAATTCCAAAAAAAAAAAAAAGAGAAAGAAATGATAGTGGAAAGACTCAGTAATTTTGAAGAAAGATCAAAAGTAATACTAAATACTAATATTGAATCTGGAACAAGAGAAAAAACAATTGGGAAAAAACAGAACAGGTTATTAAGGACCTGTGGAACAATACTCAGAGGTCTAATATTCAGGCTATCACAGTCACAAAAGGCAAGAAGAAAGACAGTGGTGAGGAAGTGGGCATGGTGGAGCTCACTATTAGCTATAGTCCCAGCTACTCAAAAGACTGAGGCAGAAGCACCACTTGAGCTCAAAAGCTTGAGGCCACGCCTGACCAACATAATGAGACTTTGTCTCAACCCTTCCTCCACCTCCCCCCAAAAACACACAGGGGCTATTAAGAGTAGTTCAGTGGAGAATGTTTGCTTAGCATGTGCAAGTCCCAACCCCTAAGGTGAAACCAGAAAAAGAAGGAGGAAGAGCAGCAGCAGCAGCAAGAGGAGGAGATGATTAAATTAGGTCATAAAGATGGGACCCTGATCCAATTAATATCCTAACAAGAAGCCACAAGAAAGGAAGTTTTCTTTCTCTCCCCTACCTCATACAGAAAGAAGAGGTCATTGAAGCACACAGTAAGATGGTAGCTGGTTAGCTTCAGAATGAAACATACCTTGCCAGGTCCTTCACCTTGGATTTCCCAACTTTCTAGAACCATGAAGCATGCATTTCTTCTGTTTATGTTTTGTAATGATAGCCCCAGCTAATACAAGTACCAAGGTCTCATATCAATAATGTAACCTTCCACCTTAAGAAACTAAAAAGTTGGGTGATCCCAGCACTTGGGAAGCTGAGGCAGGGGGATTCCTGAAATTAAAGCCACCCTGAGCTAGTTACATAGTGAGATACTTAAAAAAAAACCAAACCAAACCAAAAAAAACCAAAACAAAACAAAAACTACAAACAAAAAAATTTGAAAAGAAGAACAAATACATTCAAAGTAATCAAAATAAAAAATAATAAAAAGCAGAAATCAATGAAACTGAAGATGGGTTAGGAGAACCAACAAAAAGCAAGGGCCAGTTCTTTGAAAAGATGGATAATAAATTTAATAAATCTTTAACAAGACTGCTTTTTTTTTCTCTTTTTGGCACTGGTGGGTTTGAACTCAGGGCCTCATGCTTGCTAGGCAAGGCACTCTACCACTTGAACCCCCTGCCAGCTGTTTTTTATGGTGTGAATATGAAATGTCCCCCAAAAGCTCATGTATGGAGAGTTGCTTGCCAGCTCATGCCAGTTGATGGGCTTTTAAGAAGTGATTATATCACAGGGACTCTGCCTTCATGAATGTGTTAATCCACCAATGGATTGAAAAATCTGAACAGACTACTGGAGGGAGGATGATAGAACTATGGGAAGTGGGGGTCTGGCGGGGGGAAGTAGGTAACTGGGGATGTGTCCTTGGAAGCTCTATCTGGCCCTGATCCCATCCTGCTATTGCTTCCTTTCTGCTTCCTGTCTACCATAATGTGATGGGTTCTGTTCTGCCTCCTGGCTGACATGAGTTGAACAGTTCTACTCCATCATAACATCCCGCCATGATGGACAAACCTCTCAAACATGAGCTAAAATAAACCTCTCCTCTTTTAAATTGTTCTCTCAGGTATTTTTGTCACAGTGATATAAAAGTAAATGAATACAACTGGCAAAGGAAAGAGAAAATACACATTACTAATAACATATATGATTAAAGAAGATATCACTACGGATGCTGTAGATGTTAAAAAGATAATAAGGGAGCATCATACATAATTCTACACACAAAATTCAACCACTTAGTTAAAATAAAACCAATTCCCTGGAAATCACAAACTATCAAAAGTTACTCAAGATGTAACAGACAGCTGCACACCTGTGGCTCATGCTTGTAATCCTAGCTACTTGAGAGGTTGAAATCAGGAGGATCGTGGTTCAAGGCCAGCCAAAGCTAATAGTTCACAGACCCCTATCTCCAAATAACCACAGCAAAATGGACTGAAGTGTGGCTCAAGCAATGGAGTGCCTGCTTTGTAAGCACAAAGCCTTGAGTTTAAAACTCCAATCTTCATCACCCCCCCCCAAAAAAAATGAAATAGATAACTTGAATAACCCTGTATCTAAAAGGACTCTACAGACCCAGATTTAGTCTGGTGAATTTTAGCACATACTTAAAAAAAATAATACCAATTACCACAATCCCTTCAGAAAACAGAAGGGAATACTTTCCAGCTCACTTTCAGAGGCCCAAATTACCTTAATACTAAAAAACTAAATAAGAAAACTATAGGCTAATATCCTCATGAACACAGATACTGAAAATCGCAACAAAAATATTAGGAAATTGAATATAGTGAGAAATAAAAAGGATAATGTATCCTTTTTAATGTAAACCAACTAGGGTTTATCTTGAAAATGCAAGGCTGGTTTAATTTTAAAAAGTGAGCAAAGTAATCTACCATATTGAATCTAAAGAAGAAAAAACATTATCACTTTACATGATACACCAAAGAGCATTTGACAAAATTCAACAACCATCCATAAATAAAAATGCTCAGCAAAGTAGGAATTGAAGGAAAGCACAAATATAACAAACGTGCAGACTAATGACTTTTTTCACAAGTACAGAAACAAGTCATGGATGTCTGTTGTCACTACTCCTATTCAATATCATACTCAAAGTCCTAGCCAATGCAATAAGCCAAAAAAACATAAGGCATACAAGATTGTCAAGGAGGAAATAAAAAAACCTGTTCCTATTCACATACAGCATGATTGTATTACATGGAAAATATCAGACAACAAATAAAAACAAAATCAAAAACTCCTCAAACTAGAAAATGTGGCTGAGCTACAAAACAGAACATTAAAGTCAACATCGCCAAATAATCAAAATTTCTATATACTAACAATAAATTGAAAACCAAAAAATAAAAACAATATCACATACAATTGTATCTCCAAAATTAAATGCTTAGGTTTTGTTTAGCCAAAATATGTTGTACTTGTACTGAAAACTACAAAAGAAAGGTATCAAAGACCCAAAAAGTCAAAAGATTTATTTCATAAAACATTTTCATGGACTGGAAGACACAAAATAGTAAAGATGTCAATTCTACCCAGTCTGATCTATACATTTAAGTGTAATTCCATTTCAAAACCCAGCAGGATTTTTTTTTTGAAGATACAAACTAATTCCAAATATTTATATGGAAAGGCAAAACACCAAAATTATTTTGAAGATCAAACTTGGAGTAATTAACCAGTAAACCAATTTAAGAATTATGAAGTTACAAAAATTCAAGATAGGATAGTATAGGTTAAAGAAGAAAAACATACAGATCAATGGAACAGAAAACCAGAGTTCAGGAATAGATCACACAAATATACCAGCCAATTTTTGGAAGAAACATAGGGGTAAGTCTTTGTGACCTGGAGATTAGGCAAAGATTTTTTTTAAACAATATATCCAAAGTACAACTCATTTTTTAAAACTTAGACTGGGAATGCAGCTTGGTAATAAGTATTTTGCCCAGCACATTGCAAGGTGCTGAGTTCTATTGTAAGGCAGAAGAAAAAAAAAAAAATCTAGACTCTCAAAATTTAAAAATTCTGTTCCACAATAATTGTTTGTTTATTGTTTTTTTGACAGGACTGGGTTTGAACTCAGGGCTTCACACTTGCAAAG